AAACAATAAGACCAATTCAAATTTTATAAATACTATAAAAATGAAATAATCGTTCATAGATTTGAGAAATTCGAATAATATAAAATAAATAAAAAAATATCCATGAAATAAGATATATCCCATCAATATAATAGGGAATATAGATGTTCGTAGGGCGAGTCCTTAGATTTAGAGAATTCAGGCCTTAAAGATTTCGGGACAAGGGCTTATAAAATCCAACACCTTGATCCAATAAATAAAGACGACGAATGCTAAGCCCTAACCTAAACGTTCACCCATACTAGCCGTAAACCCTAAACCATCGGATAACAATCAATTGCAAACTGAGGGGGGGTGTCTGGGTGGGGGGGGGGGGGATTGGGGAGCTGGGGGCGGGGGCTGGGGCTGGGGCGGTTTTGATGGGTTTTGTTTTTGCTTTTGCTCAGGTAGGGGGTAGGGGTTGGGGGAAGGGGTAGGGGGTAGGATGGTGGGAGGGGGACGGGGTGAGGGGGCAAGTCTTCTTTTGGTGCACTGTGAAGGGTGCAAGATTATTGTACGAGCTGCTCGTAATGAAACATACAACTTCCATTTATTCTAGCCTTGAGGGTTTAGGGTTTAGGGTTTAGGGTTTGGCCATGACGAGTCGTTTTTTGGGTTTAAAGCGTTTAGGGCGTAGGGTTTGCTCTACAAGATAAGAATCCTTTTTTTAGAAGGGGAATCCTGACTACAAATGGCACCTACCAAATGGCTATTTTGGACACAGGTAGTCACTTGCACGATGGTTCCCTTCCTCTGAGATCCACCAGTCAAGCAGAGTCACAACCAAACAGGCTCGAATTAGGTTGCATGTGGCTCATGTACAGAACGTGGCCATAGCCTGACAGAGTTTGTCAAGCTTTATCGGAGACGACATGTTGCACTGAGTCGACTCGTCGGAAGAGAAAAATCAAAAAGCTAGTAATAGCTAGTACGGCAAGCGGAGCAGAAAGCCCACCTGCCACGGAAGACGAGCGGATTGGTGTTGGAAAAAGTGAAATGAAAGAGGCGGGGCAGTGCAAGGGATTTTCTTGGCTTAAAGTGCCCTTTTTGAGAAGGCTCTCAACAATGGATTCGTAGAATCCTTAGAACACGATGTCGGAGCCTTCTTCAGGCGATACTGGTAGCACTTGCAACTCCTCGGCCGTCTCCGCCGTGCGGAGTCGGCGCCTGATCAGAATGCCAAGCTGCCAGATGAGGGCCCAAAGGAGGACCAACATGGTGGCTAGATGAAAGCACCTCCGAAACCCCAGGCCGTTTGGAGGCTCCATTGCAAGATGACCCCACATGGCCGTGCCCGTGCCAATTGCAACCTGGGAGTAGATGCCGCAAGCAAGCACAAACATCAGGGAGCCACAGCCGGCGGGGGCGATTTCTTGGCAATACTCTACGTTTGCTGACCACATTGCTGCGAAGGTAAGTCCATGCAGCGGCTGAATCAGCAGCACCAGCCAGGGCTTGGAAGGAGGTAGGGCAGCACACAAGAAGCACCGGACAGCCAGAAGAAGCTTGGTGGCCATCAACACTGACCTTAAGTTTAGGCTGATAGACATTCATCCCTAAACCCTATAACTAAAGGCCCCCCTAAACCTAAACATCAGGGTTTCTCGGGCTGGAGGTTAGAGGAATTATAAAGGGCTTATCAAAGGAGGCCCTGAACCTGGACGTTGGCAGCTTAGGGACGTGAGCCTTTCTTTCCGCTGGCCCAAGATGCGGTCGATGTACTTGAAGACCGGAATCTGGGTCCCAGGGTTTAGGGTTTAGGTGGTTTCTGACTGTTGCAAGGTTGCGAACCTTGCAAGGTGGGGTTCGAGGGCTGCGCAGTTCAGGAAGCTGAAGGTTGGCGGTTTCGGTCCCACGGGATTGCCAACCTCCAGCAAAAAACGCAATTTCCCGGATGAGCCAGCCAAAGTTGGAAGGTGACTGAACTTTGTCGAACGCTTCTATAAACCCGGCTCGGAACCCCCCGACCCGACACCATGCTACAAATCCTAAACCCTTTTTCCAAGAGACTTCGCCCGCCTCGATAACATCCCTGTGAGTCCCTGTGAGCCAAGGCCGGGAGAAGTTCCGAAGCTCTGACTTCTACAGTAAGCTACCCCCCCCCCCCCAGCCTCGAACGCGCACATGACCGCGACGGCCGCACCTAGCAGCAGCTTCGGCGGCTGTTCGAAGTCCTCGACGACTCGAGGGATGCAAGATTTTCATGGGCCAGCGCATGCCAGAACTCTGCCCCCAAATCCAAAAAACCTAAACCCCAAACCTCACCGGGGCCTCATTCAGATAGACCAGCAGCAAGGATTCCACGAGAGACATGGCCAGCCCATAGATCATGAGGTCGGCAAAGAACCACATCACGTCAAAGTTCAGGAACTGCTTCAAAGTCAGAGTCGCCTCAACAAAGTTCATGTACTGAACTAGGGGTTCATTCGGGGTTTAGGGGTACTACTTGAATCAGGAGAAATTTGGGGAGGTCAGGCCGCACCTGCTCCTGGGTCGCACTGCTCAACGGCTTCTTCTGCGTGGGCAGGTAGACTAAGCACACCGCGATGAAGGCAGACTGAATGGCGGCGAAGCTCCAGAACATGAACCCAGAGCCGAAGACATCCTTGGCTGCCGATGTGAACTTTTAGGGTTTAAGGCGTTTCCGGTTTGGGGTTTAGGGTTCGTCTGGGGGCTCCTTGCCAGTAAGTCCAAGCAAGTATCCATCAGGTGCCCGCCCAACAGACTCATTCCACCACAGCCTATCGCATACCAAAGTCGCTGATGACCATAGTGCTCCTCACACTTTTGCTCCTGAAGTTACGAGGGTTTGGGGTTTAATTTAGGGTCAAAGTAGCTTAAGCATCTTGAGCATCAGCGCTGTGCAAGGACCCGACATCTACACTTTGACCTCGACCAGTGTTGGAGACTGCGAACAGGTCACCCTCCCCCCCCTCCCCTCTCTCGAACACGAATCCCTCCCTGAACCCTAAACTCTAAAACCCAACCACACCACAGAACCCTAAACCCCGCGACAGCACACACACACACACACACACATACATACACTGTGCCCAACGAAACGACCGCGACCCTGACTGCATCGACTTGCGGCCAAATCGGGCCAAAACCTCTACAGAAGAGTCAGACAAATCACGCGCGCTCCCGTATGCTTCACTCGGGTTTCGCAGCCTGCACCACGGAGAGGCACATGGCATCCACAATGACCCGGCCGGTGGAGAGGAACGAGAAGGAGACCACACACACCAAAGCGAGACACCAGAAGCTGACCTGAGGGTTTCCAAAAATCGGGAGTGCTTACTGAGCTTTACTGGGGTCCTAATTGTAAGAGAGCTCCTACTGGGGATCTGTATGGTCCGAAGACAAGAGTTTCAGCTGATGACCTGCACTTCTGGAAGAAGGTAGAAGAAGACGAGGCAAGTTCCCGCAAAGCCTGTACCCACTAAAATGCGCATGTATTCGCCCAGGTGAGTCGTCACCATGGACCTAAGCCATGAGAGACTAGTGCCAGAACCCTATGTGCGCATGCAGTGTGCGCGGCATCAGCTTCTGTGGAAAATCTTCTGAACTTCGACCCAAAACCAAAACAGCTGTCCAAAGAAGGCTGCAATCATCGTCGCCATGCTCAATATGCCGATCTCGCTACGCGTCACTCCGATGTCAGAGAAGAAGACGTTCAGAAACCGCGCGATGCAAGACCACGAAGCAGCTGCGAGCAACTGACACGCCTTCAAGGTCCAGAGAGGCGTATGGGGCACACGGGGTCGCTCACCGAGGACGGACATGGCAGCCAGTGAGAACTTCAAGGGCCGCCTGCAAGCCGTGCGGCTAGGCCTGTCAGAAATATGGGTCCGCGTGGCTTATGATCGGTGTGAGGATCTGAGGATATGTTTGTGGGACCCTAAACCCTAAACCGCATTCCCCCCCAACCCCGTCCCCCCCCATCTCTTGTGGCACACATTCGCCTGGGCAATCGTGTGTTGTGTTATTCTTATTGCTGTTAATGGCTGTTAAACTTTCAACTCTAAACCCAAAAACGCTCAACCCTAAACCCTCAAGAACAGGTTAATTGTAAAAAATGTATGTGATCTCATCATGAAATTCTCAATTTTTTCTCTGAGCGACTGACAGACGAGTTTAAGTGAATTCATCCAAAGCGCCTTCGGGAGGCTACATGTTCAATTCACTTAAACCTTTGTGGTCCAAAAGCGCCCGCAAGATTCCCAACATCCCGGCCTCCGCTTCTCCTCCAGAAAAAAATCAAAAGACTAAGAGAGCTAAACCCTAAATTCTAAACCTAACAACTATAGGGTTTAGGCTTTGAGGCTAAGAGTTTAGGGTTAGGGCTGAGGAAAGGGCCAACACTTACCAATCTTTCTCTTATTTGGGTTTAAGAGCGTATTGTTCAGGGCGATCTTTCAGGAGCTTCTCCCTGAACGTTAAACCCTAGACCATAAGCCCTCAGTTGGCTTACGTAGGGTTTTATTCAGGATAAGGGGGCTTGAGTGGGGCTGAGAAGGCTTAGGGGCTTAGGGCAGGTGATGACTTGGGGTTAGGCCGCTGTGCTTCTCAGAGGCTAGCCTGTATAAATTTTGAACTTTTTGAACCCCAAACCCTAAACCCTAAACCTTCAACCCTAAATCCTAGCTGCTTGGCCCAGGCCTCCCAGGTAGGTGCGGCCGGGACCCCGTCCTGCGGGGGGCTGAGATGGGTCGGTAGTTCGGTTTGGTGCTGTTCGGGCTTTGAGCTTCGGGCGTCGGGGTCTTGGGCCTTGCGTTTGGGGTTCGGTGTGGTTTGTGGTTTCGGTTTGTCTCGGTGCCGTGCGAGGCAATGGAGACACCATGTGTGCTGGAACATGAGCTACACCAAGTGCAGCCGTGGCATCCTGGCCAGGTTATTTTTTTCAGAGTGCTGGAGGTCGCAGAGCAGATAGTTACAGCTCAGATGATTTGACGCATCATGTCCAGTACAGCTTGGCATGGACAAGCGCTTTCGAGATCCCAAGCTCCTCAACCATACGTCGCAAATCAATGGCTGTGGGTCACAAGTGCTGGCGGGCAGGGACTGTGTCCTGAGCTTGCTTGAGCCCGGTCTACACATGGGTGGCATCTGACCACTGCAAGAAAGAAAGTCATTCGTTCCAGCATTTTGGAATGGGGGATGTTGGCAGAAGCGAAACGGATGCAGGTGCCCCTGCTCTTCGTGCTCAGGACGGCATCCCTGGAGAGGATGACTGTCTATGGGGTGCCTGAGCGCTGTCCGCTCCGCGCCATGCAAAACAATACGTCTTCTCTGATGAGCATTCAGTCGTGGCTCAAGGCTTATATAAGTGTCAGCAAGTTGTGCCGGCGAAAGCACTTGCAGTACTGCCTCAACTCTAGCATCAACTGCAGGCTCATGCACGCCTTTGCTGAGCAAATGTTTTCTCAATTTGTTCTTGTCTGCTGTGTCAAAAGCCCTCTTGCTTTCGTAGATAGGTAATAACTGTCGCTTGGCAGTGCGTGCAAGAGGCCCAAGTAACAGGCGGGCCATGTTCTGCAGCAATCCAGTGCAGAATGTCCACAGGTGCAAACAAGTTGTTGTGCGCTTTTCTTGCCACAGTCTGTGAGAGGAGTGCGTCCTGTAGTCTCAGTAAGCGAGGGTGTTCCTTGCTGGCGTTGCGGTCTGGCATTCGCGTGTTCTGGTTTAGATGGTCGGTTTTGCTTACGCTTGGGATTAGATTTGGGGAAGCTTTGCACCCTGGACCTGTACAGTTCACCGTTTCGGTACGTAACATTGTTTCCGTAGCCAAACATGCTGATGAGTTACCAAACTCATTTGAAGCAGTCATGTGGTCTGAAACGTCTGCGGCAAGCAGTACTCAAAAAGCTATCAGGCACATTGCACAGCAGCATGGTGCTTTTTGTAGTTTATTCGGCTCCTTGTGCGCTAAGAGCAGGACGTGGAGAAGCGTCTGGCACGTATATTTTTAGTCGTTGCCACAAACTTCTTTCTGTGGAGGGCGCAAGGGGTAAGGGGCCTTCCCATAGGCGTTCCTGTAAGGGGCTTTCCCCGTAGAAGCCTTCCAGCCTTCCCTGTCCCAAAATCTATCGAATGTTGAGGGGCGGAAGATTGGAAGGTTAAACGAAAATCAATTCATTCGTTGCCCGAAGATCCGTGCAATATATCTTCTGACGGTATCCACACCTATGTGTCGACAATCAATGGGGTAACGTTTCAATCGTGTCGAAATTGATTTTAGGATGATTTCTCCTTCCCCAAACATGGTGTGAAGTGGGGAAGTGACTGAAAGGTGGCGAAGCTAAGATATTGAGGAAGCGACAGCCGAACGAGCGTCAAAATAGTCACACATTAAATCAATACAAGTGAGAGAGTCGAGAAGAAATTCTGAGAAAAGTCTTATGAGGGTATGGGGAAGCATATTTACGATTCTATTTAATAAGCCATGAAGCAGTTGAAGCCGACTCAAAACAGAATGTGAGAAAATGCCTATTACACTTGAGTTCTGCAAGATTGATCGTATGCGTAATGCTTCTGCTTGCTCTAGTTTTGTTGTTATAGGGGGGTATCTTTCAACAAAACTTTCTACCACAGCATAAGTTCAGTAGAAGTGGCTTTAACATCAGGTTTGGTTCTGTCTCTGTACGCGGAGGAGGAGGCTGCAATACGAGAACAGAACCCCCACGAACCACCCACGGCTCTTGTGAACGTAGATGTCGGTCAGGGTGCAGCTAGAATGTATGTAGCGGCGGCCTCCCCGGAACAGGGCGGGGGGGTTTTGTGAGGAGCAGCATCGCTTCTGAAGCACTTGAATCCCTTCTTTTCACACTGACCCTGAGCGGGGGGTGCGTTCTGAAACACTGGCAATGCCTCGAGCTAAGCAAGAAGACGGAAGGCGTGAGACAATGTGGGGCTGTGCTTGGATGCTTCGGGGCACACCCCTAGACTCTAGACCATCTCTGCATCCTGCTGTTTTCCGCAGGCGGCTTCTGTGGATCAAACTGGTGCAAACAGCTCTTTGCCTTGCATGCCCCAGTCTGTCGCGAATAGTTCAAGCTTCAGGATGCCCAGCAAGTGGCTCGAACTCTGGCGATGGAGCCTTGGCGTCGATCCGTCTGACGCAGCACATAGCCAAGGTCAGCCAAAGAGCACCGAAGAGGCAGGACAAAAGGACCTGAAGCATCGAGAACTCTCCGTGCAGCAGCTGTGCATATGTCTTAACCGTTGCCGTGCGACGGAAAACCTGGTCGCACATTTTCCCATGTACCACAGCTCCAGACGTCGCAGAGTCCACCATCTGTGACCATGATGGCAGCTTCGTTCCATTAGCATCAAGGACCTTCTTGATGTCATATACGAACTGCCAGTCGGCTTCAGCCAACATTAATCGTTCCCAAAAATCTCCTACATCATCTGTTCGGTTCATGGCCCAGAGTCCAATTGCATCCGCTAGGCTGATGCCACCGATAGTAACCTGCACTGTTGCAAGCCTGCTAGTGTCTTCGTCGAACTTTATCCTGAGCTTTCCTGGGCTTAAAAAGGCAAGGTTCATCGTCACTCCTGCGTACTCGAGCCAACCTAGAATGTCCGAATTATAAGTCCAGCTATATGCAGCGCCGAACGTCAAAAGAATCGTTCGACTTGCGTTGTCGTAGGCTCCGGCTTCCATTGCAACCAGGAGCTCTGGGCACGTGTTGCCTCTCATCCAGAGAATGCCTCGAATCGGCTCCGGCATATCTTCATTCCGATGTCTCTGCGACATTTCGACGGAAGCGTCATCTGCAGTCAGGACTTGCACCCTAGAAAAATGCACCAGGTAGTTCAGGAGTAGACCGAGCGCCAGCAGGGCGGTGAAGGTGGCGCAAGGCCCCATGGCAGCAAGCAGCGATGTTCGGCTACTCACACTGGAACACTTAGTAAACCTCAATCAGCACATGAGTTTGACAAGCTGTTTGAATTGCGAATGTCATCATTCAGTAGCGCATTGCATGCACTTCACCCATGAACCATGTCGCCGTTCGGTCCAGCTACCCTTTTACAAAACTGGTGAGTCGATGAACACAAGCTTGGCATACCCGAGGCCCACACAGGGAGGTCTATGCTCTCCTCAACCACCCGAAGGCTGCCAGAAAAAGAGGAAGCAGCCCTGGGCCTTCAATTCGAGTACCCTTTGAAGACCTAAGTAGCAACGATTCTAGGACAAACACTTTCCTTTTGACCCCTAAACCCTCGTTACCCTAACCGTTGCATCCGGCGGTCCTTCAGATCGTTGTGGCCGTCGTTCGCTCTCTCAGCAGGGCCCTCAATCCTTTCATGTCTACAACCTTTATCAACCTTCAACATCCTTCAACCCTTGTTGCACTCGCCTTAGTATCTAGGGGTCCCATCCCCTCCGAACAAGTTTGGCATTCTGGTAAGGGGAATAGGTTCAAGCCTTGAACCTTGAAGGTCTAAGCTTTCCAGGCCTTTTTATTCGTGACTCTTTTTCTTTTTCGGCTCCCTGGCCATCCCCCCCCCCTCCCTCAACCAGGATCCCCGGGAAAAGAACTTCCCAAAATTGAGGGGAACCCTGAGGGTAGCTCGACCCTCTGACCGTCCGCGGTCTCGTTCTTGGAAATAGTCTTGCCATTAGATTTCTGAAGCTGCACGCTGGCCTTTATAAGTACTAGAATCCTCCCGAGCCAAAACCTTCCTATCTGCGGTTACGGACAATTCCTTCCGAGCCAAAACCATCCTATCTATAAAAGCGTCCCATCTGCGGGTCACCCCACCCCCCCCCACCTGAGGTTAAGTGACCCGGCCGCAAGGGGAAGTGGATTTCAGAGAGGTTAGGGGCGGGCTCGGGCCAGGGTCTACCTACTTGCAACCCTACGAAATTGAGGTCAGGTCGCGTGAATTCGTTTCAGTTCAGGTCGGGGTCGCAAATTCCACCATTTTCGGTTGACCTCGGGTGACCTCGCTATCAAATGCCCATTGAGGAGCCCCTCTTCATACTTCCTCTCTGTTCTTAAAAAAAATCCTCCATTGCCTCTGAAGTCCAAATTGAGTTGTGCAGAGTCTGTGCAGAGCGCGCGCTTTTTGCTGTACGAACCGTGAGCTTATTCAGCAGGCTGGCTTTGGCCTACCATCTTTGCAAGCTCAGACTCGTTCATAGCCTGGGCTAGGTTTGCAAACAACGACAAGGGTTTAGGGCTTTTTTCCCTCCTGCACAGCTGGGGCGAATCCGCATCGCGGTTTAGGGTTTAGGGTTTAGGGTTATCAGGAACTTCGGGGCTCTCTTCTCCAACCACGATAGCTGCACACCCAGTGGCATCTTGCGCTCTCGCCTTGCCGGGTTGCGCCTGGCGTGCAGCAAGATGTTGCTCTTTTTGCATGGCCCTGCCCTGCGCTAGCTTCACCGGTGTCTGCTGGTGATCGATCCGGCTATCTGCCGCAAAGTGTTCGAAGCGTTTCGCGTTCACGCTTTTAGAATCGGGTCGCTGTCGCCTCTGACTATTCCGAAAATCCCTTGACCAACGAGCCTGTGAGTGCGAGCTGGCCAATACAATCAGGCCACAAAACAAAGCGAGAAGGAACCTCGGCACAAATGCACCCCATCTTGCAGAGCAAAGCGCAGAGTCCCCTCTCTACATGCGGCGAGGAGCGATGTGGAACCGATGACGTACAAAGGTACGGTCAACGCAATGTCCTCTGTCGAAGGAGTCGGCTGTGGCTGCCGAAGATATTTTGTGGCAGTCGCTGCATTTGACGTCGCTGCGGGCACCGGTTCCTTCAACGACAGAGACTCTATTTGCACATCTTCTTGTTTGCAATGAACTACCAAATCGGAGCCTCCTGCAGTGGATGCGTGGTAGCAGCCCTCTCAGCAGATGCCGGGGGAGTGCTCGATTCGGGCTGCACCTGTCCATCAGCAATGTCACCATGCACAAATGCGACCGTTTGTTCATATTTTGAGTGGTGTGCTCGGCTTCTTTCTGCCTTGGTTTCAATGGCCGGCCTCGTTGTCCCAAGAGCACAACATCCATAAATGCTGTGATCTTTATCACTGCTTGGAAAGTCCGAACAGCTCGACATGCAAGCGGCATGTGGGCAGCTCGGAATGTTTGAACGGCCGTCTTCTGTTTAAAGTGTAGGGCTTGCGGACTTGACGATCGGCCTCACTCGACATGGATCTAGGGTCGCATCCAAACTTTCAACAATTCATCTCGCCACCCCGCCACTCCCCAATTTGGATTTGCTGCTGCGACATACACTTAGTGATTTCTGGCTTGCAAGCGGAATCTTCCGGGCCCAGATCAAGAAGGCAAACACGTTCCAGATGATCATCGTGTTCATGGGACCAGGAGCTGCCACCCAAGACAGGTTTCGACTCTCACACTGGCATAAGCGGGCGAGGCAAGTCCTGTCGAGATCTCCAGAGTGGGTGCATTGACCACCAGTAACGAACCAACCAGGGTCAGCATTACCACCAACGAATGTTCAATGCCAAGACCCAATACTGAAGAGCTGACCCCTGATCGATCCCAGACAAACAGAAAACAAATTGGTACATGTCCATTGGCCGACAGAAGTGCTTTGACCCAGTCGGCGTGTCCAACAGAGGGGCTCAAACCATGATAGCTAACAGTATACCTCGATCACCTTTCCGCCTCGAAACAAGCCTCCCCCATCAGACCCGACTGACTATTCCTAGGCACATTGCGACCTAGCGACAATACGTGGAGGTTGCCGCAAACCGTCCAAAGATCAGGTATGAATACTATCTCCAGAACAGTACAACCCGAGCGGCCTTTCCTCCCTGAAAGCAACATGTGGCAAGGGCTATGTGGGTGAGACTTCTCTCTATCCTCAGCATTCGATGTCCCGAGCAGTGACTGCCGTCTGTGGCTATACGCACTCGACAACGTACATCTGTCTCTGTCATCCCCGGGCGTCAGGAGGCGCAACTTGGCAGGTGGTGGCCATGCACACGGTCCATGCAGAGTGCACGTGCGTGGGACTGTCAGCTCCGAGGTCGTGCAGAACCCAAGCTTCACTCAACATGCAGTTTTGCATCCATCAGGTTCCAGGGCCTTCACTGCTGAATTCACAAATTCTGGATTCATGAATTCCTTCTCTGCTTCGTACCAGCGGTCATGCATCTGGCAGTTGCAGGCACCATGCAGACGCAGGGTCCCCATCTGCCACCCTCCGCGGCGACCCAACTCCATGCAGTGCAGTGGTATTCGTCATGCAGTCACTCCGTGTCGCCGGGCGGCCAAAGCGGTCCGGCCGCACGCAGGCACAAGGCTGCCACATGGCAGCAAAACTTGAACATCTCGTTGTGTCCCCTGGCAGCCCAAACATCGTGCTGCTGTATTGGGGATGCCAGCCGCCATTGCAGTCCCACCCACATGCCAAACTCGCGAGCTCCAAGGTTCCCAGCTCAGGCCAGCGTCACATCGTGTCGAGAGGCCATGGCTCAGGATGCACCGAGGTGCCGTAGACTGTTAGCGGGGTTGTTACAAGACAGGTTTAAGGGGCAGGGTTGCTAGCATGTTTGTCACCCCTCTCTCGTTTCAACCTTCGGGGTTTGTCTCGGCTTGGCTTGCCCTAATTTCCGTGCCAGGAACAAGTACAAAGAAGACTGAGAGTCATAATGGAATATTGGTAATATTATATTACCAATGATGGCTGAGACTTTGACCTGATGATAACGACCCCAAAAACCAGAGCAATCAGAGTGGACTCAACCGCAGAGGCCAAACGCCATCAAACGACCAACAGAATAAGAAGTCAAACGACACAAGCCTTGGGCCTTAAATCATATCGATCCATGGTTACAATTGCAGACATCGAGCTCTTTCGCATCTTCTGCCTGAACCACATGCGGAATGGAATTCACCAAGAGCGGGATCTGCTGAACCGCCTTGGAAAGCAAATGAAAGCAATCCAGAAGACCGAGCACTCAACGGACGTGGCTTCACAAAGTCACGAGATCCGAGACCCTCCGGGCCAAAGACAAAGAGCTTTGTGCGGCGTGCTCGGATCATGTTTGGCCCATCGCTTGCCTGTCACAGCCACGGCAGCCGCTCAAAAACCCAAGCGCAGATAAAGTGAAAGCCTTCGGAGGAAATGCTTCTTGTCAGGAGATGTGCGTGGCAACCTTTTCAAGCATTTTACCTTTACGCGCCCTGGCAGCCGACGACTCGAGGGTCTCTGGCTTAAATACCGCCTTCATGATGTCAAGGGTCGCAGTGACTTGTTGGTCTTTGGCCCTTTGGTACTGAGCACGGTGATGAGATGATCAGTGTAGTTACCCGTGCCACGCAGCACGAAGCACAAGTAGCTCTGGTCAAGGCCAGTGTGGCCAGGTGAGTTGTGGTGCTAACTGCTACGAGTAGGCCAGAGCTAGACTCAGCAGCTCAGCTAGACATCGGCCTGGACTTCATATCGCTCCTCCAAGCGAAGGCGGGCTGCGTGCGAGCGAGGTTTCACGGAGGGATCTGGATGTACCTACTCAAGAGATGCATCTTCACCGTCTTCACCCATGCAACCTTGCAACACCATACAAAACGAGTGCCTGACGGCCCCATTGGCTGTCGAACTCCGCAGCAATGACAAGACAAACCTTGCAGGGCGGAACCGAGCAACAAGGCGCCACTTCAGAACTGCTCCTCAGATCCCCATCTGGAATCTCCTTTGACACTTCGACCTCGCCGCTGACATCGGGCAGCCGGCCCTCGAGACGAAAAGCAGCGCTCTGAGCGCCCCAAATGGTCAGCCCTTGGCATCTATAGTTGGCTGTGGCGATCTGTGTGGACCTGAGATGCCAAACAGGCAGAGTCTCACAGCGTGCCCAACGGTGCCCAAAAGGACCATACTTCTTGGGCCCACACCCCACCAACTTTCGATAGGTGTTGTCCTGGGCGGGGCTTGTTCCGTGCAAAAAACCAACAAAAGTCCTAAAGCCCTCTATCAGACTCAACGAGCACCAGCACACTTTCCTCCAAAGCTGCGCCGCTGTCTCCGCCGACATTGCAGCGCGGTATGAGGACACTTGGTACCAGCAGCAGCCTGCGTGAACAAGTATGCTCCTAAGAGTCCCAACTCGATGACTGGGTGTTAAGGAGGCCGATGTGGGACCTCGCTGTCACCTTTTCGCAGCCGAAGCCGAAGACCTCGACGGCCACTGCTGCACCTGGGCCTGTGAGAAAGTTGAAAGATCAGCTGACAAACGCATTTCGAGCATACTCATGATACTTGACTTAGCCCATGTGGGTCTTGCTGCAAGCCTTGCTTATCTCGTTCAAGACGCCCCGAGCACACTCTGTCGGCCTGGATTTGGAGGTGCTTGCAATTGTCGCACCACTATTTCTGGGCGTGCGAGCTCAATCAGCTTCAAGCCTCGGCTGTGACGCATTGTGCCAAGCTTCGCCCATTGTGATTTCAAATATTGCCGAAGCGAGCAAAGTAGCGTTTCTGCGGTGTGACCAGCGATTCAGAGCAGTTGCACCCAAGAGACACATCCGCAGGTTGCGTGGCACGTGGCCCTGTGAAGATGCAAGTGCCCAAATCTCGGAACTGTGCCCAAGAGTCGCCTCTTGTGCTGTCTTCCGATCATCCATCTCCTCGGCTCAGGGCAACGACCTGTCATGCCGTACGACCGCCCGAGCTACCGAGGGCAACATCTGCAACTACTCATGAGCGCGAGTGCCCAGAGTCCTCGAGTCTCTAGTGACTGTAGCTACTGTAGCCAAGTATGGGCAGACCACCAGATGCAGATTCAATTCTGATGAATGCTGCTCGGTTGCTGCCAAGTACATCAACGTGCTGATGCTGTCTTTGCGATATCTGGTGCGATCCTGTCTGAAAGTCTGAAGAAAGTCTCGGAAAAACCACTCTGCTATGACTATCCACCTCGTGTTCACCGGTCCTCCAGGAGCCTTTATAAAGGCTCCAAACGTGTCTAGCCTCAACAGGAAATCTGGGTCCTCTGGATAGCCGCCATATGTGGTTGGCTTGCACACAGTTATGGGTCGTGGAGACCGCTCAAAACCGGCCGCATAGGACCAATCCTCCATGCCCCCATCGACAGGGTATACCTGGTGCTGCAGGCTAGGCAGTGCACTTGCGAGATGGCGAAAATGCGGAAAACGCCTCGCTACACTCTACACGGCTTTGGCATCACATGCACATCGCACAGATGACATTGGCTGTCTCATCCTTATATGTTTCTTTGAAGGCAAGAAGCCAAATCATTGATCCGACCTAGTGGGTAAAACCATTGGTTCCGGGAGGTCTTTCCCGCAGCCGCTTGGATGGACTGACCCACCTGGGGTCAGAGCATGGCTACAGCGGCTACAGTTTGCAATGGCAGAACTTCTGGGATGCTTCTGCCAAGTTGGCTGCGAGACACTCTCGAGCAACCTGCCTCTCTGAAGGCTGTCTCATCTGGGGACTCTGTCGACTTCATTCTTTGCAAGTGGTTCTTCGACCCCCATTCGTAGGTGAGGGCCCGCATGCCACCGTGGAAGGTTATGCAGAACCTGCCACAGCTTCACCACTGCTCGTCGGGTACCCTTGACTGACACTAGGCAGAGAAATTGTCAGAGACTCCATCCAAGAGGCTGGAAGAGATGTCGGCGAAACAGCTCCTTAGTCGTCGCTTCTGCTAGTACTGATAACATCCCGCAGAAGAATCAAAAGAGAGGTCGCAAAGGTTCCACGAGAATGTTGGAGCACAGGAGCCAAGAGGGTAACCGTAACTCTCAAGAGGCCAAGGCTCATTGACAGCCCGAGCTGTCTGTGTCTGCATGCATCGTGTGGGATCTTGCAAATAAGGGAAATCACGATTCGGATCCATGCTGTTCTCCTCCCTTCTGTAATTCGCATATCCATGCGCGTTTGTCATGGGCATCAACCACCTGAGACGACGAGCTATTCCACAGTCTCAGCAGGTGACCATGGGCATAGCATGGATGCAATGCAAAGGGCTTAATTACTGCATTCACTTGCTAATGTGCAGATGTGCGACGTTGCGCGCCCGTCAACCAATCGCACAACCTGTCAGGGAGAAAATCAAACTGCGCACACTGCGAGAATCAGGTCTACTTACATGCCTGTCCGAGGGAATTTCTACTCGCATGGGTCTTTGGGTGGAACCCGGCTTCCCCCCCTGCTCGTACCCTCGGCATTACTCCCTTATGCATCTCACTGAAAGCCCCTTCCGTCCTCGGGGTGGCTTGCGGCATACTGCTCACAAAGGAAAGCTGCTAGCTCATTGACAGTCGCCGGCCCAATCCTCCAGGGTCTGCAAACTACTGAGACGTTGCCCGCATGCCTAATTACGTGCCTTTCATCTCCATGTAGGGCTCCACTGAAGAACACCTCGGGTGTGGAGTCGGAGAGCAACTTCTTGTTGGCGATGCGAACCTTGCAAACATGAGAAAAGTGAAGAGTGATGAAGTTCCTGTAGCCCTTGATCATCGATAGTCTTGCCATCAGGTCCGAGCCACAATAAGTGTTTTGCAGGCCTCGCCCTCACAAATTCCCCAGGATTTTTTCTGCGGCAGAATCTCTGGGAACAGGTCCTACCGGCATGCAGGGATGGCCACTGCGAACGAGTGCTCGACACCTGGCACAGTCAGGCCTGCGCAAACCAGATCTCTACTAGGTCGGGATACTGCCGACGGAGGTCTTTGAAGAACTGGTTGGTCTGGCCTGACTGCAGCGCGTAAAGTTCATGGTCTCGATGCAAATGCCACCAAAATGCCTTCTTGAAGCCCCCACTGCTCCCTGATGGCCTCAAGCTACAGTCATTCTCAGTTTCCATTTCCGAGTCGCGGTATGTGCGATATTTGTAGGCACGGTTCTCCAGGTTGGTGGGAGCTCCCGCATGGTGGGCATGCGGAAGCAGAAGAATCAGAACCCAGCGCCAAAGGCATGCCTTATGATGGCATGAGCGAACCTACGCCTCTACAATGCATGGACTTCATAGACTTCAGGGCCCATCACTTTGCTTCGGTCATGAGCGGTACAGCTCACGAGCGGTACGGCTCATCACGCCTGTTTGCAGTCCGGCTGCTTGAGGGCAGTGCATAATCTCAGATGACTCAGATGGTTTATAGCCAAGTCCGGAAGCTGCACACCATTGCGGAATGCAGTCATGTCAGCCGGGCTGTGCAGTCCGATTCCGCCGCTGCGATGTTGGTTTCTGCCTTCGTGGGCACTGTCGGCTGCTGGAGCCTTGATGTATCTGTAGTCACTGTAGTCAGATGAAGCCGAGGTATCTTGCTACTTGGCTATTCTTAACTTCACTTTGCTCTGCTTATGCTGTGGCCTGTCAGCTCTGTTCGTTGCAACGGGATACCTTGAAGCAAAGGGCTTCTTGTCACTGCAAGCTGTGGTCCAGGGTCTCACCCTGCTTGGGGTCATTTGAGATGCTCATGGGATTCTCTTTTTTCGACCCCGAAGAAACGCTGGATAGCCGACCCAAGGCTTTGCAAAGCTTGCCATGGGGACCTTTGCAAGCACAGCACAAGCACAGCACAAGCACAGCACAAGCACAGCACAAGACAAGCACAAGCACAAGCACAGCACAAGCACAGCACAAGCACAGTACAAGCACAGCACAAGCACAGCGAAGGACTGCGGCACACATCTTCCTTACAGCAGGCACAACGCCGTAAGTTTGAGGCCACTCCTCTTCGGCCAGCTCCGCCGTTCTCTGCCCACCTGTCAAAAGACACCCTCCTGTCATACACTGTCATGATCTTCCCTATTCTTCACTTCAGAGTCGAGACGTGCAACCTGAATGATCTGCGATTGCGGTTAAAGGATACTCAAGGCGCAAGAATGTGAAAGAATTCGTCCTGCCTAGGTTGTCGTCGGAATCATTGGTCTTGCCTGTTGCGCAACGACAATCACCAAAAGACTCTAATTGCCAAAGTAGCTAAAGCTGCTGAAGGTCTCAGCCCGGCCTTGCTTCTGCAGAAACTCGTTTGCCATGACCTCGTTAATTGTTACTTCCACATAGTCTCCAGCCTGCAAGGCCTCGCAACATGCTTGCTTGCGAAATCTGCCGGCACCAGTCAGGTACCATCACGACTCTTATTTTGCCCTGCCGACATGAAACATGTGGTGGTCGGTAGCATTTCAAGGGGTTTCAATGCCGCCGCACCTCGTCAGCCCCGCGCTGCGACCTGAGCTGAAGCTACCGTTGCAGCTGCCTTCGTGCTTCGCCAGATGTCTGGCGACGTTCTGGGGTATTCGGTCGTTTCCACGCCCCACGCCAACTTCGGCACAAGTCAGTGAGGGCCTGGCCCATCCCCGTGGAAGGTGTCCACCAGCAAGCGAAAATGCTGAGCCTGCAGCCGAGCATGCCAAAGGCAGTCGATCCCCGCCAGAGTGACTTTCACAGCTACCACAAGAAGTACGTGCAAAATGTTGCAAAGGACATCAGAAGAGGTGCAAAATGTAGCTTGACGCACAGCTGCCTAAGAGCCCAGCCATCCCCAGCTCATCGGGTTCTGCTTCCCCGCCTTCTTTGAGGACCTTTGGCACGGCTTTCTCTCAGCATCTGCCAGTAGCAGCTCAGTAGCCGTGTAGCCGTGTAGCTGCTTCTTCTGCGCCCTTGGGGGCCCTCCCCCCCAAGGAGAACACGCACGCTCTCTTTCTCTCTCTCTCTCTTCTTGTGCGCTGCCTCGCCTCCTGAGGGGACGGCCACGCCGGTGAGGAGGGTCCGTGTTCCGGTCCAAAGGCATTACCAAGTACTACTATAGTAGTTCACGGAGCGTTGAAAATCTACGAGTATGGGCCTGTGGGGCAGGGCTGGGGTCCATTTCAGTGGCCCCCCGTGCTGAGAGGACGGTGCGTCTTAGCCTCCCTGTCTCTCTCTCTCTCTCTCTTCCCTGTGGCGGCTGCACGCCACCACACACCAGTGCTTCTAGGGGTTTCAAACTTACGGCTTCCACGCAGGCTGGTTCCAGCTTAACACGCTTCGAGCACTTTGAAGCTAAACCTGTGAGGGTTATACGGTTATACGAACCACAAGCAATGAAGCCAAGCAGCTGGGGCGGCAGCCACATCCAACCTCAGCCAACGCTTTGAGGGCACAAAACACCAGAGCTGCAGACACTGCAAAGGCTTGTTGAAGTCGGTAGCCGAAAGAAGATGAAAATCCAGCCACCAAACTGCAAACCAGGATGCGTGTTTCCCATTCCATCGTTTGCTGCTTGGTCACATGACACCTGAGATCCAGCAGGCGCATGCTTCAGAGTTTGGAATGTACTTGTGTCCCGATGCCCACAGACAGGGCGCCCTCATCTTGATGGCGCCATACTTTGCGAGATGCTCATCCTGCTAAGTTCAGGCTCCAAGAACGGTCACCCAATCATCTGGACTGCACTCCTATCCTTCGTCAAGAAATCAAGAAGCATCTGCAATACTTTGACCTCAGCTGTGTCAGGAGTCCGTGCAATGCATGATCGACTTGGAAAACTCACGCAGGCGGTTACAGAGGCTTCAGAAGACCTGATCATATCTTGCACGTGCCTCAGGATCTCAAGCTAGCTGCACTCAAGTCGAAGGCGATGTTGGCGGCCTCCTGACCACCTCGACAACAAGGCATAATATGCATATAGCCACAGCATGGTACGTCAGACCCCGCCATGTTAGGGCAAGATTTGTGCGGTTAACTTGAGTGAACTAACACACGGAAGCTCCGAAGGCGCAAGCCTTTGTTTCGAGTCAGGCCCGGGCCGTAAATGCAACGCTCCATATCTGCTAGCGGGATGTATTGGAAACCAAAAATCTCGGCAGTGTTGTGGTAGGCAACGATGACGCCATCCATGCGCCCAATCTTCGCTTGGAGCCCATACTTCATGAATGCGTTTCCTGGGCCAGGCAAACAGACGAGAAGAAACCATGTAACAAAAAAACAGGTGCCATGGACACAAGTGCATTTGATAGGTCAAGAAGCGCATCATTTCGTAAATCTCAAGTTCGTAGCTGTGCCGACTTCCGAAAATCTTGGTGATGCGGTATTTCCTCTTCCTTTCATAGTGCCTTATAGCAGGCGAAAGATGGTGGCGGTGCTGAGACAACATTCAAAGACTTTCTGTTTGTCGAATCTGCTGCTCATTCCATGCAGCTGGTTCCCCACACACCTGACAACAAATCAGAGATGTTGAAACCTCTCGAAGGCACGCGGCATCATGCCTGACGTCAAAGACCGCGCGGGTCTTGACGTCCTTGCTGGGTCACAGGGAGCCCGTGCACATGACTTACATCAATGCACAGTAGACAGTTCCTGCTGCCAAAACTCGAACACTTTGCCTTGATAGATGGCATCTAGTTGCGACCGCATCATGAATCGTCCGGCCTTCAAGAATCCTGAGTTGAACCCGCAGTCATCTACATCACCTCCAGCATATCAAGCTGAGCTGCTGTAGGCAAGGTCTTCCTTTTGTTGATCGGCAGAAGTGGGCTCTGCGGGCAGCACATCGCCCTCACTCTTGAGGAATCGCTCAACGAAGTCATCTTTGGACATCGTGAGCTGATACTCCATGGACCTCAGCCAGAAAGATTCTTCGATATCCCTCCGCTGCGTCCGGTGCTTTGATTGAGTCAGTGCTCAAGTTGTATCTTCTTTGCAAGGGTTCAGAGCACGCCTTAAAGACCAGACATGCTGCTTTCCCAGATCCATCAGCACATTCCTGTCCTCGGTCCAAACAGCAAATCAATAGATCAGCCAGTCACCGCGCTCTCATCTAGATCTTTTGGGCAACGTGCTTTGCATGAACAAAGGCTGAAGTCGTGTGAGGTGGCATCTCTAATTATAGTAAATAAGATGCAAAATATACTTTCAACATGAAGGATATGCAAACATACATATATTATATTATATTATATTATATTATATTATAATATTACATTATATTACATTATAGTATGTTGTATTATATGATATTATATGATATTATATGATATTATACGATATGATATTATACGATATGATATGATATGATATGATATGATATGACATGATATGATATTATATTATCTATATATATATATATGCCTGAGTGGAAATCCGGCCTCGGGGTCATCTTTCGCTGCAGTCAGCGACCAAAGTGAGCCAGATGCACGCCGTAGATACGAAGCCTGCAAGCTTGGCTAAGGGATCTTCGTGCTTCCGCGCATGCTGCTTGAAACATCGGCTAACGCCAGACTGGAAGCGCCCCCCCCACCCCCCTAACCCCTCACCCCACCCCCCACCCCCACGCCCCCCACCACCCCCACCACCCTCCTGAATGCAGTGAACAGCTTTTCAGATGGCAAGTTGCCGTCGGCCAGCGGGTGCTAGGGCTGAAGGTGGTCGGCCTGATTCGCAGCTTCTATGACAGGATCTCGGCGCAACTTGATGTCCGGGGTTGCATGGAAGCTTGCAGGTGTTGATGATATTTTGAAGGTACAAATCCCAAGTCGCAACGCCTTGTTGCATTTACTGCTGCTGTTCCAGAATGATGTTGCACCGGTTTTAGTATCGCTACCTGCCATTGAGGCAAGTTCCGGAAAGTATAGGGGATACCTCTATTGACAATGGTTCCCCGCAATTGAGCGAAGTTCGTTGCCCGGGGATGACGAAAAGCCTGGAAAGCTTAGACCCTCAGGCTTCAAGGTTTCCCCTCAACCCTCAACCCCTACACGCCCTGCCCGCCCTACCCCCAGCCCCAGTTCCCGCTTATAGAAGCTGAGCAAAAAGGCCGATTTTTTTGGGGGAGGGGGGGGGGGGCTGCATACTAAAGCGAGTGCAAAAACAATGCGCTCTGCCACACCATGCTACTAGAATATGCTTTGCAGCAGCTGCAAGCCCTCGCTGCGATGTGCCTCTCACGGTACGCTCGGCTGAGACCAATGGGATCAAACTCCCGGTGCCGTGAGATCGCAAAGTAGCACCGAGACAGAAGGCCTCCGTGCAAGTCGCATCAATGTTCAAGAAAGTCTGCGTTCACAGCCAAAGCTACATCTGCAGCAGTTGCGCAGGGCTCCTGTCAGAGAAGAGGTGCTGGAGAAGTACTGACAGTCATTGCTCAAGGCCTCAGCTGCCAGGGCAGGATTGCCAGGATTGTCCGACGAGCTTCAGGCTGTCCAAGTCAGGCCGGCTCCGCACATCACCACAACAGCGATCGAGAAAACATGAGAAAACTTTTGCCAAGCCACCAAGTCCTCCAGACGCTTGTCTTCATGTGCCGGCACAAATGGTGGCAAGGCCTTCCAGTTCACCTCCTAGGATGAGCAGAGTCGAGAATGCAAAGCCATGTGCTCACAAACTGATGTAGTTGAAGTCTAGACCGATTCTACACACAGCTTCAGAATGTTTCGCTCACGAAGCTTTCGCGAATTCGGCTGTGTGAGCGCAAACCTCATGGCAGCTCATACAAGTAGCATGCCCTTGCGCCCGAAATGTCTGAAGGACTTTCGTTCTTATCAGCTTCGAAAAGTCCCACCGAAACTTTCGCGAGCTAGCCGCTACAATACATTACCACAAGTATAGCTACTTCAATCCTGCACGGCAATATCAAAAAACTCGGCTCTCGATTTCTGTGTGCAGCCACACACGACGTGGAAGAGCACTTCATCTCGGACGTGGAACAGCATTTGATTTCGGACGAGCAAGCGAAGGGCTTCTACCATGCCGACAGGGCGCAAGTCTGCATCCTTGGCGCCCTCTTCCAACCCACTGCAGAAACAAACAATCGTCGCCATTGCAGCCATGGATCCTCTGGCTGCACGACTCGTCGGAGATCACGGCGCTGCTCGGCAGGCAGTGCAGCCAAGGGAACGAGCCTGCTCTCAACGAAAGCCGTTGTGCAGTCACATGCGAATGGTGCGTGGAAGGTCACTGTGGCCTACAACCTTCCAAAGTTTTCAATGTGAAATCACAGGATAGAAGTCTCTCTGAAATAAACCGTATTTTTCCCTAAATGTACTTGATCAGCCAAGTCAAGTAATTTCGGAACTCTGGACAAGCCCTTGCTGGAGCCTGCATTGCGCATGCGGCATGTCATGTCGGACGTCTATGCATTGACTTTCTCGCGCCTCCCGCGCAGCTCCACCACACTTTCTAATCCATGCGCAAGCCTGCCAGACTTGCAGCATCAAAACAAAGCAACACCGCATCTCCGCGGCATCCACCTTTACGAGGATACCCAAAGGCGTTTAGAAAGTTACCTTTCGGTTGAGCTTCGGGAGAGGCCGCAACCAACGGTTTGAACAATTCGAACAAGGACCTGTACTCAGCCTCAGTCTGAAAATCAAGCTGCAACCCCGGACCAGACATCGAGCTGGAGATGCTGGCTGCTAGCAACTAAAGCAGATTTCAAACAAACTCTTATCCATTCTTACACTCCAGCCAGGCTTAAGAGCTCCACTGGCAGGCTGAGGCAAAGACGCGGCGACGAAGCTACCGTCGGGATTCGGCCGGTCCTGTTGCAACATCAGCTTGTCGGCCTCTTTTACTGACCTCAGTGACCTCGCATGACATCGCATCTCTGACACACGACTTGAAAGAGTCTCCTCGAGAGGCAAAGCCTCGCGTTCCACGCCAAACTTCCAGGACCTGTACAAGTCCGTCTTGAAGGGCTATCCTCTAGCATGCTCGAGGAATTCTTCAGGAGATTCACAGAAATTCATACTTGGAAGCTCGACCGCTTGAAGCACATGCCCCCTGAAGCCTTGACCTGGGCCGCAAATTAAGCTGGAGTGGGATTGGCTGACTCAGAACAAAGTGCCTTCTATTGGCACAGGCTCATCTTCTCAACCCGAAACTTAGTTTGGACTATCGACCCATGACATGCCCCGTCGCCTACACGGAGTAACTACAGTAGCGTCGTTGGTTGGCATGATGCTATCGTTGTCCGGAAAGGAACAGCTTGAAAAACCTGCTGCAGGCGATTTCGGGGTCACGCTGGGACAAGCGGAGTTCGCAGTGAGACAGGCTGAGCTTTGCAGCTTGCCAGAAACGAGGACACCAGCAGGTGACACAGAAAATCATGCGGCAAAGGCTTTAGTGCAAACCTCATGGTGCAGTATATTGCTGCCTCCCAACTCGGTGGCCAAAGCGAAGGTAGCTGGTCATTGCGGCATCAGCGCTTTCCTCATGGTACCCGCACTCCTCAAGAGAACAGATTTTGCAAAAGACGATGGAAGCGGCCGCGAGCTCGCCACCTGGCTGGCCAGGCGGCAAGTGCAAGTGCCCGGATGCGCTCGACAAGGTAGCCGCCTCTGGAGTTTCAGTGCCAGGACGGTGGGCGCAGGTTTGCTGAGGTGGACCTCCATTCCCCTTCCTGGGACGCAAGCCCGTCATGCCTCCTACTGCTTTCAATGTGGCTGCACGTGGGACATGGGGCGTGGGGCCATGGCTCATGGCCGTTCAAGGGGCTCGGAACGCTCTCAGAAGGCCGATGCTGGCCACCAAGCCATGGACGGAACGTTTCTCCGAATGCCTGCTTTGAGCAACCCTGCACGCCAGGAAAGTGACCGGAGCATCTCAACTAGACCTGCAATCCGGCTTTCGTCTCAGGGTGCTTCGGGTGCGTTGTGCTCCTTCGTATCGTGCTCTGGGCACGCTGTCGAGGAGGCCGGTGACGAATCACCGGACCAATACGAAGACTTGTGGCATTTGATACTTACAAGCCGGCATGTCCCATGACAGTTGGCCAAACCCTCCAAAACACTAAACACTGGCAGAGCAACCAACGAGCGCGTGGACCAGACCACTTCTGGCAACAACCCCCCTACAGTGAGCATAAAGTAAAAAGACTCGAGCTCCCGAGACTCGAGCTCCCGAGATTCCATTGATTGCTGACAACATCTGGTCCGAGGCATGCTGTAGTCCGATCGGCAGCTGTGGATGCCAGGATTATTTCGGATGATGTTGATGCGGCAGCCCGTTGTATCTGTGGTTCGGTTCTCTCCCGTGTGTCTCCCGTCCACGCCGATGACTCTGCCAACAGAGTGTGGAAGCACCAGCTTCAAGACACCAATACCGCTGAGGTTTACGGATGTGGTGAGAATTCCAGTCAAGACTTTTGTCTCGGGACAGACTGGAGTTAAGGGTCATGTGGGTCTTTGCACTCATAGGGTCGTCTAGGGGATGTGGGAAGCATGCCATGGCCATGCCGGCCATGCTACAAGGGCATCCTTTGAACATGCCTATGCTTTGCGATGTTGCAGTACATAGCACATGCGGGTGCTACTGGACTCTTCCGCGTGCCAGCATGAGACGACACTCTGGAGCCTTCTCATGTGTTGATGCAGAAAATGAAACGGAACTCAATGCCTTATCATGTGTAGCTTGCAAAAACTGAAACGAGATTTAGTGCGGAACTCCCCTATCCTCTTCACTCCTGAAAGCCCCTGCAACTCGTCGGCTGGCGTCTTTCTTGACATTCTGTGCGAATGCCCAACTGACAACAGCAGGACTTTACCAGCTACGTCTACAGTATTGTACAGCTATGACAGGCAATGACGACGACCCGCAGAGTCTCCCGGCCTGGATGGCTGGCGTAGCAAAGCTTCGACCACTCCCGAGCGACTCAGACGCTTTCCGTCCTTCAGAAACTGTGCCGCTTCTTGTTGTTCTTGTTGTTGTTGTTGTTGTTGTTGTTGTTGTTGTTGTTGTTGTTGTTGTTGTTGTTGTTGTTGTTGTTGTTGTTGTTGTTGTTCTTGTTGTTCTTGTTCTTGTTCTTGTTCTTGCTCTTGCTCTTGCTGTTGCTGCTGCTGCTGCTGCTGTTGTTGTTGTTGTTGGCGGCAAAACTTGTAAGGATAACAGATGGGGTCAGTTGCTTTAGATGTCGGAGCCGAACTCTGCTGAGCTGGTGCGCTTCAGGACATGTCCAGGTATGTCTAGGCTACATGCGATTGTACCCTTGCCCTTGCATTGGCGACCAGAGGCGGTTGTATGATGGTCAATCCTGCGGCCGACCCGTGTTCGCCGCAGACTGAAAGTACCGAAAGGTCAGGGGGCACTGGGTGATGGGGCCGCCTATCAGTATCGTCCACAGTTGATCCCTATCCGCCTTGTCGAAGATGCTATCTTCAGGCAAAATCTGCGCAGCCATGCGAAGATCTTGGTCAAGGTCGCCTTCCTCAAGCTCGCCCACGTCACATCGAGTCTCTATGGCTAGCAGTGGTATACTCTGCTCCGATCAGCACAGTTGGCAGTCGCTCCTGGAGGAATGTGCGGCCCTGCCACGTGCACCATGTACCATGGTGTAAGGAAGTGGCTTTCCAGTGCAGTCTTAAGTGATCACTGTGCATTGTACACACAGAAAATCGTGTCCCGCGTGCCTGAAGCGACGTCGCCGTCGCGGCAAGCTCAGCTTCATCCAGATCCTCGAAGTCAGCCGTGTCCTGCTTCATCCATTGGCAGTACCCTGATTATGCTGTGATCAGCTGGAAGTCAAACTTGTTTACTTAACCTATGCATGAAACCACCCCCTGGAGTCCTTTCACCCGGAAGAAACATCAGCACATGAGGGTTGTCCGATATCCCTTCTCTTCTGTCGCACTAAAACCGAAAAGCGACAAGCTACTCTCCCAACACGAGGCACACCAAGCACACCACATAACCCTTCTTTTAGCGTTATGGTATAAATATAGCATTTTCGAGGCCCTTTCGCAGGCCTTTGACACGTCATGTTTTGCGCACTGTATTCGAGATCTTAAAGAAGTCTTTGGAAATAATTATCGCAGCGGAGATGCCGCGCAATGTCAAATCAGCAAGATTGGTCAGGAGCTGTAAACTAGACGGCGCTGACACAAGGCATCACACTCATCAAAGCAATTCAGCACGATGCCGGCGCGTAACCAGATCTGGCAATGCCCACACACTGGTCACCAAAGAGACATCCGAAAGTTTCTGAAAGGACCCGTTCTCACCCACCTAGGCAAGAAACAAGAACCACACATTCAACAACCACAACACACGCCCGGAACTGTGCACCACACAAAGAAACTTGGACTCAGAAGCCATGCAGATCATCTAACGCAGCGCCGCAAGCATACGAGCAGGTGAAAGAACGTGCGTTTAGACAGTGAAACGCATTTTCGGGTCCAATTACAAGTACACTCGACGGCCTCTGCGCAGATATCCAACTGCTGGGAACGGGTCCTTTTGAGCTCTGGTGAAACTAGGATTTCTGTTGTCGCGCGCAGGGTTCTCTGGAACAAATCATGTCCCTTCAAATTTAACAACTAAACACCATCTCTACACGCTTTCAGACACGGAACCGTAGCTATCACAACGTTGGGAATGGCTTTTCCGCACCGTGCGCGCGCAGAAATACAATGCCAATGATGTAAGGTAGGTCCATTCTTCTTAGCAGGAATCGATTGTTGACGGCTTCCCCGCAGTGCGCATGCCCGAAGATACCGCTTCAAGTGAGTTTTTCCAAGTAGGCCCATGCTATTTTACTAATCTCGTTTGAAAAGTTTCTCCCGAGCGTGCACGCACAAAGGCTGTCTTCACGCAAGACGTCGCGACTTAAAGCTACCCATTGTAGGGTCCTTGAAGGGGCAAACATGGTTTGGGGAATTGGCCATATCTCGGAAGCTTCGGAGTTACAACACAAACAGAGATAGATCCCTTGATTTCCGGACCTCGTAAGAACAAATATGGCACCACACCGAATGCTGAAAGTTGAGCACGTGAGTACATCGGAGAAGACCCTCTGACACCTCACCCCAAAAAATGGAGGTCTGACAAGGAAACTCAGCGTGGTAGCCATGCGATGAAAGGCACTGACCCTCCGGAGTTGTAAGACAAGTACTGACAGTTAGCCTTGACCGTTGATGCCCCAGCTTCTTGGAGAAAACCCCGTGGGCTGACCCCGGGCAACAAGCACTAACACGACATGGTAAGAACATGCACAAGCCAGTGCTGAACATGGGAGGGGGCGGGGGTGCCCAGAAGGCATTCGCCTAAGAGTATCCCCCAATATTCCCCAGGTGGGGGTTGAAGAAAAAACAGTATCCAAGAGCAGGGATGCAGTATGCACACTCTGCTTGGGACTTGACAGGACCGCGGGTGGCTGCAGGCCTCGTCTGCCTCGTCCAAGTTGTCGAGATCCAGTTGCTCTAGGTCCTCTGACGATGCAGCGGCACGAAGCTAGTAGCGCAAATGACTGGCTCCTCTGCGGTCTGGAGCTCTTCTAGAAACTCTCCTTCAGCTTCTTTGGCGCCTCTCTCATGAGCGCGTTACTGACATCAACAAGCCCCACAAAACCAGGCAAGCGACTTGAGGGTCTCCGTAGTATAGGTCCCCTATCCATTATGCCAACCGTGGCACACGCCCAACCCATCCACGCGTGGGTCAACACGGGACTGCACATCACTGCGGCCTTCTTGACGAGCCTTTTTCAGATTGCGTTCAAGTTGCTTTTTCGCTGCCTTGACAGCACTCCCGCCAGAAACACCACTGCAAGACAAGCCATCTTACTGGCTGTTGGCATTCCGAGTCATTCCGAGTCCCGAGCTGCTTGTCCTCTCACAGCCTTTCGAGTACTCGAAAGGCCTCGAAGACCACATTTCATGCCAAATGCTTGCCGTGCCGACGGGTGCTTGCCTTTTTGCAGACAGGCTGCGGACTGCCACTGGCCACAAGGCATATGACAGAGGAACGTCCATGGAAGGTGCATCAGCCCTCGCCTGGGCATTCCCATTGTTGCTTTCGCCCAAGGCATCAGCACTTTAAGGGGTGGAGATCTGCTTTGGGTTTCAGTCACGCAGGCATGCCGATACGGTTTTGAAGCAAACAATGCAATTTACAGCACGGACGCATGTCCAAGTCTATGAATCATCAACTGTGGTGCAAAAGACTTCAATGTTTTAATACGGGCTTACATTATCTTCATGTTTACTTGTTCACCCATCACACCTTGAGAACCAACCTCTGTTTCCAAGCCACTAAGAACCCACCCTCGGGACCCCAACATCAAATCCTGGTTTCGATCGCTCATGACCCTATAATTCCCAGCGAACAACCTTAACTTTGAGACAGGATTTTGGAAAAGGAAATCACTTGCAGCTACAGAGTTCTCAAGCCGCCCCTTGTCTCGTGTGCCCGGTGTTGCTACCTGTTGGTGTGCCCTGCAGCCATGAACACGCCGGGGTGAAGTCTCATGAGCTTCCCCAAGCTCGGCTCGGAGGATATGGCAAAGAATAAACAAGCGTGATAGGAACTGATAGGACTGATGCTCGGCACCGGGCCTGGTGGCGCTGGCACACTGAGCGCGGTGACTGCGGCGATGATCGGCCGGGAAGACGCCAGGCCGGCACCTGCAATTTGTATACCAAAGAACCGTGGCAAACCTCTGGTTGAGGGATAGCTGCACTTCTTTGTGGCAGAAGAGCTGTTTGTTCAAGCAGTGGCTAGCTATTCAACTGACAAATACCTGTGGTGCTTGCCAGGCGGCCTTGGTAAATCCTGCGGCATGAGCCATCGCATGTCAAACAGCGGCTGTGCAAACGGCCAGCCGCGCGCAGTCTTCGGGGCAGCTGCTGCTGAGATCACGCACGCAAGCAAGCAGCTGGACGTGTGGTGTATGCGGTGTGTGTTGAGCAGGTCTACGCCAGTCTATACGCTATACTTCGAGCACGGGCTTGAACCTGACGTTGATTCCACGGACGCGTCCTTGACCACGGCTCCGTGGTGACTTGAGTACTTCGGGACATTCCACTTTGCGGCTCGCTTAGAGTGAGGTGCCCGCGCATGGGAAATCGTATGTACAAGCGAGGGAAGCTATGGAGATATGGGACTGACTCGAAAAAGCCCGACCTCTGTATGTTCTTAGAACCTCAGAATTACAAAGGATCCTAGATGGGCCCTTGATTCGGAACAGCCTCCATATTGACCGCGAACCGCACCTTCTTGGCGCAGCCGCAAGAAGCAAACGCCTGACCCATATAGATCCTGCGCCATGAAAACTGAAAGCTCGTGTAGAAATCTTGTTGGCCTTGCCTGGTTCTTTGCCTATCCAGCTTCCGGGAGGTCTTCAGGATGCGAAACAATTGCCGAATCCCAAGTCGTCAGTCCCACCAACGACCCCGATAGAGGATTTCCACGGTTCCCCTTGGACCTACCCGAACTCGGCCATCGGTAGAGGCTGCGTAGAACGCAGGAAAATCAAAGTCGTGGGAAAGCAGTCAGTGCTTGGCAGGCAAGCCTGACAAGCTCACTGCCTGCAAGCTCGCAGCTGTGCTCTTCGCCCTGGCTGATGCAAAGCAACTGAAGCAGTCAGGAAGCCATTCGAAGCCTGAGCACTCAGGCGCTGTTTCGAGGCATCGGGAAGCTATGTCTGCTTGCGCTATGTCAGAACCCGAAACTCTTCAAACTTACAACATGCTTGTGTATGAGCAGGCAGCTGGTAGTCTTGGAAGGACAGGAACACCAAAGTGGACGTCCCAGCTTGTCAATAAGCCACCTCCCGGCAGCATGCATCGTAGAAGCACTTGAAGTGAACATGCATGATTGGAGAAATGTCTCAGACCAAATGTTTTCGATTCCTTAACCTTGAACACCGCACTGTTACATTCGATCTCCCGATGTCATCCACACCGCAGAGTCAGGGAAGACTGCTAAGGCTGAACAAAAAATGGCGAGACAGCAAGATAAACACACACACACACACACCCACACACAGGCAAACAAGGAGACAGCGTTACTTTTGCAATGCCACACACAGCTGCGTTATCGGTGGCCCTGGCATCTTCAGACCCGCGCAGTCGCACATACCAATGATCCAACCGCCCCAAGGCTAAGGCTCTATCAGTAGAGTACCGCGCAGACCGTGTCGGGCAGAACTGATGGTTTGGCATGGTTTGTTTGGCCATGCTTGCGAGTGCTTGCCCCCAGTCTCAACAATCAATTGTTGGAGTTGCCCAAGGGCCCAAGGGCGCCTGGACGAGGGCTGTTGCGACGACCTTAGGCAACGGGGACATAAAAGCAGGATGAAACAAGTCTTGGAGCCCACCTTCGATGTTTCGCAATGCCGAGACCCGATTATCCCTATTGTGCGTGAGGATGCATCACGGCACCTGGGGGCTGCAAGCACTTTCGGACCTCCATGTAGCCACCTCCATGAGATTAAGATGTATTTAATCACCAAAATCATAATCACCTCCCCCACGGTTCAGAGTTCTTGTCATTCTCGGGCATCCGGGGACGCTATTTTGCTGCCGGCCTACGCCAGAACCGCGAGGCAAATGTACAGTAATTTGTCAAGGGGACTGTGATACGACATTTAAGGCAGGAGCAAGCTCGATAGAACCTGCTCTGTACTACAATCGCTCCCTCGTTTCGAAGTGGCGAATGCACACGGAATGAGGGCGTTTTTGTGCAAGCGATCTCAGAACATGTGCGGCAGGACAGGCAGAGGCTGGGGTGCTACTTGTTTTGGTGACCACAAATTCCGCAAAAGGGTTGACGTGCAAAAGCGCTGCTACCCTCCTTGTTGGTCCAGTCTCCCAGCCCTGCACACGTGGAATCTTGCTTTGACAAAGCTTACGCACTTGCTCAGGTTTGTGTGGTAAGTAATTGCTGACCTGATGATTGTAACATGGGTCATGGTCTTCTTAACTTAAGTCACCAATCACCCGTGCAGTCCAAGATTCTAAGCATTGCCGCAGCCACCAAAGTGGCAATGGCACGGCAACGAGTGGCGCTTCGAAGGCCTGCGACTATGGGCGCAGGCATGCTTGCTATTCAGTACACCGAAACTCCAAACTCCAACCCGAAAGAGGGTCAGCTTAGCGGCCACAAGGTCTTAAGTCTCCGAAACATGGCATTCGGACATGTGAACCGTCTGCACAAGCCAAGCTTCATATGAAAGGCATGCACGCAGAGATCCTTGCTGCAATCCACTTAGTTCACACGTGGAGGTGTTCACTCAACTTGTTTTCAGATCTGCCTCCTGGCGGTAGTCAGCCGCCTGCCAAGGTGTCATCCAGCTTCTTCCCTGTATCGGAGCAGAGTTGAGGTCCGTTGATGCGAAAATCCATGAATGCAACCGGCTGCAAGGCATCGCTCACGCCAAAACTCCTCGCTTGCAGCCCAAAGCACCCCAGCGCCGGATTTTGCGGCTGTCACTGGCCTCCGCCCTGGGATGTTTTTCTTTCTCGGTCATGTCACCCCTACGGCCTATATTTACCCAAGGTTTGGTTTTGCTATGAAAGCGGGGTAGTGGCTGACCTGGTTCTAACCATAAGGCAGCAGTTGCATCAGCTCAGCTCGCGGCTGCGCACTTTGTGACTCAAGTTGCATGACGAAGAAGCTCATAGTTCCTAGACTATAGAGTGTATAGTAGTCTATAGAGTCTATAGAGCGCTATCCAAGCCAACTTCGCAGGCAAGACTCTCCGGCACTTCATGTCGTTTCCCGCCCTTGCGCCCAGCACCCTTGCCGCCCTTGCCAGAGGTGTAAGCAGACGTGCTCATCGGCCCAGGATCGCCTGGACGGGATGAAGTCCCCATAAGCAGAATCGCACAAAGCGGCTAGGGAACCAAACAGCTCCTCTTTTGATCCCAGTTGAAAGCAAGCGGCCCTTGGCACCACCAAACTTGGCAGGAAGCACCCCGCCCTTCGAGTCCAGCGCTGCTTTAAACTTGGCGAGGTTCTCCTGGACCAGTGCTGCTGGTTTGCATCCTCATCTATGCTCGGTTGCTTGTCAGCTGCCTTGGGCGGGCAGCTGGCATTGAAACCCTTCGCTGTTGGTTAAGGCTGTGAGAACGGATGATGCACCCGGAAAGGCTCGACGGGCATTTGGGTAATGGAGGCCTCCAGAAACAGTGCAACTGTGAAGCGCGCTTGCCCACATGCCTATCTAAATCTGCATTGGTATCTCTTCATGCAAGTTGATCGCTCGGTACTACGGTACGTGGATCAGGCATCCATGTTCTGATCTGAACTACAGCGTCAGCACTCCCTAAGAAATCCCAAGAAAGCACTGGTTTCAGAAAATGAGGGGCTCGGCCGAAAGCCGATACCCAAAAGTGCGAACATCAACGTGCATCACTATATTTCGAATCCAGGGTATTCCAGCTTTGGGGCAACATTTTCCCATTGTAGGGACCTCGGGTCGTAGGAAATCAAGACATTCAGGGTTCCCTCAGCTTGGGCTTGAATCAACAGTCACTGGCCTGTAGGTAGTCTTGCCGGGCCACATTAGCAACTTCAACGTCAGTCAGCCTCAACATCAGTCTAGAAGTCAAGGAAACCCGCAGATTTGGAGTCAAGGCCAGACTCGAATGGATATTAGGCAATGAGAGGAGGCTGATTTCTTAAATTGCAAAATGAGCCACTCACGTTCTCAAGTCTTTTAGGACAACCAGACCCTCACTTTGTCCTAAGAACCATTGGGCCTGGCCCTATCTTCTTAAATTCGATGTGGGTCTGGCGGGGACCCTCCCCAGACCCTCCCTCCAAACAGTCTGCAAACTATTCCCAAGCCTCCCAAAACCCTCCCAACCCGAGCAGGCCCAGCAGCAAAGAAAAAGAGAATCCAGGGTTTGACAGACAAACACGGAGGCCATACTCCGATGTCCTCCCGCGCACGCTGGTGATCGACAATAGGCTGTGGATAGTCCTGAAATACTTGGCGCGTCATCTAAGCTGTGGCAGCTACTAATCCTGCCTGCCCGATGACGCAGCCAGCTTTCTTCTGCTCTGCCAGAGGAGCTGTCCATGGCTTGTCTTAGCGAACCCGGGACACTTGTCGACATGTGATGTATGCACGGTGTCCATAAGCCAGCACCAAGCCGCCGGCACTCACAAAACTGAAGACTAATTACGCGTCTGGGAAGGCGGCATAAGTACTTGGCGGGCATGTTCTTCAGCTCAGGCACCTGAGCGGTATTCCTACGTATTTCTGCAGAGCCGGAGTGCACAGGCGGAGTCGAGCTTAGAGGGCACCTGTCTTGGATAGAGGTTTGTGTCAGACACCCGACTGTGGCCAGACCGAAGAAGCTGGGCTGCCAACGTAATGCTTCACGAACTCTCCAGTCTGCTCGGCGTTCAGGCTGGACTTCGGACCCGGACAAGGATCCTTGTTGACAGCCGGAAGGCATCTCTATAGTACCCAGCCAGGCCATCTTCTACGTACCATGTCGCTGCACGCCACCGAGCATCATAGATTCGGAAGTAAGGAGCAGAGAACGGTGCGACGCCTGCAGAAAGGAGCATGCAGTCCGTGCATGCGATTTTGGGTGCGCCGTGCCTGCCAGCCACAGCCAGTTGCCTCGGCTCAACAGTGACGAAACGTCTGCCAGGCCTTCAGTTGAGAGCCAAGTTGTTTTCAAGTTGACTAACTTGTCAAACGACTTGCTGGCTGCAGGTCCAAGCTGGTCCAAGCCACCGTTGTTCAGAGCCCAGTCTGCATCCAGCAGGAGCCTGTCGAATACATCACGACCAGCTGTCCAATGTTGCCAGAGATCTCCTTCACCCCATGCTGCACGTGATCGCACAATGTCTTGCAAGTCAACGTCAGCCCTGTCCACCGTTTTCATGCGGGGATCCCAGACTCCTCGTGTTAAGAAGCACGCCACGGCGTGGCGTCCCAAGTGGTGCATAAAGCCTGACTTGAGCAGCTAAAAGTGCCCCCAAGCCCTGCGGCCTGTGGGTCTAGGGCAGCTGTCCAACCCCTGCGATAACCTGCTGTGTGTGGTAGGCTTTTTGTGCCATCAGCCTAGGCACAACGTAGGGTTACTTTCGTAAACCATCTGCACCGGCAACTGAAACAGTATACATTGCCTCACCATCACTTATCATCCAACAAGCTTTCTCATTCAGAAGGGGGCTTATGCTCATTCAATTCTGAGCGCAATGCGACGAACAATGCGACGAATACTTGCCGAAAGAAAACCCATCAACGTCTACGCCTTTGTGACGATGAAGAGGCAATTCCTCAGGCCAAATTCCAAACGAAGCCCATCCACTTAACCTGACAATTACAACGACAGGCCTTAACAGCAACAACTCTGAACTCCAACAGCGGCGCGATGTAACTCCAAGGTCCTATCGTCACTGAACCACTTGAACCATCGCAAAACATCATGCGGGGACGTTTCCTCAATCTTCCACAGCCCTTAAGACTGAAAAGAATTTGTTGCACTGGTTCCATGAGTCCCAGTCCCAGTGCGCCTGTTTGCTTGAGCTGCCGCATCAAAGCATCAATAAACGGGTACCCTGTCTTGCCAGCCTCCGAGGGTCCGAGGCACCAGTTGTGCCGCTTTGTAATCCGTGCACACACCAATATATCATGATAGGGATGCCACGTGCAATGAGGGAATGGACAGAAATCGCTGGGCCTCCCATGCGGCAAGAAGGTGTTCATCGTCGCCCCAGGGGATCACTTTGCACATTGTGTTCCTCCGGGAAATCAACGGAGGACAGCAGAAACTAAACCAAGGGATGGACGGCAACACGCTGCTTGTTGCACCTTTTCTGGCACGTAAAGAATAGTTTCACACACAAGCCCCAATGTGAGCGCGTTCAGGTGTACACCACAAGAAGGCTTTCGAATCCAAACACAACGCGAGGCACAGACACAGCCACAGCCTCAGGTCTTGAGGTAGCCCTTCTAAGTTGGACGAGCAGCCCCTCATTACGATCGAAGTTTGGCACAGCTGCGCCAAGCAAGTAGAACATCTCGCGGAAAAGTAACCTTGGAGGAGAGGAAGATTTTGGCTTCGTCTTGAACTCGGGTGACCAGTGTTTACCGGAGACAAAGTGCAGAGCAAGTCCAGCCAAGTTATAACAGGCGGCTGGCCGTGCAACGACTGCGGCGGTTGAGAGTGACTCTTGCCACGAATGCAGCGGTCGATGGCGTACCATGCTGTCCGCACCGAGAGGCACCCGAACTTCAAGTACGGAGACAAGCCTGGCGAACCCGGCATTCGGCCCACAAGCTCACCTTCGATCCTCTCAATCGCTTCGGCATTCGGAGCATGAAACAATGACCTCTACACCACTCTCTGAAGCACCTGTGGTGGAGGGCTCCCAGGGACATCCGGGACGCCCCGTGGAGGCTGTCTTCGGCTTCTCAAAGCAGCGAACCTTGGATTTCTGAGGGTTCGATCCTGTGGTGCACAAGCAAAGGTATCTTCATCTGATGCTACGACTACCAGCCGCACCTTTGGTATCATCAGATTAGAACTATGCAATCTTGGCTAGACGAAACTGGCCAGCAGTCGTCAGATGTGGCAAAGCTCAAGTCAAATTCAGGGGGAGGGCCAAGAAGCAGCAAGTGTGGCACCATTCTTGATGCTTGAAAGAGCTTGTAAGCCTGGTGGCGTACTCTGCATCTGAGCATACGCGCTGGAGCCTTGCAAGAGCCTCCGTCTCGCCACCTGCAGAATGAACTGTGCATAACTTACCTAACTGTACCTCAGATCAAACTTCGACAGTAGCACTGTGCTAGGTTTGTGCACGTGCTGAGTCACCGTTGAACTTGCTGCTTGGGTCAAACGGTCACATCCGACTTGCTGCGCGAAATCAACACACACACATGGCACTACGAGTAGCCAAACAGAAGTGCAACTCTCATGATTTCAGACTGCTAAGCTAACCCCCCCTTCTACTCAAGTATGCCATCAAGCGGTCAAGGTCTTGTGTTGGAATGATCCTTCCAGTCGCCAATGGATTAGCTCTCTGTCATGTTACGTCTTGGAGCTTGTGCCATTGTTGTGTGACAGTGACAGGTTGTGGAGATCGGCTCCGTGTGCACAGAAGGCTACTGCGGATGCCTGGGAATCCCTGGCTGGTAGGCTCGTCATCATACAGCTCGGAGATAGCTGGCACCTGATGTCCTCTGGCATTGTGGCCATTGAGACTTGCTTGAAGATTGGTTCGCCGCTCCGCCATTCTGCTTGACTGATCTTGCAGTTTGTCATGCACCCGTCCTTCCACCTTCAGCGGCGGGATCTTCGGCACGTCCAGCGGCGCGCGAAACGGTCCAGCGGCATTCACTATCTCAGCTCACACTGACTCCAACTCAAAACGACCTATAGGAGGAGCCAACTGTCCAGTCAAGAAGCCGCTTGAATACTCTTCATGGAAATCGGAGGCTTGAAGCCGGGCTTCCAAATTGTGGCATCGATGTCCAGCAAGGTGTGCCCAGAAAACTGCTCCTGAGTAGATATGCACTTATGTGCATTCATTCCCTCCGTAATATGGAGTGTCAAGCGCGACAGGGCTCCAAGAATTTGTCGCGCTCCACTTCGCAGAAGCTTGCTAAATTGCCGTGCAAGCCCAAAGCAGCCGAGCGTCTGCTTGCACTCCCGCCTCCTCGAGCAGATGAATCCAAACACTGGGAAACAATGCTTGTGCATGCAGGAAGAGTCACTCGAATTGCACGAACGACTTGGCCTTCAGAACCTAACCCTGCACTAATTGCCGCACCAAAGGCCTTGTAAGCTCTGCAGAAACTTACTTAAGGCATGGGCGCCTGGGGAAGCGGACTTGCTTTTGTGACCTTGCCTTGGCCATGGCCAGCACCCGGGCATCACGAGCGCGTGCATATGGCTCTGTGTCGGCCTTCTGGTGAATCACAGCAAAGCACATGGATGAAGTGCTACGTTCGTGAAGGTAAAGGCTGGCTGGCAAAAATGTGCAGGTCATTTTGCCTGGCCAACCGAACGGCCACACACATCCATTTTAGGGCGGGAACCCAGCCGCTGCTTTTTGTCTATGCAACTGCGCAGCGACGGAGACTGTTGATCGAGTTGTGCGCAGTGAGTATGTCGGTTTGAATATGTCAATACCTATGATGTACGGACTCCTTTGCGTAGACAGTCCGCGCACAATCGGAGTATCTATTGGGTGTAGTGACTCTCCTTAGCAACTGAAATAAACTGTTGCATTGAAAGTGACGGTAAATAGCGCGTTGCTCACTCCCTCCTTTAGGGTCGTGGCTGCGCTGTTGTGCGTGGCCCGCGCAAACAGCACAAGAATGAAAAGCCCATTTGCCAACACCGGGCCTCCCAGAACACGGCTGAGAGGCGGAGAGGAGCCTGAGACATGTAGGGAGCTATAAGTATCACTAATGCTGGTACAATAATAAGAAGAGTGAGAAGAAATAATCATGATAACAATAGTAATAACAGCAATACTACGAATAATAGTAGTACTAGTAAGAATAGTAACAATAGTACTAATAGAAATAATTGAAATAATAATAGAAATAATTTAATAATAGAAATAATAGTAGAGCGCCCCTCGGGAACTTGACAGCGTCCCGTAGATGTCTTTCCCAAGAAGCGTCAAGCCTCTAGCAGCCTGTTTGTGTGAAAGCTGCCCGGCCTTCCCACTGAAGAGCTCAGCCAGCACCTGCTCTGGTTGGCCTCTGCCACTTCTCCACGATGCATATAAAACACACACACACACACACACACACGCGCACACACACACACACACACACACACACTCTCATACCCTTATGAGCAGGACAGCGGCTAGATCTTGCCCGGTAGTTCGACATGCAGGTGTTGATGCACACGACAAGCTCGCAACGTACACACAGCGCCGTGGTAAGAATGCCCGAAAACCTCATACTCGCACATCTGTTACACAGGCATGGCCTCGGAAGACCAATAGCCGACTCTTTCGACTGCGAAGCTGTTGGTCTAGGTCCTTGTGAAGCTAATCGGCCGAGGTACAAGCCAGCTGGATGGTCGTTTGAAGGTCAACATGCAGATCTATCGATCATCTTGGGTGAACTAAGAATTCAACGTCATACTTCTGACGAACAAAAGAGCGTCCTGCAGGCTCTGCAGCAAAAAGTTGAACCTTCCACAAGACATTACGACATTGGGACCGCCGTTTGCTGAAGTGTCGACATACTGGGAATGTGCGAATGTGGCCTGTTGACCCCCACCCTGCTCTTGTCGAAGTGCGGGTCAAGGATAAAGAAAGGAATCACATCGAGTCCGCTTGCTGCAGCCTGGCAAGTCACACGTTGTGCCGCCCATTGCGAATCACTCAAAACCCCCCAACATCCCTCTTACTATGATTACCATTGTTACTATTAACTATTATTGCTAGTATTACTATAATTACTATGATTAACAGGCAGCAAACCCGGCCTTTGCCAGCGGCTCGTTGTCGTGGAGGCGAAGACATTTTCGAAACCAAACGCCAGCAGCCATAGCTTAAAGGCGGACATGAAAGGGAGTCTGGTAAATCTACTTGTCATGCCCAGGATGCAGTGTGGTGCCTGTACCGGTGGCTTTTGAAGTAAGTCAAGAACTCCAAGACACTCTCAATCTTGCAGCAGCTGCAACGACGCTGCTTTTGAGACTCTGTTGGTACTAGTACCCTACGTCTGAGCACGCGGCTTTGCATCAACATGGCAGTATGTCGCGGTGTCGATGCGCAGGTGGCACCTCGCTGTGTCATGTCATAGGCCTGACGAGGGCTTGGGGGGGGGGGGGGGGGGGGAGGAGTCGCGCCGGGAAAGGCTTTGAAAACGTGTCGCTCTGCAGCCACAGTGCGCAACTCTTGAAACTTTTCCGGCAAGTTCCATCCGTTTTTCGGCACCCTGGAACCTTGATGTACAAATATTTTGGTCAGGATGCTTCCAAAACCTGTGCATTGCAAGGAGCTTGCTTGGCAAAGTCTCCGAGTCAAACATGCATGGACACACAGGAAGGGAGGTGTGAGGGAACAGTTGGCCCATAGAACTAAGACTTAAACACTCCTCGGTTCCAGGCGAGTACTCAGAAATGTACTGTAATACTGCAAACTCAGAAAAGGATCATCTCTACTTCCTGCTTGTCTAGCATCACACTCCATTTGGAGGGAGCTATGGCATCCCTCAGCCTTCCTGCAAAGCTCCACTACGGCCGGTACCTAGGACCTAATGACGGTCTACCTATGGACACTTCTTATGAACTTGTCATGAACAGCTTGTCTGCGAGCTACTTCGCTAAAAGTGCCCTGGCACGGAGCATGGCGCAGGACGGGCATGGGACGCATTGGATTAACTGCCGGTCTGTCCAGGTCACCGTCGAAAGCCGCGAGCAGCCTGATCCTCCACATCGTAGCTCAACAGCCTCTGAAAGCCGCCCAGCTTGCCATCCGACTTTGTCGCTCCCATGGTTTTGAAGAAGACAAGATCCTCCTGCGGGCAGGAGGAGACGTCGAAGGACTCATTGCGGCGATGCCAGAGAGAGTCCGGGCCCCTTGGTGAGGGATCTGCGAAAGGATCGGAGCCTTCGGCTTCGTCCGTTCGCCCCCCAAGCTCCGGGGGCAGTCGGGCTTCCAGCATGGCAAGCACCCACAGCATCTTGTGCTTGGAGGGTGCCAGCTGCTGTAAGTTGTTGCCATAGATATTCAAATGGCAAAAACACAAGCGGCAAAGGATCTCCACAAAGCCATTGAAGCTCAAAGACTCTTGGCCGTACCTCGCCTCGCAGGCCTCCACGTGGCGCGCGAGGGCGAAAATCTGCACAAAGTCTGGGAGGAAGTTCAGGTCCCTTAGGAACCTCTGGAAGCGATCCTGATCCATCAGCACCTCGGACTCCTCACTGAATGACGTCTCGCTGGTGTAATGCTGGAAAAGCGCCTGCCAGTGGGCTCTGCCGGCAGGGGGTAAGGAGAAAGTTCAGAAGGGCCTGGTTGCTATTTTCATGCATGAATCTTGCACCCGAGGAAAGGTGCTGCTCAATGAAGCAGTTTCTTACACCAGTTTTTCATCTCGGCTTAGCGGCTAAGCTTGCAAAGAAGAACCACAAGATCCAACAGGCTCATGCAGAGCACCGGCCTCCAACAATGCCTTGTACTCGTGTAGCAGCTGCAAGCACTCTGGCTCGCATATCCTTAATGCAAGTCTGCCGCGCCATGTCCACATGCAGCTGCAGAACGATTGTGCGTACAACAGGTAGGCCGTGGATCTGCTGTTCAGCCAAATTCATCTGCCAGCTCAACGGCAGCTTGGTACCTTCAGGCTCGCCCTCGTCATCCATTTCCTGCTCAGCTTCGGCGAGTGTTTGTGATCGTTGGCAACGCTTTCGATGTTCCGCATCTAGCCCGAATGCCACATGCTGCTTATGTTACTGCATCACTTCGGTAGTTTCTATTGGTCGGCATATTTTGAAGCCCAGGTCATCACCGACGGTAGATCCAGCGCCGCTGAAAAAACTCAATGCCCGCGAAGCACTCCGTGACCTCATGTTCGTCCAGACAATTCGGTGCAAGTAATGTGGAACATGCGCCCGTACCATCCATGCACGGGGTTCCATCTGGATCTGCAGCTAGGGAGACCCTTAAGTGCTATGCGGTTCTACTCATATGTGGCCATGCAGGCGACATCCTGTTCTACGATTCTTGAACCCCTCCCTAAATTAAAAAGAAACGCTTGGCCGGACCTCCCCTTCGGGAAGGGGCGCCCTTCTAAATTATCATATTGGAGGGAAGACCAAAAAACCGAGCATTGGACTTCAATAACACTTATAGTCCAAAAGCTGCCGCTCCCAGGCTTTCAAACTGCATTTCCCAAGCCCAAGACCCCCTAATTCATGAAATTCTGGCACCAGATCCGGACTTCTATATTGGGGGCGTGGGGGAGAGGGTGGTTTGAATATTCGGGGGAAGGGGCGGTTGCTCTAGTTGGTCTAGCATGCCGAATATTTCTAGCAGCGCTACAGCAGGAAGCTGGAGCAGTGCCAGCAGTGCCGGCAGTGCCCCCTTCCAGTTATTCCAGCATCTCTTTGTCTAGCAACGCGAGAAAATAGAAAGGAAGTTTGAATCTTGGCGGCCCTGGCCAATGGTGTTTGGGGGAAAAGGACAAGCCACCTCCTTAGCGTCTTTCCCAGGTATGGACCTTTCCTAAAGCGACCATCAAAACTCTTGTGGTCGGGCCTAGTGTCGCTTGTCGGTATCCCCGTCGCTTTACAGGGTTTTGATGGTTTTTGGTTTCGGGTCAGCTGTGCCCCGTCGCACAAGGGTTTGTGTTACGCGCTATAGTTTCTATGGGGCATCGTTTTACGATGTTCCCCATCGCTTAGATGGTTTTTGAACCTTCAGCATGCACATGTACCCAAAGAAAGTCGCAAGTACCATAGTCATAGTCTCGACCCCTTCTCTTAACCCCACCGCCGTGGACCTGCTAACCCCCCTTTTTGGCCCTTCTCGACTTGCCGTTCTGGAGCCAGCCCGGCATTAGGGTGCAGTCTGGTTTCTCGTTTGCTTGGGTTTTTGGCTTTTTGAGCTCAGCATAGCTACGGGTTGTGAACTTGTATGATAACAAGGCACAGTTTCGTACTTGCTGGAACTTGCCTTTGAGTCCGTGCAAGCCACACCCAGACGGGCCGCGCCGCCGCCAATATGATACCACCGTGGTGCTGGCAATCACAGATATGCTAGAAAGCTACGAGTACGAAGGTGTGCTGTTCTGAAAGACCAAAACTGCAAACAAATGCTAAATCACGAACATCGCGGCTCTGGCCTTGGAAGCTTTCTAAGAATGTATTTCTAGAACTCGCGCAAAAGCACAAGAATCAACAAATCTTCTGTTTTTGAGAAACTCTGGTTGTTCAACGTGTTCTACGTTGAACACTCCAAACCCTCTCCCCACATAATCGTAGCACAAACAAAGGGGGATTCAGACATTCATCATAGAACCCTGAGAAACCCCATTATGACAAAAGGCCTTCCACCCCCTCCCAGACCCAGAGAAGCTTAGAACTTTCTCCCGAGTCTTCAGCACTTGTCAGCAGTAAGTGCGCCACAGCTCTGCACTCAACTACCCAGTAACTACCCGTCTTCAGAAATGCATTGACCTGGACACTTGCATGTTGATCAAGAATCTACGAGCCAAGCTGCATGTTCCTGGACATTGCTCGCGACATGGCGCGTTGACCTCCAACAGCTGCTGACATGCAGAGGCTGACTGCGGCCAATGCCAATCGGCAGCAAAGCCCGATCATAATTAAGCATCTCTCTCTCTCTCTCTCTGCACGCGTGGCCCCCCCCCGAAGAGGAGAGCCGCCCCAAGGGGCGCGCGAGTCCGAAGGTCTGTTGGAACCAGGGCTTACTACGGTTTTCGTAGTCCCTTTCAGAAAATGGAGTGGCCGCAGGGGAAAAACATGCACCTGGAGGACTCTATTCTCTCTCTCTCTCTCTCTCTCTCTCTCTCTCTCTTCCTTCTAAAGCTTACGGTAGGGTTCTGGCCGGAGTGGCTGCCAAAGGCGCCTGCTCCCATGGACTTCTTCCGCTCACCTTGCAGTGTAAGCGGCTGTAAGCGTTGCTTCTTGAAGCGAAACCTCGGCTCCTGGTTTTGGGCCCTCTCAAACCGCCATGAAAACAAAAATCACAACATGCCCAGCCTGCCATTGTGCTGGCCATCTGCTTTCGCGCGTCATCATCTGTGATTCCCAGCTGCTCTTGCGCACGAGGCAGAAACGTTTTGAAAATCGCCTCCACGATCTCGGGACCCTTTGAATACATGCCACGAGAGCGCAGCACGGCCTGGAGTGCATTTGCCCAGCTGCCGAATGAAAGGGCAGGTGGGCTCGAGTTGGCTTCTTGGAAGAGCTTGAAAATCTTTCCCGCCAACATCCAGGGTACCTTCCTCAGGTATTCATTCCATGCAGAGTGCACATGCCATACCTCTGGATAGGCTGACCCAGCTGCGGTTACGTCAAAGCATCATTTCAACAGCGTGCTCACCATGAGCACGGCTTCTTTGCAACTAGTGTCATCTGCTCCGCAGTGAAGTGATCCCAAGAATCATCCGGCCCGATCAAGTCACAGTGAATCAAGAATCGAAACCACGTCCATCTGACAGGGAAAAGATTCGGAACACCACGCAATCACATGCCCTTTCTTAAGGCAGGAGGTGCAACTCTCCCAAGACTGTAGGTTCGTAGTTTAGCCACCCTCCACGTGTGTGTGTGCACACAGCACGCACAACGTCACATTGCACGGTAACATTGTGGACACAGACGATCAAAAGAAAGAAGGCATACGTTAAGCTGCCAAGTCTAGTCCTGACCACCCCTACATCAAGTAAAGCACAACATGACTCAAGCAAAACAAGAAAGAGGACGCGCAGTACATTGGAAGACCTTCAGCCGACCTGTTCATCAGTGCTGCCTTCGCTCCCTTGGCTATCACCTTGGCTGTTCGACATGGCCGCTTTCATGAGCCCTGCGACAACGCCACATGCTTCCTGCGACTTCATCTTGGTTGGGTCCTGCCCAACTGCTCTCGACAGTTTCGTCCATTATGGGGCCCCCCATTTCCTTCTGAGAACTGTCACGGTGAGAGTAGGAATACCAGTCCAGTTTCCCGCCAGCATCGTGTTGTCGACTCTAGATTCTCAAGATCTTGTTCCCTGTATAAGTAGCCTCTTGTCCCCCCGTTGTAGCCTCTTGTACTTGTAGCCCTTTTCAACTTTTAGTGGCTCGAGTTTGTGGAGCTCTCGAGGTTCAGCATATGTCAGTTTCCAGGATCCAGAACACCAAATCGAGGTCTCACCCGCTGATTTCATCCGCTTTGCTATCTGGTCAAAGCAGCTCAATCTGTATCAAATTATGTCCAGTGCAGTGGTGTCAGATGCTGCAAATTATAGAGTTTCTGACGACATGCAGGCTCCACGTGAGGTTTTCGGGCACCTTTACCAAACATAGTGGCTCGATTTACTTTCATTTGCAAGTCATAGCAGTATTAATAGTACTAGGAGTATCAATATTTACTTTCATATGCAAGTCGTAGCAGTATTAACAGTACTAGGAGTATCAATAAGAGTAAGAGTAAGAGTAAGGATAAACGGAACAGGGTGTCCATAACTTTATTTAGACTTGTAAGCATACGACTCGCGCCAACATCAAAAAGCAGCAATCATGATGAGCACAATACCAATAATGGCGACCAAGGCGAAGATAATGATTCCATGTTGGTAGATAATAGTAATGAAACCATGAGCAATAAAAAGAAACAGATGCAACGTAATCACGAGTCGATATAGAGGAAATCAGAGGAATGAACAGTTCTGCCACTGCTATTGGAGGACAATGGCACTTGGTACCAATCCTACAAAGGGACCCAAGCTCTCAACAGGATCTCGTGCAGCCCAACCAGGACTGAGGTCAACACACTCGGGTACAACGTTGTGATAGGTATCAGGGGATCTGACTGATGCTACTTTTTACTGTGGCTGACATAGAAGTGTAATTCTACAACATCTGACCAATGCTGGACACCTTCTTGATGGACTTCCGGAAGACGGTAAACAGCATGGCTCTCTGCTCGTTCGTCATGGCAGACCCGGGACCTTGTCGAGAAATCTTTCTAGCTTCTGGGCCTGTTTTGACCTGTTGACCCGACTGACCCAGCTATTTCTCACGGCATCTCATTGCTAGGCTTAGATGTCTCATCTACGGAAACCATGCCCCCTGCCTTTCGTAGTGAGGTTTTGGTTTTCCAGATCCGAAGCATCAGTTTGCTCCTCGACCCTCATGTCCTCGATGTAGGGAATGTTCAAGTGATGCTTGAAGACTGGCGAACTGGGAACGTAGCCGAGGGGGAGGAAAAACAGGTGGAAGTGTCGCAAGGACTGGATGTCGACCGCTCTCATGTTGACGGTTTTCTGAGTCTGCAAGCTTGCCTGCACAGCAATGTCGCAGTATTTCGCAACTAAATTATCAGTTTGTAGAAAAGACTACTTCGAGATTGGAATGCGCAGGCAACGCATGTTCCCCTGATCCACGGCCTTTCTCTGGTCATGCGCCCGATTTCTTGCACTCTCCAGGGCTGCCTGGGAGTTCATTAGTTGCTGCCGCGTCGACAAGGAGCCATGCTTCTGGTCCGACCTCTCGCTCCTCTGCAAACACTTCCTAGCCGGAGCCCGAATTAGGCGAACTCGGGATGATTTCGGGTCCTTGAGAGTGGACGGCCGAGAGCTGCCAGAAGGGCCCAGTTGTTGGGCGTGTCCACAAATCCAACACCATTGTCATCAAAAAAGTCTTGGATGATCACGTGCTCCGGCCTCAAATCTCCGTCCGGCAGTACATGCGCTGATAGTGACGTGTCGTGTCGACTCCCAGATCTTCCAGTCAGGGAGACATCTGCAGCTCAGCGACGGGGCATCGTCATCTATACTGCATGGCAAGTTCTGAAAGACTTGCAATGCAGCCTCGAAGGCTCTGGCCTCAGCTATGCGTCAGAAGGCCGTCAGCCTCTTGTGCGTGATCTAACTACCTGCCGGGTCCTGTGGTGGGGTGCATGTTCAACTGCCTTGTGGGCATCTTTCTTCATTACGGGCTTGGCGAGGGGATACAAGCTTGCAAACCTGACCTGAATTGCCGGATTATAGGCCCGCATTCGATCTTGCTAGCGGAATTAAAGTCACCTCTGCCTTTACAGCGCCCCGAGCTCCGTGTGATTGCTGTTCTTGCTGACCTTGTTAGAAGTAAATCATATGAAGTACTTCGCAGATGTATGACATTGTATGACTGTGACAACTGGTGGTAACACCAAGCAACGCAGAATGCGCCCAATCAATCCGCACAATATCACGTCTCATACTTTCCCATCCTGGCTTTTGCTCTGGCCATGCTTACAGGCCAGTTGAGGCAGTACTATATCCTCATACTAGTGAAAAGCCACGATGCTTCTTTGTCTTTGGAGGGCTGAGCGCTGCCCCGACGTGAGCCGGCACGTGAGCCGGCACGTGAGCCGGGGCGTGAGCCGGGACGCAGTGAAGGATTGCGCGAAGACGCTTTTGAACCTCAGGGGCCATCGGCAATGTCGTCGCCAAGGCGCAACGCACAAGCAATTCGCACTAAATTTAAATGCCATGAACAGCGACCAGCAGGCATGCCAGGCCTGGTACATTCAGTGCCTTTGGGACTGAAAGACATGGCAGCGGAGGCGACATCAACTGGAAAAGCTATCACACTGAGCAGCTGCCGCTGAAGTGCTGTTGAGAATGGGAGCTGGTGCTCGGACAAGTCCCCTTACACAACCCTAAGTGTACAGTACATCCACAAGCCAGAAGGATCACATGACATGGCCGTTTTTCTGCAAAAAAAGGAGTTGATGGCTTGAGCATGGGGATACGCAACGGTATGAAACTGTGGGCTAGGCAATTCAGCTTGCTCATGCTTGTTCAACACTGCAGCCTAAGCCTGGAGTAAGCTTGGGACCCTTACTCGACAAGCCAGGGCCAGGTGAACTTCCAGGATCCAAGTCGGAGGACTAAGACGGCATCCAGGAAGGCGCACAAGATTACACACACAAACACCCAGAGTAGTCATGAGTCGTCAGCTGTTTGTCATGCGAAGTTCATCGAAAGAGTTCAGCTGCTGGTGACTGCCCATCCTTCAGCTCCAGAGCAGCACCCAAAGGGTCGCAACAATCTGAGACCGTACGAGTTGCGCTGGTCAATGGGGTTTAGGGTTCAGTCATTTTTTGGGCTGCCTTGGCTGTGGCCTTGGACTTTGGACCTACGACTTGCAGACTGGAGGCAAGTGGCTGGACCATCCAGCAAGCTATAGCAAACTTTTCTTGAAAACGGAAAGACACTCCAACGCTTTTTTTTCAGGAGCACTTCACAGGTGTTCGAAGCAGCAACATAACATAGGCCAACAGAGGGCAACAAAGCTCGTGCTTCTTGCTGTCCTTACTCTGCCCTCCACAAGCCTGTGGTACAGTAGAGGCCGGACCTCACCAGGATCCGAGAATGTGGGAAGACATGGGAACACTCTGGGTTTACTTTGATAGCTCAAGCTTCCGAGCTGGGTGATCACTCATCTCTCTGCACTGTGGGAGGCAGTTCGACCGGTTCGCACAACAGAATCTCGACGGCCCACACAAGCACAGCTGGGCTCTGGTTGGTTCCTGAAGCTGTCCACCCAGTACGACGATGTTGGACCCATCGTGCCATGGATAAGTAGCATCGGGAAGGCTTGCATTGAAGATGACATGGTCCCCTCACAAATACGCGAGGAATAGCAATAATCGCACTTCGGTCGCACTTTGCTCAGCAGCCACCTGTGCAGTCACCTGCCCGTAATCAACAGGCAGCTCGGAGCAGCATAGCGTGATGCTCAAAGACTCTGATGTGCAGGTCCATACTTGTCCACGGATGCTCATAGAATCACGAGAGCGGCTGTCATGGCGGCACTTTGTATGGGTGTGCGATGATGTAACCATGTACGAGTACTATGCGCGCACGCCGTCCCAAGGACTCTCGTAGCGCTGCAGCCAGCCAGGGTTGAGCGCAACTGAACTGACGTATCCCACCTAACCGAGACAGGTGGTTGTGTCGCAAAAAGGCTTCTGCCCACCGAGCATCCATGATCCATAAAGTTCCAACCTAAAGTCCAGCTGGACAGCTTGGCTTTGAGGTGCGTGTTCTTGCTGCAGAGTGGACACCGATGACATCAACCAAACCCAGGTCTGTGTCCGCGAAGAATTCCCAGGCTGTCGACGTCGGACCGCATACCTGAAGCTGATTGCAACATGCTGATGAGCTCTGCAAGTTCTGTTTGGTCACTCCTGTCACTCCTGTCTTGATCAGAAGGCCAAGATACAATCCGTGCTAGGACCAGGTAAGCGCTCAGGTAAGCCCTTAGCTGCGTGCTGTAATCAATGCAATTGGCCCTCTCAATGCTGTTCAAACGTAGCGAACGATAAACTGAACACCCCACACCGCCCCCCCTTCCTCCCCTCCACAAAAGAGAGATGAGACTTAAACTCTCAAGCCCCAACGCTGCAAAGGCCACAAACCTTTTGCATCCATCCAGGCCTGAGGCCCTAAACCCCGCAGCGGTACACCCAAGGCCTAGCCTTGCGGAGTCACGGCAGGACCACAGCCCATGGCAACACACAGCACCTGAGAGTCGTCCCACTTGAATGTTTCTGTTCAGAGACGAGACCTTGGGCTTAGCTGGGCTCCGAGCACCGCTGACCTGGAACAGCGTGGAGTCCGAAGAATCGTCCTGCAAAGAACAACGACAACTTCGCGTGCACCTGCGACCTCCTGCAAGGTTTGCACGCCGCTTCGTCTTGGGAGCAAGGCTACGGCTACACACTTTACAGCACGGTATAGTACGTAAAGCGATTTGCAGATACGTGTGGACAACGCCGTGGCAAGTTCGGCAAGAATGAGCGGCTTGCGTGCCTCTGCCTCCAAATCCCAAATCCGCAAGGAGTTGTCCTCACCTTATATATAATGAATCGAATGAGAATGAGTCGAATGAGAATCTTATGCCTTCATACTACAACTTTAGTAACCTCAGTATCGTTTTGCAGCACTCAGGGCGCTCAAGGCTGATCATGTCTCAGCTCCGGGCTTCCGGAGATGGCCAGGCCGGACCCCCAGTCGACGCCCACACACGTCACACCTGCAGAGTGGCGGAGCCATTGCTGGGCCATTGCAGGTATTCTAAAAGAAGCCTAAGTCTGGGTGCTTGTGGATTTTGGAAAGGCGGCGGAAATTATGTAATTGCACGTTTCCCGCCACCCTCGGTGGCAATCGCGCAGTCCCGCCAAGTATCCCGCCAAAGATGGCCGCAAAGACTCCCGTCGAGCAAATATCCAAGCATGCAATCCGTGCATATCCGGGCCATATGTATACAAAAGAGCAGAAAGAAGAATCCAGGGCCTCCTTCTGAAAAACGAGGTGTCGGGGGGGGGGGGGGGGGTGTGGAGGCTGCCCCAACCCCCCCCCTCCTCCCCCCGGCCCCCTATGCAAACACAATGATCCGAACCTTTCCACTCCATTTAACTTTTTGGGTTGCGGCCCCAATATGTTTACAAGCAGAAAAGTGCAGGCATGCTCACTGCACAGCCCCCCACATAGGCAGCATGTTAGGGGCCCAGCAGCCCAGCGGACCACCAGCCCGGACCACAAAAACAAGGTACCAAAACAGAAACTGTACCGAAGAAATAGGCGCTCCATTTTGGAAGCCAAAGCCGGGCGGCCGGCCTTTGAGGTGACCTTCGAACTCTTGCACGTAGTCCTGCGCGAGTGTCGGAAGAAAACTGCACGGAAGGAGCGAAGAAGTGGATACATTGAAAATGCATGCCAGACTTGGGGACACTTCCACAACCATGGCACTTCGAAAATCTGACCTCGGAGTTGATGTGCCACAGGCGCAAGAGCCCATCCACACTACCAGCGAGCAGCTGGCTGGAGGACCAATCCACCTCCAAGCACCTGCATGTACATGTCCGAGACTGGGTCGCTAAGAAGCGTCAACATGCTTGTGATGGTATCCATGTGCAGGTTAGCCTCACTGTGGCATCAGGCACGAGAACCTGAGTGCAGCAGCGCTGGGCTAAGCACCTCGGCAGCGAAATGAGAACTCACACGCTGCAGCGTCAAGCCAAACAAAATGGTTGCGAGGCTGGGAACAACAGTGTCTCTTTATCCCGCGATCGTCAGAAGGATGCTGCCAAGGTAAATCAAGTTCGAGGCCGCTGACCACATCCGCACAGTGACGTCTTCGCTCGCGCTGGCAGCTTGCTGCTTCTGCCAGCTCAGGTCCACCTCATGATAGAAAACCGAAACTGCGGGTGATAAGGCTGCTGCTGGGGCGGGGCAGTTGTCATCTTCCAAGAGCCCGAAAAATGTCACAGATGCAGCCAGGCCACGCTGCAAATGGCGGCGGTATGGCCTTCGAGAAGTATGAGGCTGCTCACCTGGCATTCAAGATGTCTAGACCGAAGTTGTGTGATGTAGTCTGGCAAGGGGGTGAGGCAAGCAACGGCTTCCATGTCTTCAGCTGCCCAAAGCCAAGAGGCCTGGGACAAGTCCCACAACCTTAGGTTCCAGAATCAGATCTAGATGCTTTTGAGTACTTCTGACTTTCCGCTGGGATTTGAGAATTTGGGAAGTCGACGCTGACATCATGGAGTCACACGTACATTCCGCCACCAAACCTGTCGAGACGCCGAAGCACCCGGTCGTCACCACCGGTCAAGACACGTTGTGTTGACCAGGCTGCGTCAAGGCCTCGGTCTGCTGGCGATGCGCATCGCTGTGCTGACACAATTCTGTCTGCAGAAGCTGTTAGCCGGTTAGCCCCCTTCTCTCCTTTGTGCTCCCGACTGGCTGGTCGAGAATTTCATGTGATGCAGATGCACGATCCAAGGAGTCTGAATTTTGCCACGGCGCAGTATATCCTGCCAATATGACTCGTGAGCTGTCGGAGCACCTGCCGCCCAAGGGAGAGGCAATTGGAGGATGTTCTGCTCTTCCCTACTGAATGACAACGACTTTCGAAAGTGCAAGTGCAAAGATGAATGGGGTCTTGGGGTACCTTGGGGAAGGCAAGTTACTGCAAGTTCCTCAACCTTCCTGAAACCGGAGACCTGGCCGGAGTGCAGGTTCCAAAGCAGCAAGTTGCGATCACTTCCGCTGAGGCAGCGCCCGCCATCCCAATCCTCCGCTTCACCCAGCATTGGTGCACACGGAGTGTGGCGGCGTGACATTGAAGTCGGGTCTGGAGCCCTTCAAAAGCTGGTGAATCAAGCATTGTGGTGCTGCACTGCCGGCATGCCGCAGCTTGGACACAGTAGATTGCCCTTCCGTGGCAGTGAAAGTCGCGCAACACCTGCACAACACTGTATGAATGCCCGCGAGACTGCCACTCAAAGCACTCCAAGTTTCGCTCGATCACGCCTGCTCTGCTGTAGCAAAGCCACGGCAGTCTGACCGGTTCGTCTTTGCCGACACTACTCGGGTGTGTGGGTACGTATAGATTAATTACCATGCAGCCTTTTGCTTCACAAGCGCCCCTCGTGCCTATCTATCGGGGCTAACAATCGCAACGACTTCTTTGGTTTGGGGCTGCTTGGACAGCCAGGGTGTACTTATCACCCTGCCTGCGATGTGCGAAGATCCCACATGGTCAGTTGGCCGTCATCGTCACCAGTCCTGGTGGACGTGTCACAGAAAACAGCCAGTGCTCCAACTTCCTTTGGACAAGAGTGACAAGCCACAGCAAGTATGGCAAGTGGAGCAGCAGCTCTGCTCTCTGATCTCGCTCCCAGGCGCAGGGCACGCATGGTGGCCCAGTCAACCGCCATGCACAGCACCGTGTTGCCCTGCCTTGTGCCAGGCAGCTTCCGCATGTCGGCCACGCCAAAAGAAACGAGATACAAGTGCGACAACGTCGATCTGCAAACCCGGATGCCCAGCTGGAAGCTCCCGGACGCAGACACCGCGGCGAAAGACATCGCGAAGGCGCAGCACAGGGTCCTTGGAAAAAAGCGGGTGAAAAAAAAGTGCTTCTGAAAGTGCTGTCAAGGGCCCCCCCCACTCCCCTCCCATCGGATCGAGCACTCTCCGAGAGCTTCGAGGCCGCGGCTCCTGCAGAAAGAAGCACTCGCTGCTGCTCCCAGTCCACCTCCAGCACTCTGCTGCTCTCGGGGAGGCAGCGAAGGCCTAGCCAGCAGACGAAGAGCAAAAACACAAGCAATATAATTATAATAGTAGTAATAATTCTTAATAATAATAGTAATAATAATCAGAATACTAATAATAACAATACTAAAGCAACTGGAAGATCAGAGTTACAGCTTTCTTCTGCCGAATGGTGGGCCCTGACATGGCATTCCAACCGCAAGTCGGGCCACAGAGGCCTCTCCCAATGTCCTGGGCCAAGGATATGCCGCATGCGACCACATATGACCACAGATGCCAATGAAGCACGAAGTACCATCGGGCTCTGGGTTCAGGAACTGTTGACAGCTGGTTCTTCTAGGGCCTAGGGTGCCCTTTGTGACCCTTTGTGGCCCCCTTGCGCAGCCCGGGGTCCCAGAGTCGCAGAGTGCAATCGGCGGCAGCGCTTATGGCCACGGCTGATGGCCAGTTCACCTCAAACTCTGGAATCCGGGTCAGCATCAGAGCAGAAAAGGAGGAGAAGCGTAGGAGTACTATAGTTCTGCCATCACGCCCAGCAACAGCGTTGATGGACTACTGCTTGGCGACTCTAACACTAAGACCTGGCACTGGCCCGAAACCTTGGTCCTATCTCGCAACATTCAACCACGCAAATCCGTTACAGTGCAACTGGGCCGCGGCTAGGCAGCTCACCACATCCGAATGCCCGCGCAGGACCTTTCGACGCGATGTGCACCCTACACTTCGGCTTGTGAAGGCTGTGGTGCTCCAGTCAGCTAGTGCAGCAGCACCTTTCAAACATGTTCTTTCGTTTGTTGGCCCGGGAACAATTTGTCTGATGCACTTTGGTGTCACTGCCGTGCCACACGAAGGCAGTGCCCCAGAACCAAATTCCAGAAGAATAGTGCAAAGTCATCCTCAGCCACTCGGTAGTGCCATCACCGAACTTGCAATTAGGCTTGAGGTCATCTTTGGCCAATCATCACAGACGTTCACAGCACGCGCACAACATTGCAAGCAACCTTGCAAGATGCAGGAGAGCGGCGTCGCTTGATGTCAGGGCACTCCGCCCTGCCCAGTCGACTGCCAGCACTCGGAGTGGAGAACCTTCCCACTTCCCGAAAACAGAAGTAAAGCAGTCTCCTGACAAGCGTGGAATGCAAGTCGAGGGGCGATGAGCTTTGATTGCTTTGTTGGGTTCTTGTGCTTCTCGGCAGCAGCCTTGCATCCGACATGTCGTAACAGTCAGAACATGCCGGAACACCGGCTGCCATTCGCGACTGAGCTGCTCCACAAGCAAAGCGTCCCATCAATGCCCCCAACAGCAACCTCCAGCATGTCTGGGTTCACCGACCTGAGCGGAGTAGCTCAGGGAACAGGAAGGTTCTGACTGAGACTGCAAGCGTGGCGCGCATTCGTGGACTGGCCCCCTTGCATAGAACCTTTCACCGAGAGGCATGCAAGCGGCAGGTAGCAGGCCATCTGAACAACAAGTCCGAAGAGCCTGGCAGCGAGACAGTGGAAAGCCTTGCCCACCATAGCTACCTGCTACCTACTAGGGCCATCCAAAAGTCTTAAAAGCATCTAGAAGGCTCCCAGCAATTCCCTGGGTCCCCCCCTCCCACGCTGTCTCTTGGGTGGGTGAGTTTAAGTTGTTTTCCGTCTTTTGCCTAGCTCTGATCTTGCGTCCATTTTGCAAGGCTAAAGGTAACTGCAGCCCTCAAGTCCTGAAGAAGAACTTCAATACAGCTCCCTTGAAGAACCACTGGGCACTCCCGAAAGCTGCACCACCACAGTCCACCACCCCGAAGCCCACTCGAATCTAACCGCCATGCATGCAGCAATCGAAGTATTTCACAGGTATGGCAACGCTTCCCATTCCCAACACCACCAGTACACCACCCAACCAGGGAAGACTGGCAATGTCAGGTTTTCTAGAAGCTCGCTGCAGACCTACAAAATCACCCCGAAATACAAAATGTCCCAGAAAACCGCTGGTCTCGACCCCCACACAAGCCGATTAGGCCAACCTCTAGACATGCAGCAGTCGGAACACTAGCATTTTTGGCCGCTACTAGCAACCCAAAAGCCAGCGGGAGATTGCAACGATGCCCCGCAATCCAAATTCCAAGACTTTGTGCATCCAACCGTTTCCACGGCTGCGACCGTCAGGGCCGCCAGGGGCCAAGCGCAATCTAGAAACCCTGCAAGATAACCAAGATCATACAGGGACAACAACCAAATTCTGCTACAAGACAACCGAGTATGTGAACGTCCCTCAATGTGCATGCTGGAAGGTGAACGCCAGGCAGATCCAGGCAGCCCATTCGAGCGTTGCAACATGAATGTTGCAACTGCAACTGCGTCCCAGACATCTGCGAATTGGAGCGGGCACTACTAGTACTCGCATAATGCGACAAAACCGCATGAATTTCTGGAATAGTTGCACGCGGTACCGTCCAACCGGCTCTCTAGGTGGAAAACCCATCAATTCAACCTCCTGACTCAGACGTTTCTCCTGACTCAAAGTCTGACGTTAGGCCATCGACATCGCAGGGTTTTCTTCATGCAGGTTTCAGGGTGCTGGGTTCCCTCTGCATGCAGACCAATGCGTTCTTAAGTTAAGCCAAGTAGCTTCAAACGGAGATAAGTCCCACAAGACAATGCAGCCGTGAGGGTCTCCACTTACTGCTTGAAGGTTGATCCAATTTGCCTAGTGAAGCAGGCGCAAGAGAAGCCAAGGCAGCACTGGGCCCTGAAGAGCTTAAGGAAATGCAAGGAAAGCCAAAGGTTCCGAGTCAAAACTGTCACACGGTTGGTGCACCAGGCGACTTCTAACCGCTGGAAATCCCTAAACCCTTCCAAGAATCTAATCATATGATGATGTAATCATGTGATAATACACTAGTACAAAAACACAATAGTACAAAGATATAGTGAAATGACATCTGGTAAATACAATCAGACAATGATATATGACATAAGTTTAAGCTAAAGCCCAACCACTAGAGCCGCGTCACTTGCAGGAAGCGCAGGGCCGTGCGGTGTCTGTGTCGGCGCTCAGCAGCAGCACTTCGCAGGTCCTTCTGTCCCGTAGATGATCGGATATCTTTGGCATCATAGCATGTGTGATTCGAAGTTTCGAGCTTGTTCTGTCTCCGGGTCTGATAGCTTTGCGCCACGGATTAGGCAACCTCGACATCACTTTTAGTATTTTATGCGGCAGTAGGGCTACGCGGTTTAGGGCTTGCAACGCTAGTGCAATATTATGCAGCAATTCCTGAAGCAATCCTGCTCGTACTTCTGTCAAAAAAGCATGGCTTGGGCAGTTGTTTGTAGCTGTGTGTAATCTGACTGGCGAACGTCCCAAACCCACCGGAATGCCCTTGAAGTGGAAACTATGGGAACATGACAGCGTGGGACAATAGCTTGCTGTCGACTATTTCTGCAAATCCCGTCCCAAAGTTGCAGGGAGCCGTCCATCGCACCGGCCAAGGCCTGTGGCCAGTTTTGCTTAGCCGTGGCGCCATTGGCGTCCGAAAGGCGACCACAAACGGCACAACCGCAACTGTTTTTCTGGTGAGAGTTGGCAACGGTGCCCGGCATACCAACGATGCGGAGCATGGGCGAAAAAGCGCTTGGCGCCTACATTTGCTGTTGTGTACTTGATATCATGATATGCACAGCCTGCCGACCAACCCAATCCACGTCAAGGCTGATGGCGGGGCTGGCGTAGTCCTCAGACAAATTCCGGGCCATGGGCTGTCAGCAGAGCTGGAGCAATTGGTTGGAAAGTTGGAATGCAATAGGGGAGCATCTGCGAGTCAGGATTCCATCAGTTCCTGCATGGCCTCTCCCGTCTCCAGGTCCCATAGCCTCATTGGCTCTCGGAGCCGTACGCCGTCATGCAGCGGAAAGCTCATGCACTGTGGGAACGAGAGGGTGAGGCAGGACGCCACTTCTATGAAGCTACGAGCTGAGATGAGCCTGAGGGTGCAGGCAGGTCACAGGAGTGTCTGATCCAAGCTCGCAGACAAAGCAATGTTCGTCTCCCAGTGTACCGATAGGCACTGGACCTGACCGATGTACGCACTTAACCTGTGTGTGGATCCACGCCACAAGCTGCTATTTCACGGCAATTGCCAGGAGGTGCTGCAAATACTTCTGAGTTTCGCTGAGCATGTGGACTGTCCGTGAATTTCACGGTCTGAATCGTCTGCCCAGCCACTGAATCCATGTGTCCACGCCTATCCAGCAAGCTGAAACTCACGCCATAACTTGCTGTGACAGAGCCAGTTATACTACATAGAACCGGCATGCATCCCCTGTCCATGTCTCCTTTGTACCTCGAGGACCTCTCTAGGAAGCAGACCGCGAGTCTCTCTGCATTCCAAGCACATCTCTCGGATGCACTCGCCAGACAAACGCCACAACCTGCGCGCCAAGATTCCAGGACTCGAGTACACAGAAGCCCTGAACTCTATAAACGTCACTCCCCAAGCCCTGTGAATCTACTCGGCACTACCCGCTACCCTATACCAAACTTGATTGAAAAGGCATGAAAGTCTGTACCGTCTCTCCAAGGCACAGCAAGGCGCGGTCGGCACTGCCACTCAGTGCCCGCTGCGATGGCCAATGCACCGACACGCACAGGACGCCCGAACTTGGCACAGCAAGGTCTCGGCACTTACCGCTCACAACTCAGACAATCATGGCGAGGCACTCATCAGCCATGACCCTTGCGTTAGCTAGCCCGGCAGCTGCAACCAAATTTCTTAAAATGCACACCCGGACACCTTCTCGGCCTATCGCCCACGCTCACATGTGCACATGTGGGCGAGGACTTCAGACCAGCCCGACTAGAGTGTCGCAAAGCAGCACGATCACCACGAAGCTCAAGTCTTGCTCAAGTATCCCTTACACTTTCCTCGAGACAATGTAGCAGGCCCATACTGACGAAGCACTACTCAAGTCTGGGACATGACCCCATCCAAACGAAAACCGAAGCGACATGAGTTGGACTGAGGGATCCCTGGCTGGTCTTTCTAGCTCATGTGGACAGATTAGGCTGCAGGATTTACGTACTTTCATGCTTTCCCGATGTCGCCTTGCAAGGTCATACCGCGTCCACATCTGCTGGAGGCTTTAGTTACTTTCGTTAGCCGACCGAACCTCACTTGGACGAGGAACGTGTGACCCACCAAGTCGCGATCAGCCTGGCCGCGGTCCAGATCCCAAAGGCGGAGCCTGCCAACACGTTCAAGACGGATTTAACACTGTCATTGCCCTGATGATGACTTCTTATTCTCAAAATCCCCCTCTGTAAGTGCAAAACCCAAATCCGAGTACTTAGAAGCACAGGTTCCCAACAACTCAGCCCCCTCCCTGCAACCACGGGGTGGGTTCTCAATACGAGGCGAAGATTATATCAACATCTTGGTGCAACAACATGAATCTGAACATGAACATGAACACGAGCATGCACATAATGTCAGAAGGATGCACGTCAACCGTATGCGTGCTCCCTGAACTCAGAGACCTGATGAGGGGACAGCCGTTGGTTTGCCCGCACTGTCCTTTGGTCTCTGCCGGCACTGCATGCTAGACGTCGAAGGGTTCGCACGCAAACCAGCCGAAGAGCCTGAACCATGCGATGAGCTTCGAAAATAACTGACATAACTTGGAACTTATTAAGGTCAAGTCCTGGCAACAGCTGACGCCTGAAGTGCCTGAGGTGCCAATGGCTTTGGGCATCCGATTCATGGATCGACAGCCGGCAAGCTTCAAAGCTGTATCCTTGAACCCCACCAGGAAGTCGAAAGTTGCTGTCGAATGCTGCACTGCAGATCCCGCCAACAGCCTCGTCTGGTGACGCCAAGCCTAGCAGTATCTCGGAATCCTCTAGCGCGCGTGTTCTGAGCAGAAGCCGCTGCTCCTGCACGGAGGCCAAAGCATGCCGTCTCAGTCACTACGTATCGCTATCATTGTGAGATCTTGTGAGCATGCTCGAGCATCGATCACCATGAACCTTCTTCAACTTGAACACAAGAACGAACCGCTGCTGCAGTACAATAATGTTGGGGCTGGGCCCGGCTGGGCATGCAACTAACACATTGAGCAGCAGTCCTCAATGCCGCCGAGCTTGGCTTTGAGCTCGCGCACGGTGGACAGTCCAGGCAGAGACCCAGCCTCGAGTAAACGGTCCGGAAGGGAAAAGCATCCGCGGGAGCTGGGACCTGCCGCCTACGCCGCCTGTGTCGCGGTGACGCTTCCATCACTTTCAAGTCAAGGCTCAAAGAGAAGTGTTCCACTGATGGCCACCACCTCGACGTTGATGGCCATGTGCTCTAAGTGACGCAGACGTGGAGCTGAGAGTTCTCAGATGTCCGATCTGCCTTGTGAGAATGTCACAGTCTCACTCACAAAACAGCATGCCGCTGATCAAGCCTCAGCTGTGGCTTAGTGCACTAGTGTCACTAGCTTAGTCGACCATTCTGATAGCTTGAACCTGCACTGGCAATCAAGGGCGGTCGCATGTGAGATCACAGGCGAATACAGGCTTCTAGGGAATGCCTTTCTCTAACAACTGAAATGAGGGAGCATCGGCGGCGTCACCAAGGCCTTCGCCCAGCCGAGTACTGCACAGGTTCTGCTAGCTTGGTCGGATGTTTGGACCTGCGCATCTGGTCCTTCCTGAACGTGAAAAGGCCCGGTGCTAGCAGGCATGCTACCTCCAGAAGGCACATTGCTTTGGTGCCCTGATGCTGATGGCGCATGATGGGACCTCGCATTCGTGCTTATCCGGTGTGCTTGTGAAGGTGATACATCGACAACCCCAAGCTTGGGGTGGCTGTACAAATGCCCACTGCAGTCTATTGTGGACGGTGGCTATGGGAAGCCGTCGTCAGGAGTCAGCCAAGCAAAGGGACCTCAGCTGGTGCTCGGAGACCCATCCACGAATTTTGTGTAGGTCGGCTTTACAGTCTACACTGTACTCTTTCCACGGCGGGCGGGAGCATCTTCAATTCTTGCACATGTCAGTCCCGGGCTAAAGTGACTGAACTTTTGCGGCTTTATTGCAATCATGGAGCCATGTCCATGCAGGAGGGTTCGGCTTGCCGCTGACTCGTCGACCTAGGTTGGGCAGCGTTCGGAGGCACTCTGTCATGTGACACTGCCGCTGCAAGCATACACTTGCGCTTTTCTGCAAGCACTCGCAGGCTGCTGCGTTGTGCAGCTTTAAAATCTGTACCTGGAGGTCAGATCCAGCTCAGCTTCAAATGCGCTCTACTTCGATGGACGTCGCAGCTTGGATGCTGAAATCTTTGAGCATCCAAGTGGAACAGCAGCTTCAACTTGGTAGAAGCCTGTCAAGAAAGCTCCCTCGCTCCTCTCAGATCTCTCAGACCTCTCAGATCTCTCAGATTCTCAGGCACGTGTCAGCATCTTGTGCTTTGCTGGAGCCTGCTTCATCTGACTTCTTCCGGCATAGCTCCAAAGAGTGGGTAACCACCAGTCCCAGATCGGCGTCCCGGAAGCCCTGCACTGTGCCGTCTGTGGAACAAAACGAGGCTAGCAACAGCAAAAACACAAGAGGGGATTCTGCTAACATGTTTGGCGCATCTTGGCGCGTGCTACCCTCCATTTCCCCGGAGAGGCTGCGGAATGCTGGCCTGCCAACAAGCTTTCGGAATCCGTGCTTTCCCATGCGCTCGGCTGGCTTTTGCCAGGTTCACGTGCAGGTGGAAACCTGGTCGGAGCAAAGTGGGGTTGCTCGCCTAAGGCAACTTGCGAGATCTGCGACCTGCAGTCCTCGCAGATGCTGCCGAGAGACCCTCTTCGGCCTCAAAAGGAGCAGAATTGCAAGTTTCCCGACTCCTTCATGCATCTCGATGCAGGCTCTTTTCTCCAGTGAAGAAGAGAACACGTGGCCAGATGATGCCATGCATGCGGAGCTTCAAGATGCCTGGCTTAAATGTCGCCAACAAGTTCCTTTTGCAAGTTTCAGTTGGAAGCATGCAGGAGAGTTGCTACCACAGACACCTCGCTGTCGGTGTGGTCTGCGTACGGCTCCTCAACTGGCCTCACTGCTGCTACGATGGTGGACGATGGTGGACGCAGTGGAATCCAGAGATGACTGTGCACACTGAGGACCGAGCCATAAACGGCGACCACTCTTGATCTCCACTACGCGCTGGAACAAAGCCGGAGGAATTGTGCCAGAGTCGTCTCCACGAGAAAGAATCTGAGCGCAAAGCGTGCAAAGCATGGAGTGTAGCATGTTGCAAGTTGGGGAGGGCCTTGAGAATGTCGTTCCGCTTCATTGCTTCATTTTAGTTAGGCAGGCCGGAGCGGAATGCCCTGCTAGCAGCTAGCCTAGCGCCAGGATATGTTTACATATAATATATCTATATGTACATATATCCAACCTGGAGTTTCCGACACAGCATCTCCTAACAAGCCCAATTGAACTCAACAGCCCAATTGACTCAACTGGCCCCCAGGCAGCCACGTCATTGGCGGAGCGGTAAAGCTTGATCCCCTTCTCAATCGTCTTGGGCACATCCAGGTAGATTGCCACGGAGCAATCTGGCTTTCCAATAGAACAGGCCAGCTATTGGGACAGTCTCTGAAGAAAAGATGCGCGAGGTACACGGCTTATGCTACATAAACAATGCTTCATCTACATGTGGGCCACAATTTCTAGGGAAGCTCCGACATCGGGCCCACTCTTGCAGGAGATGCAGTGCCAGCAAATGATCTCAAAGCTACTGCGGTCGCAACCAACCTTATAAAGCTTCGGCCCACACAAATGACATCCAAAGCAATCTGCTATCGAAGACCTCAGAGCGGAAATCACCTCTATAAGGCTCAAGAGGCCCATGGCTGAGGGGCCCTGCCTTCCCGCATTCCGCTGATGACCGTGCGAGAACCAACCTCCACACATGGTCACTCTTCCCACAAAAAAATAATACTCTCACGTGAACATCTTCTTGGTATGCTCTGGTTGGAAACCTCAGAATTGCCACAGCGGTAAGTTGTTCTTCTTCGTTTTGCAACCTTTTAAAGTGCTTACTCTTGTGCCTGCGGTCTCTGATTGCTCTCTGACCTCATGTGTCTGCAGGATACTGCTCTATGTCCTGCGCTCCGCATAGGGAACGCCATGGTTCGCCCCCCCGCCCTTCCCCAAACCAAGAATGCCACACTCCTCAGCATCTCGGCCACCCTGACGAACCCGAAGCCCCAAATCATCTGCAAGCATCTGCATGTTCTAACTGCCTAACTGCCCATAGCTAAGGCTTCCGCAAGCTTTCGCGAGCTTGGCCCTCGAAGTTGCCTTTTTTCGGTGTCTACAGGAGAGCCCTGGACCTCCGCATCCTCGACTCCCTGTGACACTAAGCTCTCTCGGTTACGCCACGTAAAACCTCCCCCCCCCCCCCCGCCCCCTAAAAACTCTGAGAGACGAAGGTGACGCCGGCCTCGTGGGGCACGAAGTGGATGTGGTTGCGGCCCATGGGCTTCAGCCCTTCCTTCTTAATCTGATTCCACACCTGTACTTGGCACTTCTTCTTCGGGCTCCACTTCGTGAAGTAAGTCCCATGAATGCCTCACAACACGCGGGCACATTAAAAAACATTGGCGACCCTCATAATGTCACACGTGCACCACGCGCATCACACGTGGACAGCTCTTAAGCCAAGCTGCAGACTGGAAGGTCTTCTGCGTTCAGGATGGGTTGCAGCAACTCTGAATCCAGCACCTTGAAAGAACCCTGCAACGAATGTTCAACATGTGCCACAGCCGCGCCATTCTTTAGCAGGTGCACAATCTACCACTCTCCCTGCACCCCCGGCGCCTGCTTCATCTTGTGACCCTGGTTCGCACGAATACGTCTGGCACCATTCTCCGTCCATAGCTGGAAGCGCTGCTTGTTGTTGCAGCGAACTTCCGCCTCCACGTCTTTCCTTTCTGGCCAGGTGGAACTGCTACCCGCTGCTATCACTCAGCCATCCCGACTCCTGTTGAGGGGAAATCAGCATCGTCCTACGTCATATCTTTCGAAACATCTCATCTCTGCCGCCGCAATCCGCTAATCCAAGATTCTGGGTTAAGTTGCCTGACTTGAAGAAAGGCAGGGCCAACAATTCCTGAGCGAGCGGATTACAGGCTTCTACAGGTCTTACACAGATTCGACAATCCTGAAAACTAAACTAGACGTAACTGTGTTTGGGGAATTCGGCAAGTCCAGGCCTCCAGGCCGACGGAGCCGTCACTGCGCAGTGCAAGCCCGAGCCGCACGGCATCGTGACGGAGGACGCGCCTGAGGGTGCAGAATGTACAGAGCTAACTTTGCCAACAAAGCTTCAGGGTTGTCGATATAGCTTGGTGGATGTTGGGGCTGTGTTGCCAGTCGCCCTGAGAAACTCTAACTTCAGCGAGGCGGCGTCAAGTACCGGCTCAGTTTCTCATTGGATGCCGCAGGCTCTGGCTCCTCTGATGCTGGACCAACTTGAGACTACCTGTGAAATACCTGTGATTGCCTGCCCCCCGGCATCTGCCGCTCCTGCTCGTTCTCCGGCGCCTCTGGCTCGCCACAGGGAACTTCGCTCACCGGAGCCGGTCCTGTGACACAGCCCTAGGTCCCTATAGGTCACAGACATCCAGAGCCGAAGGTCCTACCAGCAGTCTTCCACTCACACGGGAGGAGATGGGCCTTCGCTCTCCGCCCCCAGCCTTTCCAGGAGCCGCCTCCGCAGAAAGCCCAGGGCATCGTCCTCCGACTGCACTTTGGCAAAGAGAACCTCGCAGCTGGTACGGTATGGACCCTTGCGTGCGCAGGGTGCCCAGAGTACACCGGTCTAATGCCATGAATTGCGAATTCTCCTCTTGTGGATTCGTGTGCTCGGTGTTTCGGGCCTTGTCAGCTTCCGAATCAAGCCCGCTCAGGCGAAAGCGCAGCGGACCTCATGGGGTGGTCAATTTCATCAAGGGCACAGTGCAGAGGTGCCGAGGGCCTGGTATGGCCTTGATCACCTTCTTGCGACGCAAAACCGTTTCGGCGCAAAAACGAAGCACATCGCTGCAGAATCGTGCATCTGGGAAACCGGAAAATTCTTTGGCAAAGTCGGCAGCAACATTGGCCAGAGCAACTTTGGCAGCCTGAAATGAGACGCATATCATGTCGTCCGAACTCATGGCTCGACTGGACTCAGCCACCGCCCGAACCCGTAATCCTCAGCTTGCCCTTAGAGCGTTACTTCAGGCTTCAATTGTTGCAGTCAACGTGTGTAATTGGGACACGGCGGCCCGCCTCTATGTCTTGATCTGACCGTAGTGTCAGAGCGATCATTGTGACGTGCAGCTTGTGTGCAGGCACCAAACACCTGACAGAGTCTGACAGAGCTACTATGAAAAGCCACCTTCTTGAGACTTGGAAAGAGCCCCGCGAATGCTGAATGTGATGTCCGATTCGCTCGTCAGAGCAGATCCCAAATCAGCGGCCTCTGCAATCCCTGCTGGACTTGGCCATGAGCTTTGCTGACAAGTTCCTGCAAACAGCACATCCCTTGAGCCTCAAGCTGAAGAGTGCTTGGCCCAACTGGACGGCCGGATGCATTCAAACCCTGCGCCTGTTGCAGTTTTGCAGCTCTTTGTTGTGCTTCCTCCCCAACCTCAGCAGACAATGTCAAAAACGACTGACTCAGGGCTTCGCATCCTCTGGAAGCAACGTCAGATGTCCGCGCGCTGTGAAATTGCAGGCCGGGAACACGCAGAGCGACGAAGTGTGAAGGTCTGGCAGCCTCTGCTGCATGAAGCAATGTGGCTTCATGGAGCAACGCCCTTGACACAGCTAGCACAAGTTGTGCCCTCATGCTGGTAAAAGCACAACAGGGAATGCAGATTCATAAAACGCGTGGTGACTTATCGAAAACTGAATACAGACGCATAAACACAGCAGATTTCAACACACAAAACTGCAGACTACTCTCTCCTACTTTCTTATCGCACTCCCACGGCCTTCCGCCGAGCCTTCGGGGAGTCGCGACGCTGGCTGCCTGCCAAAAGCCAAGTCAGGGCAACGACTCTGCCTATGAAGCAGCTGGGCTTCTGTTGAACATCTAGGTCGAGCAGCGCAAACTTTCCAAGCGACATGAAATAGAAGCCTTACCTTACGCGACAGCAGCGCCAAAATAGGAGAGACATAGCCAGGAATCAGCTCAGTTTACCTAGTTGGGCTGTGTTGGAGAGCTGGAACTCTCGAACGCCAGAACCAGGCCGGGTGAAACTGCCTTTCCTGGACGCGATGTTTGGTTCTGAAATGTTCAGAGCATGCTTGAAGTCCCCGTGCAGCCTCGGCCACCCTTGGCAGCTGTCGCCCCGCGCCGGCGAAAACAGAGCAGCGGCGCTGCAAAGCAAGGGAGCCACGTCTCGGCACAGCAAGGCAGGCGGCCCAGCCTCACAGCAACGTGGGGCAAAACCACCTACCTCACCTACCACGGCGCGCTTATCACGCAACTTCTTGGGCACCATTGGCCAGGATTGCTGCATCTGGACTCAATTGCTCTCGGAGGCATCACAGTGGCTTCAAAGTTGGCTAGAGGTCACAATCCCGGTTGTGGAGGGCCTATGTGCTCCGCAGACTATTGCATGCGCAGCTTCAAAGCCTTGACAGGGCTTCTTGCGGGGTTCTGGTACAAGCCCTTGTCATGCTGGGGCGGAGCCGTGAACCTGTTGCAGGTCAGACTCTATCCCTACCATCACTTTCAGCATCAACACTGGCTCCGGCACTAATACAACTACAGTTACTACACGACGAACCAACTATGAGTGACTGTAGTGCCTATTCCTTCTCCTGCTCTTACCACTACCACTGCTGCCACCACGACGACGACAACGACGGCACCACTACGACGACGACTACTACTACGACGACGACGACTCCGACTCCTACTACTACTTCTCCTTCTTCTTCTGCTATTGCTACTCCTACTGCTACAACGACAAATTTCCACTTCCACTTACCAAAACTATTCCGCCGTCCTGCTACTGCGACTGCTGACTCTACTGACTCTACGTCTCCCTCCTCAACTCCTTCCTTCACTCGACGACTAAACGATGCGAAAGGAATGCCAAAACCATGCGCGCACGCCTGTGCCAGATCCATGGTCTCCAGCCTTGGAGGCGCGGCTTTCCGAGAACTGTTCCTTAAAAGGGTTTAAGATGGCCTGGCCTGCAACACTATGGGGCAGCCTTGCCTTGCTCTGCAAGGATGCCAAGAAGATTTTGCTCCCCCCTTTCTGACCCCAACATACCCCAAATCCCATTGCAAATCCCTTGAAGCCTCTCTCTGTGCTGTCCGACAGGCCCCACTGCCGGTGTGAAGTGAGGCCGCTAGTCATTACGCTGCCAGCAGCCCATGGAGGTTCGGCCCAAAGCACCTGATGGGGTGGACAAGTCATGCGAAGCTTTCCATGACGATGGAGTAATTAGAATTACAGCATGGGCTCATTGGCAAAGCCGACGAGCCTATGCAAGGAGCTCCCAGCCCCTAGCTTAAGAAAGCCGACATCGTAGTAATGAACAAAATATATGCCTGAACTGTTTATTTCTGAGCCTGAAGTGCTCAGCAGCTCGCTAACTCCTACGGTGAGAAGCGACAGGCCTGAACGGTAGAACGCTGGAAGCCTACTGGGTGAACGTAGTCGTGAGTGACTTTTATCCTGCCAATCGGCAGGGAGCGAGGGAAGAAGAGGGGTGCCTGGAGATCCACTGCCAGTGGCCTTCGAGATCGGCTGCCAGTGTGTCTGCGCACGCGCGCGCGCGCGCGCGCGGGCGGGCGGGCGCGCGTGGGTGTGTGTGTGTGTGTGTGTGTGTGTGTGTTTTTGTATGTGTGTTTTTGTGTGTGTGTGTGTGTGACACGAGAGTATCGAACTCCCCAGCAGGCCTAAGTACAGCACAAAAGGGTATGTGGGGAAGGGTTAATTGTGGGGGGAGGAGGCAGGGGAGGCGGGGGGGACGGGTGTTGGAACGGCGCCGTTGGCGATGCGACCAAGCAGCCGCCAGGTGTAGCTACAGTCTGAAGCAAGGATACCATGTTGACGGTGCATACGAGTAACGCACAGTCTTTTCAGCCGCAAGTATAGAGGAGGTCTAACTTTTGCCAGATCCCTGACATAGATATATATATATATACACCCCCCCCTGTAACAAAACTTAAACGATCTTTTCTTGCAATGTCGAGTGCATCTGCAAGAAGAGTGGGCTTGGTACAATAGCGCCTGGTCGGTCGGGACATTCGCCCCATCGACCTCTCGCAGGTTGCCACTTGGAGTGTCTGCAAATAGGTGTCGGGGCTTCCAGACCTTGGCAACTTGGGCACTTGCGATCCTCATCTCGCATCCTACTGTAGATTCGGTACTCACAAGATTTCGGCTGGGCTGGTAAGCCACCAACGGTCAACCATTGACAACTTCCACAGGCATACCGAGCAAGGCATACAGACACACCACTTGCATCTTGCTCAAAGACATTTCGTGCTGGCAGCAGGTGCCGCTTACACACGTGCTGCCCGTGGCAAAGCACACTCTTGCATTACAGGCTCTCAGGCATCCACGTTGCCACTCTCTGGATGCACGAAGCCGAGCGCTCTAGCTGCGGTCTCTTTTAAATCCTTTCGGTCAGTGCAAGACCCTACTAAGACCCTGGGCTCAATATACCACACTGAGAGAACGACTTCACTCCCAGCCTTGAGCGTGTTCGGTGACTTTATCGCCGGTGCCTCCACTACGCCGGGCTCAGGGCCTCGCAGGCCCAGGATCCCGAAGCGGCGCATGGCTCTCACAGGGACTGGATGTGGGTGTAGAACCATATATCAGTATAATGTCTGTAGCCTATATGTGTCTACAGATTACTTATGTTCTTCACTTGCACTCACCTATCATCGAGCATGCTTTTCGACATGAGGCTCCCAAGTTCGAGCTTGAGTGACGAGGGGGCGGGGGTTGATTAACAGGCCATCTCTTGCGCGTGGTATAGGCAAGCGGTACAGACAAGGAGAGTGAGCCGCAAGGCATGCCCAGTGACTAAATCCGCATGACATCTTTTGCGTGTTGTGTGTTTGTTGGTGTCCATCTGTCTGTGCGTCTGTCAGTCAGTGTGAGTGTGCATGCGTGTGCGTGTGCGCGTGCGCGCGTGCGCGAGTGTGCGCGTGTGCGAGTGTGCGCGTGTGATCGCGTGTGTGCATGTGTGACATGTGTGCGTGTGTTGTGTGGGGGTGTGCGTGTGCGCGGCGTGCGGGTGCGTGCGGGCGCGTGTGCGCGCACGTGCGTGTGCGCGTGTGAAACACATATATGTCTGCATGAACATGCGTGTGCGTATCTCTCTTCTTCCTCTTCTTCTACGTGGCTTGAGGGGAGTGGCCCCCCCCCCCCGCGCTCGAAGCGCGCCCAGAATGCGTCCGAAGCGTATCTCTCTCTCTCACTCTCTCTCTCTCTCTCCGCCCGAGGGTCTTGCTACGCGCACACGCATGTCTGCGCATATGTGGACAACTGATGAGCATGTAATTATGACTAATTATGTATGCGTGTATGTGTGTGTGTGTGTGCTTGTGTATGTGTGTGCGCTTGTGTGAAGGTGTGAAGGTGTCAACATGTGTGCGCTCGCGTGTACGGGTGCGCGTGGGCGTGGGCACGTGCATGTGAGCGCGCATGCGCGTGTGAGCTAACCAAGCAGATCACAGATTAGCAGCTGGCCGTGGTCAACAGGAAGACGAGAAGCAAGCGGCAGAAACACCATCTTCGACAGATTAGCACTTTTTCCGCACCTGGTCTAGTCATGCAGTCCGGAGAATGCGCTTGGCTTCTCCGAGCCAGACAGATCAACGAGGCGCTCGCTCCTTGGCGCATGCGTCGCGACGGCACATGGCAGAATGTAAGTTTTGGCTAAAGTCTTAAGTCGTTCTCGGGGTGGCCCATTCCATTGCCATCCAAGAATCGCCTTCCAGAGCTCTTGCCAGGTCTCTGTGTCATAAGAAGTGGCGGCTTTCTCGGCAGGCGCAAGGGCCTGACGCTGGCGCGTGAGACAACAAACTGACCAGGCCACACCTTGCCCCTCAACGACAGAGGGGAGCAGACCTGGAAGAGCCGCGACACAATGCGAAGTGCTCGCAGAGGCGCAGGCAATAGCCCCTGCACCTCACATGGCCGAATCTTTGCATCCCAGACAAAAGAATCAATCGTCTGTCTAGGCCGTGCTGTTGGGGTGGCAGCTCTAACACATGCCCACAACGGGAAGGCGACGACATTGCAGCCTCGCAAAGCTTCGTTAAGCTCTGAAATCGATCACTCATGTGGCCTCGGTGTCAAGCGAAGCCGACGGGCGGCCATCCTAGCAAAAGGCCCCCAAGAAAGGTTTAGAGCTCAACGATGTTTGAAGATTTTAGTTGTCCCATTTGTGGAAACTGTCCTGCCAGTAGTGCCCCGAGAGCTTGCCCTGATCAGACGTGGCAAGCAGCACAGTGGTGCGAGCGCCTGCGTGAATAAGAGCTGCCAGCCAAAACAATGGCCATCAAAGGCCATCAGATAAGGTGACAATGATGCAACGTCTGTCGCCGCGTCTTCTAGGTAGCGACTCCAGAATAACGGTACCATTGTGCTCGTAGGACACTGTTCTCTTCCGTTGCAGTGCCTTCCTCCGGACTTTTCACGATAAGATCCAGCAACGGCTGAACCACCGACTTCACAGCCTGATAGGCTCCTGGCAACAGGAACACAACGAAACATTGAACATCTCTGAAATCACGAAAAACGAAAGCGTAAGATATCAACAGCTCCACGGACGGGAAACTAAAGCCCGGGTGCGCCTTCCAAAGGCCCTTCTTTCTCTTCTTCCTGGTTCTGTGGCAGGTGGCGCTTCAGCTCGGTGGCCACTGCCCCTGCACTTCGTCAGGGCGCTCAGATTTTGCATGTGTGTGCTCTTAGCCTTTGCTCATCCTTCCATGACCTCTGATGCTCTTGTGACCTCTTGTCTTGTGTCATTCTTGGTCAGGTTCTGGAGCTTCAGCTTCTTTGACCTTCTCTCCTCGCCGCTTTGTATTGCGGGCACATGCGGGGGCCTGGGTGGATGGCGTTGGAAGCAATGGGGATCCCCCCAATGCGACAACGGCGATCCAGCTCATAGGCGAAGAGCAAGTTGCAAAGCTTGGCTTGGCCATAAGCCTGCAGGGCTAATGACATCAAGGCGACGCCAGGAATCAAACACTTCCAGCTAACCCACCCTACTCTTGCCGAAGCGTTTAGCGATCGCATAGCAGATGGAAGCGCATCCTCTTTGAGAAGTAGGCTCTCTCATCTGCAAAAGCCCATCCTCCTACGTGCCGGCCTGCCACGGCGTATACTTCTTCGCCGACTGAAGATCACTTAAATCACCCGTCTGTAACGGTGAGGGTATCAGGTGAGCCGAGGACGAAAGACTGATGATGCGCCCGGGGTCTCCTGAGCTGTGCGCACTGTGCGAGGCTTGCAGGACACAGCCCCAACAGTGCCAGGGTACAGTAGAATACGTCGTCTGAAAGTCAAGATTCTAGGCGAAGCTGCAGCAGCCATGCGATCCAAAAGCAAGTTTGCAAGCAGGAAGTGGCCCAGGTAGTTTACCGCCAGCTGGTATTCGTGTCCATCACTGGTCACTTGCCTGTTATGAACTACCCACAGAAACTCAGAAACATACTGACTAGTAACTCGCTGTCGGCATATGGAGTCTGAAGCTATGGAGCCCCTTCAACCTGTGCCTTGATGGCAAGGCCATGACACCCGCATTCAGCACCAGGCAATGGAGAGGCACCTGAACAGAATGTCACAGAAGTTCATCACTACACCAGCAGACACGTGGCACGTGCCAGGGCCTCCAATGCTAGGAAGCTCGCGGCAAAGTCGCGCACAGATGCCAGCGAGTCCAGCTCCAAAGGCATATAGCCTGGCTCTCGAAGTGTGCGGCTCTGCGCATATCACACATACATGTTGCTTGATGATCAACAAATTCTAGTGACTTATGTAATTGGCCATGATAATTATGCTGTATACAGCTTAGTTGGTCATGATCGTTATATTGTACAAAGACATGGATAATAATATACGTAAAGAAGTAGCCATAGGAGAGTGAAGCGTAATCAAAGAGTACATGTTGGACAAGATATCAAATTAACTGATACGAATGGTGAAAAAGAGTTGCCAGCTCCCCTGAAGCACAGAAGCATGGTGAAGTTAAGGCCAGGAAGCGCAACTCTGCGGCTTCTGGTGGCACAAGATGCCTGGCTGAAGGCATGAGTGGCCCTGTGGTCATGCAACTGCGCACATGCTGTGCAAAACCCGCTCACAGGCCTGAGGCTGTCAAGAGCCTTCTCATGCTTCTCCTGGCTCCTGCCCGCGAGGATGATGAGACCTCAGCCACACAGGATGGTGATAAGCCAGAGGCCAAGCAGCGACGAGTGCTTCCTTCCAGGCTTTCTACGCATCCGAGACGCTGAAGTCACCAGATGTAGCCAAAGCTTGAGCTGTAGCGAGGCCCAAGCCCGTGGAAGCACCTGTGACCTTGGATGCACCCACGCTTGAAGCACGAATGGCCACGCAAAACCACAATGTAAATGGGGCAGGTAAGCTGCTGCTCGGTTGCAATTGCGACGCGCCCAGAAGGTGGCGAGGCCTGCCCAGGTGCTCTTCAGAGGCCTGGTTGAACCAAAAAATGGTGGGCGCAAGATGATCCGATTGCCTGCTGGGTGGCTCTCCGGACAGTCGTCCAGGCTTCCTGCGGCTCAGCACATGGTGCTTTCCAGCAGCGAGAAGGCTTTGATAGGTTTTGGCCTCTACTTGAGCGCCCGGAGACGATCACAAAAGAGTTAAAGAGGCCTTCCTCCTCGTGCTTTGTGATTTCCAATCGTCTATCAACGGTTGCGAAAACCCGAGAAATACGCGTTTCAACCATGTGAACCTCTCGAGGTCGCAGCAGCAGCAGGACAGCAGCCAGCAAGCCCACACGTGTTGCCGAAGCCATGGCAGGCGTCAGCGCACAAGGAGTTGGCAATAAGGGGAACAATTCTCGCGTAGGATCGAGCTGGGACTGAGGTAGGTAGTTTGGGGAGTTTTTGAGGGGAAACTCGCAAACAACTGCAACGTAATTAGTAGTGAAGGCTCTGGCCTACTACTGAGACCGAAGCATCACAAAGATCCACGAAGCCCCTGCGTCGCCGATCCTGCGATTGCCGTGCCACAGTTGCAGGGCAACCCACCAAAACAACCAAAAACAACCAAAAACGACGGGAAATGACGCTTTCCAATCTTGTGAACCTCCAGACTATCGAGTGACTTGCCAGAATCGCGATCGAATCGCTTTGAGACTATCCTGTACGACGTGAGGCAACATCGTCTTGGGAGCTTTGCAAGATTCTAGCAATTCAGAACAGCAAGACTTAGCCGGCACCACCTCGTTCTTGGGTGGGTGAGCGCAGCGGTTGGCTCTCGAGTGCTGGACTGAGAGCTTCAAGCGCTCGTCCACACTTGCCGACATGGAACGGAGCCTAAATGCTGTGAGCTGAGCGTTCCGAGGCTAGTAATCATTGAAAAGCTTGGGCTGTCGTGCTCTCCAAATGCGCATCTGCTGCTTGAGTTGCTCTGTTGCACGTACAATGTATATAATGCACCTGCTAGCCGCTCACTGCTGAAGGAAACTATTCAACATCATTCAGCCGCAGGTGGGTACCCTGCTTCTGAGAGGTACCAGGGCAGCGAACTCTACCAGTAAGGTAAGAACCCATATCAAGGTATTGGAGAGGCAGTTGGCTGCCCAGGAAACAAATTCATCCTTCGTCGCGCCATGGCGCTTTTCACGCAAATTGGCATCACGCAGCTCAGGCTGACAACGCCTGCTGCTATGCCTTGCCAGGGATATGACAGGCTGCTTTATGTCCCGTCACTCGCACGCCGCCATCCTTCTGTAAAAATTGCCCCACGCAGTAGCCATCATAACAGTCACAACCTCAAACAAACTCTCGGATCTACTTCGGTGCTAACGCAGGGGCAGCTCTTTACCAATTCTGCTTTTGCCCACATGCTTATCATGTCCACGCTTTCGAAGAGATGCCCGTCCCTGCCTATGACAGGAAAGACCAGCTGACACAGCCTCACGAGACGATCTAAAGGTGCCTGCAAACCTAAGCATCTACGTAAAGGCAATAACATTTAATGTTACTATCATGAATACCATACTCAAGCTAGAGAGTGTGATGGAATCTAACACCGACCCTCCGCCTGGGCTGCCTTGCCACCAAAGCCAGGCACATGGAGCCAAAGAATAGCTCGGGCGTGCATGAGCCACAGGCATGATGGAGCTCCTGGGTCGAAGACAGATTGACGACAGGCTTGAAATTGTAACTACAAAACAGATTCGACAGGCGATGGCTCTAGAAAAAAACAAGGGTGCCGAGGAGCCGGCGGCCTCCCATCGATCCTTCTCCGCGCTCAGCCTCTCCCAAACCTGGCACAAATTCTTTTCCGTTGGATCTTCTGGGGCGCACATTCCCTTACCACGACCTGTCTCAGTTTCGGCTCCACTTCTCTCTGGACAGCGTGGTATTCCTGCCGGCATAGAGACCTAAGCTTTTTTGCCGGGCATTTGGCATTTGACTGCGTGTTGAGTGCAGCAGGACTGATTTCACACGTCCGAGTGGTCGGCCGCCTAGTACCGGCTGGCAGAAACTGGAACAAACATGGGGGTAGTTCCCGCATTGGTTCCGAAGGCTGACTCCTGAGCCGATTCTCCATCGAAGTTCTAAAATCTGAAGATATCGGAGACATCAGAAGGTGCAACGACGGTGCCTCGGCGAGCTGTGAAGCTCTTGGGGTCCATCCTCGCAGGGTTCACCAAAAGTTCACCGATGCTTGGAATGCAGCGACACTTGGGGAGCTGGCGCCGCTGGCAGCATCAAGCATGAGGTCAGCGCCAACCTGCCAGCGAAGCGAGGCCCAGGCCCGAATCAGCCCTGAACCTGACCTCCCAGACCCATCGGGCGAACCGCAGAGGTCCACAACTCTTACGTTCTCGGAGTCTCGATCACGCTGGAACATTCTAAGCACCGCTTTTGCCATGCAGCTCAAGATGTAGAGCGGCTTCGCAGAAGCGGAAATGTTGAAGGAAACTAAGCTGCAGGGCTCATGACTTGACGGATATAGGTCCACTGCAGATACTCAAACTCATGATTTCGGGAACGCGGTATCCTTCGCGAGACAAGCAGCGCCAACTGAACCTGGACCTTGAGATCTCAAACTGCCCGACACAACCCAGGTCCGTCACCCAAACCAACTCCAAAGTCACTCCTGAGTTTTGCCATTTTTGACAGAGATCAGTAAACACAGGAGAGTGATTTACGGGGAAGGGCTGGGAAGGGTCTGCGGCCGAAAATGCTGCCAGGAGTTCAGACTTTCAGGAGCATCCTTCTGAGACATTCTGGGCACCAGTGCATGCCAGCAACGAATCAACACTCGCTGCGAGGCCTTGCAAGCTATGGCCGAGCTTGGATGCAGCATACCCCATCCCCGTTCAAACGGCCGCTGGGTGAACGCCAGCAACGTCCGGTCGCAAGGGCACTCGGCACTCTGCTCTGGCAGGAATGCATAACTGTAGCCTGACGGTGCGCCTTTTCCGCTAGATTGAAAGCATGATGGTCCAGTTGTTGTAACCTTTCTTGTCTTCCTGGACCAAGCCGATTCAAAATGCCTTGTTCATCTCTGCATGCGTTTGCGCCATCTAGCTTCCATCTAACCATCAGCTAAACGACGATCTTGAGAAGTCTTCATTTTGCAGGTTGAGGGTCGTCCATGCTCGCAGCTGGGAGGTCCAGGCTTGTCCGTTAAAATGGGATCTGCAGCCTATGTGCCAATATGGAAAGAATGATGGCAGTTTTATCTTGCCCGCGCTCACCAGGTACATCAACCAGCTGTAGTGCCTTCCTGCCGCCCTTGCGCGTCGTCTGCCTTTAAACATCTTTGGTACAAGAAAGGCTGAGCCAGATGCTCTAAGATGCTCTCAGGCAAAGGCAGCTAGAAAGCACGTATCCAATGGTCGGGCAAAATCTGGCCGAACGGCCAAGCATAGCAATCAATCAATGGTTCACTCAGAGCTCCACCTGGCCCAGCGCACTTGAAGGTTTGAATCAAGCCCAAAAACAAGAGCATCGGCCACATGGCTAGAGCACTGATACTATGGATGCTGTGTACTCTGTCATGGCTCGCTCTCAAAGGGTGCTGTTGTGTTGCTGAGCCCCGCGCCGTTTTGTCCTCATAGACGCCGGCGGCAAGCTCCTCCAAAATGCAGGCTTGCCACGGCCAGTCGCACCGAAGCACTTTGAACGAAATTCGCAGATCAATGCGTATCATCATTCAGGTCATCGGGACTCCCTGCGTCCTTCTCTGCTCCACTGTTCTTCACCGTGACTGTGCCCTTGAAGACCACACCTTTGGCCAAAGTCATGGGTCCTCGCAGACAGAACACGTGCTGCATCTACTTCACAAAGGCAGGAAGAGCTCCTTCAATGACGAGCTTTTTGCAGCCAATCAGGGAGGGCGCCCCGTTTGGTATGAGCTTCTCCATGGCATCCTAGGCTCAACATCTGCCAGCTCGAAGAGTTCGAAGGATTTCGGGGGTTTCAAACCCGTATGGGTTGTACCCAGTATTGCAGTATTGCATGCCCCATGGTCAATTTTCGAGTTGCTCTGATGGGAATGCGGGGTTTTCTATCCCCCGTCTTGAACGGCAGCCTTTTGACTTGCAAGGGTACTGCGCTGCTGATGCGAAACAGCAGAACCACCATCAGGTTCAAACTCTTCTTACATCCCTCATGCATCCCAGCAGCAGCGAACTTGTACATACCATCCAGCTTCACATCAGGAGGAACTCCATCACGCTCTGGTGCAAGAACGATGGTGAAGTCCTGGCGGCCACCACTCTCCGGGTGCAAGGCGAGTCGGGGAGTCAGAAACAAAGAAGCCAAAGTCGAAACCGGAATACCTTGAAAGCCTCAGAAAGTTCGATTCCACAGGCCTTGCTCCCAACTCGAGCTGTCACTCCACGACCCCCCCCCCAACCCCCCCCCCCACCCCTGTGGTCGGCTACCGGCTGACTGGAAAGATTCTGCATGATCTTATGTGGCCCCTCATGACAATGCACAGGTTGTGTCCTCAGTGAGCTGGTAGGCATCGGACCGCAACGCCAGAAGATCCTCGGCTGATACACCCGACCCGTCTGAATTCACATCCGGCCAGTGGCTCGCTCATGTCATACAGCCTTGTCATGGTCCCTTAAACAAGAGAAAAGCTGGCGCGGCTTCTGCTCAAGATTCATTGGTGGTCTTCACCGGGGCGAAGCGAGACCGAGGGATAACTAGGGCGGATGCGCCTGCGTCGTGCAAGTTGCTAAGTGGGCCGGGACTTCTCTTCATAACTCTAACCTTGAAGGTCTGCTATTCTCACATACCTACAGGCTTCGATTGTAGCGCCTCATGCATAAGATATCCTAAATAAGTGTTTGCAGACGTCCATCACTTCAACCGGCAAGACACGTGTACGCATGGCAACACTGAGACCGCCTTCAAAGCACTGGATGGCGGCCCCCATGGCCGTCTCCAACTGCAAAACCTTCGTGGAAGCTTTGTCTCGCGGGTCCACAGTCTTCGAGTTCCTCAGCAAATCTCGGCGGAATGAAGGCCAGCATATACGCTCGCAATTCAAGCACAAGTGTGTGGTGAGGCCACTTTCAACCTACCTGTCCCTTCTTTCCACCACGGGGAATGCCAAGCATCTTCATGACTGGCAGTGGCAGTGCCCCGTCGTTCTTCCTGAACTCTCTCTTCAAAGCTGCCAGGTCGACCCACAGGTTGTTGGTGTTGAAGAACCTTCGCGCAACATCTACGCAGAGGTAAATTAGGAAAATTAATTTCAGCGAGTACCAGTAGCTCGGAACTCCTAATTAACGGATTCCGATTCATGTATATGCCAAACATGTGACTGTTCGCCTGGGCCAGTGAGGAAGGCGTGTTAAGGTGAACTCCGATTAGGCCGGGAGCGAGAGCGTCGCTGCTATGCGGCGGGAGCGCTTATCGGTGAAGCACGAACGTGCAGAAACCCCGCCCCCGAGCACAAGTGCTGCATTGTGCGCCATTGCTTAGGTGGATCCTGACATGAGGAGCAATTACACAGAGGGCTCCAGCAGCGCTAAGTGCAGCAGACAAAAATGCACATAGGCTGAGAAGAGAGAGAGAGAGAGAGAGAGAGAGAGAAAGAGAGAGAGAGAGAGAGAGAGAGAGAGAGCTGCAGGGCATGCGAACCCCAGGCGGGAGAGTGTGATTTAGAGCCCAAGTGACACGTCACACACAGCCGAGCACCGTTGGGGAGGTATCTGCCAGGGGGCTTGTACTTGCCAACATTCTGAAATTCCTTCTCGTCCTCTGCAGGGCAGGATGCACACACCAGCCCTCCCTGCACCTCCCATGATCACACCTGCTCCGGGCACTGTGCGGACTCACGAAGGAGGAGGCCACCGGTAGCCTGCAGTTTGCGATCGGATTTGGCACATCACGCATGCCACTGCATGCCATCAAAATGCTCTCACACATGGACACACAGACAGACACACGGTTTCCGGATCAAACTCCAAATCCGAGCCTTGTCTTTTGCCAGGTGTCCACCTTTTTTGTCCTGTCAACTCTGATCTAGAAACCTCCATAGCTCTTGAACGTCTGAAATCTGCAGCGCAGGCTGTGCAATTATCTTTGCTTGCACAGCACCCCAGTGTCTTAGCTTTGGGCAGCATCAGTGCGCTCTGCGACCTCCATCATGAAAGGAGCGCCAGATTGCCTGAGCTCATAGAAAATGCCTTTATAGGTCTGGATGCAGACCTGCATCTACAGTGACTTCGGAATGGCTTTTTTGTTCCTGCACTCGACCGAGCTTGTAAGAACAAACTTGTAGAAGGCAGCACCAGTGCGAAATTGCAACATGCATTAACAACCAAGCACAAAGGAAAACCCCCCACACAACAAGGTTAGCCTTGCAGGCAGGCTACACAAAGTGCGTCAGAATCTTGAGGTCCATAGTGGCACCCAGGTTGTCGGAGTTGGAAACAAACATGTACCTGAAGCCTCAGCAAGAGGGACAGGCAGGATGGCTGTTTGGAGCACTTGCTTACATGCCAAAGACTACCAGGAGCGTGACCCTTCTTCAGGAGCTTCTCCAGAGTGCCGCTCCTCTCTACAGCAGCCGATGGCCGGGCACACGGCAAGTGACGTCATGCATGGAGACACTCTCTTCATGAGTCATTTGGAGGCTGTATCATCACTTCCACAAGATCTAGGATTCCGCAGCTGATTTCGGACTAATGACATCACTTACCGGCGTCACTTGTGGCGGAAGCATGGCTCCCGAGCATGGCAGGGTACAAGTCGCCATGGCCCGGCGGGCCTCGGTGCGAACATGGCATGTTGCTGCCTGTTAGCCTTCCAGTGCAACAACGAAGCCATCTGCAAGTGTGGCATGGGGCATGCCAATGGACAGGACGTCGCATGACTTTGCCTTCGACTGTGCGGGACGTGTCGAGCCTAAATGAAGGCCTTGCCGAGGCACACCACTCGTGGGACGAATCTGCGCTCCAGTCGGCTGGCGAAAAGTCACTCGCGGTGACCTTGGGCGCCTTGTTCTGCACAAACCTTGGTGAAAACATGGTGAACTTTACTTCCTCAGCCACCGAACTCCCTCATCTGATGATTGCAGCACACTGCATCTAGCAACACGTCCAGCTCCCGAAATGCGACAGTGCCATTTTCAGAGGAAGCGAAGAGCAGCCCCTGTGTTCAGTCCCAAGAAGCTCCAGGTCTGAGCCCGTTCCCAGCTCCGAGTACTTGGAGAGGGCATCCAGGGTATCCTTCTCAAACCCATTATGACCCACTGGATCTTCTTCATAAGCGCAATACAGGGATTGTTTGTTTTTGTATTTCTGGGGTGTTCTTGAGCAAATAGTATCAAACCCTAAACCCTTGACCCCAACAGACTGTGCAGCTCATGGGCTTTGGGCCTTCATGGAATGTCAACAATGCATGTGGTCACCCCCCCCCCCCCCCCCCCCCCCCAAGTCGTCCTGCGAGGTCGAGAAGGAGTTCATGAGCATGAACTTCAAGTCCTGGGCTAATTCACGCCGATCATGGGCGGACACAAAGCATGCGAAGTCATACTAGCTTAAAACCGGGCCACTCTAGGCAATTGGCCATGACATGTCTCCGCAAGGGCTAGTCATGGCTAGTCTGTAGAGTCCGGTTAGCCTGACATATGGATGGAATTGCACAACAGCTCCCGGCAAGGAACGGTCTTGAACGACTTCTTCATGTTAGCCACTTGCTTCGCAATCCTTAGTCGCCACAAGTGCCACGTAAAGCCACTGCAAACGTGCAAGCTTCGTCTGCATACGAGACAGATGCTCTGCAAAACGAGCTGCAGGTCAAGGAAGCTGTTGCCCTCAGTGACGGTGAGCAAGGACTTGGCCTTGTCCAGGCCCATGCCTCATCAGAGCTTGCTGGACCCCCCCCCCCTTTTCCGAGCAGTGAGCTCTTGTTCTCCATGGTTCAGTTTGCGGCAAAGAACGACAGACTGGAGCCCTTCGACAATAAACGACGAAGGCTCAATCACCCTCTATCGAGATCCCGCCTGTGCCGAGACCTCCGTTCAGCTTCAAGATGAGAGTCTTTCGCAGCAGCCGAGGGTCCTTGTCAGAGCACACACATCTGTAAGAAGTTTCTGGCGATTCCCTGATCATGCAAGATTATCCCGCGCCGCCGAAATTGCCCTGCGAAATCTTAATACATTTGGCCCAGATCCAGGCCTCTAGAGGCTAGGAGAGTTCTCCATTTAGCGTTAATACCCCCCGATTCCCCCCCCCCCCCCCCCCCCCCCCCCTCTCCGCCACCCACCCACCCACCCCCCCCCCCCCCCCCCCCCCCCCCCCCCCGGCGCACATCCCCGCAATTTCATTTCAAAATAATTCGAATTCACTAAACGGACTTGAAATTCAATGAAAAATAGACCCAACTAGTTCAAGATCATTAAAAGCAATTAAAATATCAAGTGCAACGATAAAAAAACACAAGAGAATAGAATTTTCGTTGCTTTGCAATTGGTTTTTTCACCATTTTCAATTTAAAAATATTGACAAAGTGACTAAATAGTGAAATCACTTGAAAATGGAGAACTATCGAGGCTAGAGCGAAGCACAGTTGAGAACCAAAAACTCAGAGAAACAAATTCGAAATCGAATGAAAGTTCCGTCAGAGCCTTAGACCGAAGCGTTGAAGGTGCTCCCAACAAGTTTTGAAACCTCAAAGAGCCCCCAGAATCGTCCATCGCGCGAATCCTCAAGATCCCAGTATTCAAGGCGCCACAGCATCACGGCTAAAATTCCACGACCGACTGCTGCCATGCATCCGGTTTCTCTTTCAGCTTCTCATACCTCAAGACTTCTCAAAAGGAATCGAGCAGTGAACTCTTGCGCATCTAAAAATCTGTTCGACCAGGCGCAGGTCAATACGGGTGGGTTCCAGATCACTTGCCAAGTAGCTCGGGCAGCTTATCCACTGGGTCGAGCTTGCTCTCTGGGATCATCACCTGAGCAGTGATATAAGCTCAAGGCTCAAGGTGCCAAGGCGAAGCTGACCCTGGGTGCCCAGCATCAGCACCAGAGACCAGAACACCTCAGAAATGGCGGAGCATAATTTTGAGAAGTGACCTTATGACCTTTCTCTTTCAAGGCAAGCAAGACAAGGAGCCGTAGTTGTACTTGAAGGCGGCAATGGCCGTTTCATTGCAGCCTTCCTGTACACAGGGTATTTGGTTTGTCGAGTTTAGGGATACAGGTGTTGGCGGAGGTTCGGATACTTTTTCTTGCGCGGATAAGTGAAGTGCGCGCACTCGCCTTCTTCATCTTCTCCTCATACTTGGGCCACATCTCGACCATTTTGGAGGGGCCCACCTCCAAAGCAACATCCGCATGCTGTGCTTCGCTGAAAGATGACAGCCGAGTCTGCACGGAAATTTCGCTGGCCCTGCCGCAGACACGATGTCCATGAAGGTTGGCTTCAAGGAGGCGCCACCCACCAAGAATCCATCGATGTTCGGCTTCGTGATCAACTCCTGATGTGAGGAGAGTTGCTCATAGGATGAGGTGCTGCTACCGGATGTATATAGTTGAAGCCGCAGCACAGCGCAGTTGTCACGGGTGACGCTGCCACCGTATTGAATTCGCACCTGGACGCAGCTTATTTGCGGTGAAAGTGTAGCATAGAACGAAGCGCAAGCATGCTGCAAGATCCTGCACGTTCGTAGCTACGGCGTTCTTTCAGCAGTGGGCAGCAACACTACACACTACCGACTAGTAGCCGCAGTGCATCACATGCAAGGGCGCTACACTCAGAAGCAATCGCATGATGCCGTATGTAGATGGCACGCGTCTTCGGTTGACAAGGCGAGTGCAGCAGCAAAGCAGCATTAAGGTGCACTCTTTTTGTTCCTCACCAAGGGCCGTGAGTCTCTCAGCTGTGTGGCTTTGCCTTTGGCGTCGCCCGGTGTGGCTCCCGTTTTGGGTTCATGGGGCTTGGCGTGCGGGGCCTAGCAAGGCTTCGGAGGTAGGACCGTAGCTGCTTCTGGCTGAGCTGAGCATCCGGAGACGTCGGCGGAAACCTGAGCAACAACACATGCATTGTCGACGCAGGGTTTGAGTGGAACTAGTAGTAACGCGCGTGAGCCTTGGCACCTTAACATCGTACCGACACTGGGCGACGTGGCAGGACTGGAGAGTACCATCTAGCCTGCAAGCAACACACAACTTGACAAGACCCATGCACAGCGACAGCCAAGCAACTTGGATGGGCTCCCTTCCCTTTTCGGGGAAGTTCTCGGCGGCGATGTAGAACCAGTAGAGCCCAGGCTTCTCCTGGAGCGCGTGCCGATCCGGTCCCTGGCCATCCGAGACTCTTGGGCCTTCGAGTGAGAATGTGCCTGAGGTGTTCCGGCAGATGCCTTCTTTCGAAGCGGTGCCCAAGAGCCAGAGCCCGAATTGATTGCTGTGGGAACTGTGGAAACGGTGGCGGGCTCAGGAACGCTTGGAACGCTTGCCGGACTGCGGCCACGCTCGGCTAGGCCCTGCTTTGGGGCCTGCCGTGCATTCTGTGAAGTGTGGCCCTTGTCAAGTTTGTCCAACCTGTGCTTTGCTGGCTGGACTGATCTGACGGATCTACCCAGGGCTTCGGGCGGCAGGGCTGGAGCTGCGGCTGGCCTTTCCATCTCTAACTCTGGCTTATCGTGGTGCCCAACCTGGTGCGCAACGTGTTGCTCCACGTGGTGTGCAAGGTGGTGCACGCCCTCGTGTGCAACGTGGTGTCCGCCTTGCAGTGCACCGTGAGCGCCGTCGTGCGCGCCGTCGAAAGCACCGTCGAGTGCACCATCGTGTGATCCGTGGTGTGATGCGTGGTGTGATCCGTGGTGTGTGCCTTGCTGTGTACCGTGGTGCGCACTGTGGTGCGTGCCGTCATGTGCAAGGTGGCCTTGCTGTGCATGGTAGTGTGCGCCGTGGCTCGCACCGTGCTGCACACCGTTCTGCGCACTCAGCACCGGTTTTTCTAGAGGCAGATCCAAGGAGTCCCAGCTCACACTGTAGCCAGGTAGCTGAGTCTCGCTTGCTGTGAGGGAGGCTGCCCCCAGGCACTCGGAGAAGAGCACCGGGTGGGCTGCTTCCTCGGGCACTGCCACGGCATGCACGAGCTCTGCATGCTCCATGAATTGCTCCATGTTCTCCGGACTCAAAGCCGTGTGCTCTTCAGCTTCGGGGGGGAAGACGCCGGCAGACTCAGAGGATGGGTCCTGCTCTGCCTGCTCTGCCATGGTGGAGCCGCCGACCGAGGCAGTAAACGGTGACATCCCGTGCTCGTGCGGGTGAGGCATGGGCCACACTGCTGGTTCAGGTGGTGGGCGAGCCTTTTCCTCCCAATTTGTTGGGAACACTTTTTCCTCCCACCCTGGCGGGACCAGCACTGTTGCTGGATCATGAAGTGCACTGGCGGCCTCTCCTCCTACTACACGTGACAGAGCTGCCCGGACCTTTGCAAAAAGCTCACCCTCTTCTCCTTCACCCTGCAGCTCCCCAGCTCCAATGAGGCTCTCGTAGGTCGCTGAGCTAAATGTCACGCCGACTGTATCCCTGCCTGCTTTGACTTTCTCCTGCTGGCCAGCAGGAAGACCAGCAGGAAGACCAGCAGGAAGACCAGCAGGAAGGCCAGCAGGAAGGCCAGCAGGAAGGCCAGCAGGAAGGCCATCTTCTGATGCAGGAAGACTCAGTGGGACTGTTGCCTCGCCAAGGCTGGTGGCTTGGTGGGTTGCCGGCGAAGAACCGTTATCATAGATGTCTGCATCTTCCACGTCGGCTGATGCTCGTGCCGCATCCCCTGCCTGATGCAAAGAGCTGGCTGCATGCTGTTGGTTCGTGGGCATGGGCAGCTCCGACAAGATGTGCTCCCCTGGAAGATCAAGCCGCGCTTTGGGCTGCAAACCTTCCAGTGATGTGTGGCTTCCGTGCGTGTCTTCTGGGCCATGAACTGGCCCTTCGCGTGGAGGGCGAGGCCCCACAGGCCCCATGTACTCTGCAGAGAGATGACGAATCATGCCGGCAAGTTCTGCTGCTTCTCTCTCTTTCTCCCGTAACACTTGATTCCAGCGGGTGCAGTCCTCGGCAATAGCTGACGTGCGCCTCCAAAGCGCGTCCAGCATGTGCTCGAAGTGCTGCTGGCGTGGATTGGCAGTCGTGCTGTTGCAGCAGGCTGCCAGTGTGGACCCGCTGGGTGGGGCCTCTCCAATACAAGGCGTGCATTGTGCTGCCCTGGTCGGGCTGTGGCGGGCCAAGATTCGAGTGGGGCTCAATGGACGTTGCGGGGGTCTGGGGAGTGGAGACACTGCTCGAGGGGCTGGTGAGATCGAACGGGATGGAAGGGGTGCTTGATACCCCTGTGCAGGTATATGTTGCGCACTCAAAGGGGCCGTGCTCACAGGTATATGTTGCGCACTCACAGGAGCCGTGCTCCGCATGGGCGAGGGGGATCGGGCAAGGGGTGCCGCCGACGCTCTCGCATACACGGGAATGCCATGCATCTGAAGCGGCGCTGGCACACCAAATTGCGCCTCAAAGGATGCTGTGCGACTTCCTTAAGAATGTTCGTTGATTCTTCTCAATACTATGAACCCCCAATACAAAATGACTCCAAGCAGCTGGGGCTGGCAACGGCGACCGACGGGCTTGGAGTTCTGGCGATGGCGGGGTCTCTGCCAAAAGCTTCTGCGCCGGAGCTTGCGCCAAAGGGACGGCCGGCCTCCAGAACGGCAGAGCTTCAAGCAAATATACGTAACAGACTTGATATACTTGTACTTCTGCTTTTTTTATTCCTATTAGAAATATATTATATGTAATGAGTATGGTATGCTTCATTGCCTGGTTGTAGGTTTTCAAGTTGTGCTGATCAGCTTCGCTTCTTGAGCGCCTGTGTCCAGTACACACACACAACTCATGAAGTTGGAGATCCAAATCCTTACCAGACAAACGACAAAGGATTCTCTTATCATAAGGACCCCAAATGAGGTACCCCGAATTTCGGGAGCCCCCATAGAGAGTTTTTTGTTTCCAGATGTTGGCAGTGGCCACGCCTGAGCACCGGCAACGGGCCAGGAGACGTCGGAGGCATTCCGGTTGGAGCTTGGCTTCGAAGAAGCCTTGGGGGCTTCACTCTTTTCGAGTTTTGGGTCCAAACTTGCCTCCTCTCAACAAACGATTGCTTGCCCATGACTACGGCCTACTATGACCGTTTAGGAGTCCTTTAGCGCGGCCAGAAGACAGGGGCGTGCTTGGGGTTGGCGCGCAGCGTTGCGCCTGAGCCGCGAACTGCTGTGCACGCAGGAGCCTCGGCTGCAAGTAATTTCTTTTTCTGTTTTTTTTTTTGGGGGGGGGGGGGGGGGGGCTGCTGCTCTCAGCAGGTACGAGGCGTGTTGGAATCTCACGACTGATGTCACAGACTCACCGGTGTCCAAGCAGCTGCATGTCGGTCTTCATCTGGGTCGGGCCCTCGACTTCTTGCTCATGGAAGATCTGCCATCCCTGTTGGAAGGCGCCCTCCATCTCTGCGGCTGCGTTAAGCGTCACAGTTGCTCACATTCAGGGTGCAGCAAGTGTGGCATCTTTGACTGGGTATTGTCCAAGATGTCGATGGCTGCTGTCGAAATATTTACATATGGGGCTACCCTGTCGAGTACTTCCTGTTTCGAGAGTTATGCCATGATGATTCTACGCAGCCAGATTGATCATTATCTCAGCGGCAGGCGAAACAGTTTGGACACAAGCGCATTCACATGTCAGCAGGAGCCAGTAGCAGGCGCACAGAAAACACCGACCATCGACGATTCAACCGCAGTGAGCACACTATGAACTCCGGGCATTGCGCACACTGGGCAGAACTTTCTGCTGGCCTTGTCGGCGACAGCAGCGCCAGCTGCCTCCTTGAGGTATGCTCGAATGGCCGCCTTGGTCGGGTTAGTTTGCCCGGCATCCTCCTTCTTGTGGTCGGGTTTAGCATAGTCGTAGGTCAAAGTCGGCCAAGGGATGCGAGAAGGCCAAAAACCCTGTTGTATCCAGCCCAGATCTTGGGGTGGTTGCATGGGCCCTTAGTGTGGGCTTTTCATAGAGGCCCGCTTATACACCCCTGATACACGGGAAAAAAGCCCTAGGGTCCATAGACCAAAGCCAACCTTAAACCACTATGACCATCCAAGCTCTAAAATCCCCAAACCTTCGCAACAAAAAGAGCTGCGCCTGGGTCTCCTCAGCCTGGTCTGGTGTGGCCACCTTGCCCGTACCGATGGCCCACACAGGCCTTGGGATCCAAGAGATTCAGGGGGTCAGGGGGTCAGGGGGTTAGGGCTTCTGGGACTTCAGTTGGGCATCGCCAAGTCAGAGCATGCTGGCCTACATTGAAGCTCTCAGGGGCAGGCTCGTAGGCGATCACGATCTTATCCCAATCCTGCGTTGTTGTACTTGGCAAGGGCTGAAATGGCTGAAGCCAATGCTTGAATGCCGCCCTGCCTTGACTTTTGGGATGACAGCTCCCAGCTGTCGCTTGTTGACCTCGTCGGTCTTCCCTCCTTCGCCTTGGATGTGTTCACTCTTCTCAGTATACATTGATGGCCTCGTGAGGTTGAAGTGGAAAAAAGTGGTGTGTTTTCAGCTCTGTTATTCCGAGGCCGTGCCACGTCCGGTTGTCTGGCCGGCCAAACAAGCACCCACAAGTTGAAACAAAATGAGCAGTGACGAAGAGTTCATGGCCTACCGCAGCTTCCTGCGCAAACTGTCGGAGCGGTGCCAACTTGGATAACTACTACTATCCCCACACTGTGAGATCCCCCCCCCCCCCGCGCTGGGCGGTTGGGCGGTGGCTTTGGTCCAATGTGTTCCATTGGCCTTATGACCAATGCCAGAGGCAGCCCGAAAGCTAGGGCAAGGCTATGCAAAGCCGCTAGTCATCTCAGCCCGTTTCACGAAGCCTCCACCAAGACTTCGAGGCACCAACTCTCCCCCCAGCCTGCCCTTTTCTGGTACTTGCCTGATTTCATGGCATGAAGGTGACCCAGAAATGGCTGAGGTCGTTTCTCTAACAGAGAACAACCCCTAAAACCCTTAAGCCCTCCACGCTCTTCCAAGGTCTCGCCGATGCAAAGGATCACGTTGAGCCCAGCATCCTGGCACTTCGCGACCTTCACAAAGGGGTCCACAACGGGAGAATTGAGTGACCGACGTGGACTACGTGCCGCCAAGCTTCTTTCTCCGCAACATCTGCGTCGGACTCGCCATATTTCGTTCTCCGCTCCGAGTGCCCGATGAGGGTCCAGGAGATGTTCTTGGTCACTTTCAGTAGTTTTGGTGCGCAAGCTGTGCCTACAAGCCCGTACTATGGCAGATGCAAGTCCGGGCTACCCCCTGCGGCGTCATGCAGACAACAACATGCCCACCGTCTAAAAGCATCTGAGTCTCAATGTCTTGCAAGTTGCTTGCAGTCCACTCACCTGAATGCCATCATGCAAGCTCAGGCCTAAAAAGTCGCAGTCAAACTCTGAACCCTACACTCCTAAACTCTGGCCCACAGCGCCCCGCACCCCCGTCTCTCGTCCAAGCTTCCAGTGAAGGCTCCGGCATCATTCTTGCCGACATTCTGTGCGCAGGTGCTCATGCCGAGAGCCTGGGAGCATGCGGATTCCAGTAGAACAATAGAAGGTGACGACCAAGTTACGGTTGCGACGACTACTACCCCTGCCGACAGTCAACAATGCACAAGTAAGTTTTCGTACAGGAATTACCAACTTGTACTGCTACCACCACCACTACCACTACCTCTTACTACTGCTACTACGGCCACCAACGCCTGGTAGCTACGACCTACAACTTTCAAATGTAGAAAGTACTCATTGCCCGCTACTTACCTCGCAACCTACTACTATTGCTACTTCTGCCGCTACTGCTCCTGCTCCAGCTACTGCCAGCACCACTACCACGACCACGACCACCACGACTACGACTAAGACTACGACTATAACGACTGCTGCTACTACTACTACGACGACTATACGAATACTACGACTACTATACTACTGCTACTGCTACTGCTACTGCTACTACTACTACTACTACTACTACTACTACTACTACTACTACTACTACTACTACTACTACTACTACTACTACTACGACTACGACTACGACTACGACTACGACTATGACTACTACTACTACTACTACTACTACTACTACTACTACCACTACTACTACTACTACTACTACTACTACTACTACTACTACTACTACTACTACTACTACTACTACTACTACTACTACTACTACTACTACTACTACTACTACTACTACACTACTACTACTACTACTACTACTACTACTACTACTACTACTACTTCTTCTACTACTACTACTACTACTACTCCTACTACTGCTACTGCTACTGCTGCTACTGCTGCTACTGCTGCTACTGCTACAGCTGTTGCTGCTGCTGCTGCTGCTACTCGACTGCTACTGCTACTCCTTCTGCTTACTACTCCTCCTCCTCCTCCTCTCCTCCTCCTCCTCCTCTCCATTCCCGCTGCAACTGCTACTACTACTGCTACTACTTGTTACACTGGTACTTGTACCTGTACTTACTGCTACTGCTGCTACTGCTACTGCTACAGCTGCTGCCACTGCTCACTCGCCGGGCCTCGATGGACTCGTTCAAGGAGGACATCCAGAGGGCCGGTGGGCAAATCACAACGTCCACTTTGCCTCGCAACACATGCATTCTCTTACTGTTTTCGCGGGGCGCCGTGTGAGCTGAATGCGGACGTGGTCGCTCTTGTCCACATTTGGCAGCGCCCTTGGAGTGTCGTTTTGTCTGGTCAATCACAAGAAGATGAAAGGCACATTTGCACTTCTGTGGTGAGTGTTCACTAGCTTACAGCTGCAGACCAAGCAAGAGAAATCGCCACTTACCGAAGCCACGCTCCCTTCATTCTTAAATTTTGCTGGCTCGGTTGCAGAATGCATAACAATCCAACGTTGCCGAAACGTGCTGAGGCCTGTTGAACTGAGGGTTTATATCAGCTCCTTGAGGCCAGGCTTCCCCTTGCCATGCCACATGTCTGCCAAGCATCTTTTTCCACTCTTTGAGGAGCGTGTTAGCCTCGCGGACTGTCGCGGGATTGCACTTCCAGTTGCCGCCCACGATGAATTTACCTCAATGCAGCGCAGAAGGCTTAGTGCCGTCTGGACCCAGCTCATCTGCTTTTTTCTCGAACCCTACTTCCTTGGCCTCTGCGGTGGAGAATGGCCCCTCATTTCACTGGGCATTATCAAAACGCGAAACGCAAAGAATCCCCACCCAAGTGCACCTCAGCAGGACATTTTCCTTGCCTTTGTAAAACACATGGAAGCTTAACTAAACTTCAGGAGCGTGCACGCTTCCCGTAAAGAATTACTCACGCGTAACTTTGCTGCCAGGTTGCGCGACATGACGGGCTACCAGAAGGATAGCAAAAGGCTAACAAGTCGTTGCAGCTGCTGGTGAGCAAGAAAAAGGCTGAAGAAGGCGGCGATGGGTAAGCTCCTTGAGAAAAACATTCCAGAACTCTAGCCTCCGAAACGCATAGCAGGCATAGCAATGCATGCATCCACTCAGGAGCACAGGAGCACTGCTGCTGCACTTCCTGCTCGTGAACGAAAGTTGAAAGCTTGTGAGGAACATGCCGCGCTGGCGATGTTGAACGTTGGCACACGCTTTTTCGTGATTGCAATTAAACCCCACTGCTTGGGGTTCTGGCCATGCTGGCGCTGTTCAAACACCACCTCCTTCAAAGGCAATGAACAAAAAAGGGGCAAAATCACCATTCTCACAGCCGTATCGGGCTCGCATCCGACCAACATCAAAACGGTCACCCAGGCCTGGCGCTGCGACTGCCTGCAAGAACACTGAAAGACATGAACATGGGGCCCCTATGTTCTGCACCTCACCAATGCCAAATGCAAAAGCTCTCTCCTCTTCTCTCTTCAACTCCACTGGAGGCTTGCTTTCTTTGCTTCCCGGCCATTGGCTCCCGGTGGATGCAAGCATGTGTCTTCGGCAACTCATCTTTTCAACAATTTCATTCGAGTATTCTGTGCCGTTACAAGCGGGGAGGTTAATTTTCATCTTCAAGTGTGAAGTTCATCTCCCCAGTGACACGCGGCTGCGAACGAAGTCACATCACCCCGCGTAAAGTCGCATCACAGAGACATATGTTGAAGCCTTTCCCCCAATGTGCACGCGCCGCACGCTCATGTTCTGGACACACATGCAAAACACGCACTTGTCACCGCACGCCTGGGAGGGGAGCACGTTTTTGTCAGCGTGAATGAGATTTCTGCTTGGGGGTGCAAGTGGGGTTCTGACCAAGCTTGGAATTCGCGAATCCCCAGTGTGCACGCGCCCGAGATACGACTTTACACAAGAAGATACGACTTAACCTACCCGCTTGTACGTCTCCATGATGCAACCAGAACTCCGATGAAACCCTGACCGAACATAAGCTGCCCGCCATTGCTCTTGTACAGAAAAGAACTCAGGTCTTTTGGCATCAAAGACAGCGTGCGTTGAGGAAAAAATCTTCTGACCCCAAAGGTGTGTGTGTGTGTGTGCACTCCTGATTGCAAAGATCAACAATAGAAATCAGGGGGCATGGGAAGCCCTCAGAGAGAACATGCTAACAAAGACCGCTGAATGACTGATGATATGAGCTGGGGACGCTAGGTTCACGTAAGTAAAATATCTCACTCGACGACTCCTTCGAAAGAGGGTGCGGACCGCGCAGGGCCTGAGGGGAGGAGGCCTTCCTGAACCGTCTCTCCCCCCGGCCTCCAGGTGCACCCTTTGAGCGTAGGTTGGGTTCGTAGAAGGCCGGGTATGGTATGGGTGGTTGCCCCCCGTGATCGGGCATTGTAAGGCAGAGTCTGCAGGGCCTGGGCTTGGAATCCTGTCTTGTCTTTTCTACCCACCCAAAATGTCTTTTTTGGGGAAAAAACAACATGCACGTCGATCTCAAATGGTTCGACCCATCTGATGGTTGCATCCCCCTGCCCATGCTGAGAATCACTCAGATTGCATTTTCCAAAGAACAATCCCGAATCAAGGTCCAACCTCTAAGTCTATGGTCACTGTATTCCCCGCAGCCTATAGCTATAGCACTCGTAATCACTTGTAATTTGGAAAGGACGTAGCGCTGCGATTCTGCTCCGAAATTTTTCGCTCCGTTTACAACGCATGGAGAGCAAATCATCTCCCCACAAGTCGCAGGTTGCAGGCCTGGGCGCGCTGCGCGCGGCGCTTCTTCAGCAGCCTGCAGCTGCGAACCAGCCTAAGTCACAAAATTGTCGTCCTCCGAATGTGCCGACATGTGCCGACCCTTGGTTTTCATCGGAGCTTGATGGGGGTTTGGATCGCATCTTCCGCACCCTGAGACCTGAATCGGGCAAAATGCGCAAACATGGCCGGGTTGTGTAACACAGTACTTCTCGCCCCTCCAACCACCGCCGACTAGAGACCCAAGATGACCCAAGTCTCTCTCAGATTCAAGGGCACCGCGATGTTTTTTCTCATGTTTCATTATGCATTGACCGGTCTTCCAATGCCTACAAAACCACTTATCATTGGTCTTCGGCAGTCATCTTAGCATCTCGATTCACTTCGTACATCCTGCGTACATCGAATGCATGTGAAGAACACGTGTGCAAGGCTGACGATCATACACAGCAACCGCGCCTGTGTTGCATGCACCCTTTCCCAACGGAACTCTTCGATACATAAGAGTTATGCAATGATGTCTCAACATGTCTCAATGATACCACTGCTTCGGCTCCAACTCAGACGAAAAAAATCAAATTTGTGCAACTTTGCGCACCTGGAACCCACTCATTCGGTTCCACTCTTTCAGGCTCGCGGCTCCTCAGCCAGTGCTTCGGATTGCACGCCCTGGCACAGCAAATGCCAAGCCAGCTTATAAGGGGCATAGCTACCTACTGCTGTGGCTTATAATTACCGGTACCGGCTGCTTAGCACAGCTTGCTCCGAGACATCCGCACTCTCCACCCCTTCTCTCACTTCATAAGTATTGGCTGAAGACAAACAAGCATACCACTCCCACATGCTAAGAGCGACAATCAGGATGGCACTGTCCACGAGCTTTGGTGGGCCTCAACGCCGCATTCGTGTGCTGCCGGTTGTTCCAAACAGGCCCATCCCGATGAGTAGCTGGGCTTTGCACTGCCTTCCTTTGCAATTTCTTCCCGCGCCTGACAAGGGTGTGCATCGAAACCAAAACGCTGGAACCTAGACTTGTGGTGGCAACTGGGATGATGAACCAGTTCGCGCAGCCTTAAACAAGCACGGCAACAACAGGTGCACAGTCAGGCGCACTTGACTGCGCGCATCGACGCATGACACCAAATTTGGACAGCCTTTCTTTTGAAAACGCAGCCCGGAAATGCTCACTGCCACCGGCTGCGCAGATGTTCTGGGATGTTGTGCTTGGCAGGGCATGTGCAGCGAAATCTCTCTCACACACACACACACACACACCAGGACTCTGCTCCACTAGCCGGGAATGTGGAGAAACACAGCACAGCTCACGTCACATGCACCAACATGTACACAAGTCAAGGTTTCAGATAAAGCTCACAAGCAGTGCTGCCCTGTTCGCGACATGGTGCAGAGGCTCCCCCAAGTTCCGGGCCATCAGATGGATCAAATGAAAGTATGGGGGCCATAAGCGGTCCTCAGCAAGGATGGGCTCGAGAAACGGACCACGCTTGGCAACTCGGGCAATGAAAGGACTGCTTCTCTGGCTAGGCGGCTAGGCCAAACCTGGATTCAGCTATTAATACTACTGACCTTGCTTTCCTTCCGAGTCCACGGCCTGCACACTCCAATCAGCGGAGCTTTGCAAGTCTTTTCTCGCTTCTATTCTCCTGCAAAACGTCGTGTTCATCTCCATGTCGTGATGCTCTTCAAGTTTGAGACGAGGCTGTTGCAGGCCAGCAAGAGCGCTTCCCTGCTCTAAGCCAAGGCCTCCGGAGCTCGCTGAAAGGCCGGTCATCCTGCCAGGCCTCACGCGGCAGCCGCTGCACCTGGAGCGAAAACAGTCAGTGGACTTGCTTCCCTGAAATCGCGCACCTGCACTGTCAATGATGTGCGTGCCGCGGTGGCAAAGTCATGCCGAGTCAAGCCTGGATAATATCTGCAGGGTCCAGTGAAAAGTCGGGAGCCGGAGTAGCAGATGCGAAGGCCAAGCCTCACCGCCGAAATTTTGAAAGCTTTCACAAGATCGAAGTGTGTACACCGCACATCCAACTGTGCTCGGAGCCTTTCGCCTCTGAGACCAGAAGCCGGTAGGGCAGGAACCTGAGCGCAAGTGCCGTATCGCTTATAGAACTTATGGTGCCTCCTCGGGCTTGGAGGGAAATTGCTTCTAAGCTGGGTAAGGTCGCTTCCCTTCCAAGTCATTGGAGACAAGGAGGCAAACCTGTCACGTGAAGCACAAGAAATTCTTCTTGCCTTTAGCAGGCACACGAGTGCTTACGCAGCCATGGCACAGCCTGAACCATAAACCTCGACAAACGGCTCTGACAGACCCTTTCTTGTATTTACTCGCATCCCAGAATCCCATATCATATGATGCCATTCCAGGCCTGGTTTGGGGGCTCCCCGGGACGTCCGCAGGTGGCACGGGACGCAGCCACCTGCCTTCGGCATGAGATGCGAGCTCTTATTTGCCTTTATCAGTGCTACACATGGCCGCAACCGGCCAGCACCATGTGATCTCAGCCCCTGGTGCCATGCCGTATTGTGGAAAGATCTGGGACATCCACTTCCCAGGTTGAAAGACAGCTTCTGGCACAGCCTCGCAGCAGCGGAAGTGCCCACAAAGAAAGTTATGCAAAGCCCTCGCAGCTGGACCAATCTGGGCACTGTGACAGGAAGGGGGTGGTCTGGAAGAGTAGCTCCCAGGATCGCCTCGCCAGCAATCTGCCCAGCAGCAAAAACAAGCACACCGTGCGGAACAAAAAAGAAGACGGAAGAGCAACAGCAGCAAGAACAGTCATTCTCATTGGTTCCATACTTCCACTGTGCGTGCGCAAAGCTGAAACTGCTCTTGGACTGGAAGGCGTCGTCTCCCTATGTTATGTCACTGTTTTTTTCGCTGTGTACTACATCGTTTGGTCTTCGGGCAAGCCTTTCCTGGACCCCGCCTGCTGAGGCACATCGCACATCGCTTGAACATCTTATGGCCCAAGTCTCTTGGGTTCGACACACGACCAATCTGAACTCGAGGCACGTTTCGTTTGTGATGCTGTATTGTCGATGGTGAATCGTAGAATGCGGAGACCCGAAAGTTAAAGATGCCCGCCATTGCCCGCCTGACCTAGCCGGCGGGGTTGGATCTGGGGTTCAGAGCTTAGGGCTTCTTCTGTTTGCCATCAGAAAGCAATGCTCTCGCCCACTGTCACGCAATTTCTACCGTCACTCATAAAATATCAGGCTTCCGGAGCTTTTCTTCTGCTCAAAAGCTCCCCATCCTCAGTCCATTCGCAGACATCCATTTCTGACTAGTATGATCTATATGCACCTTCACTTGGCAGCAGATCCTGCAGCGCAGGATGGAATTAGTTTTCCTGTTTGAAATTCTTGGTTGACGCAATGAGGTTTTCATTCTTTGAAAAAGGCGGGTTTTCGTCGTCTCGTTTTGACTGAGATGCATGTGGGCTGCACATTTGGAATGTTTCAACATTTGGGAACCTTCGTTTTCCTTCCTCGTTTTTTCGTCTTGCTGGGATGCCTCGTGCAATTGGGGGTTCACGACAGGCCACTTTATACTCCTTCATACTCTGTGCGCCAACCATTCCATGTCCTGTGATCCTGCAGACGTGTCCGGAAAGTTGGGAGAATGAAAGCATGCGGAAGAGCCTCAGCTGCCTAAAGCAACTCACTGCCGTTGCTCCCTTGTGTGGGAGCTTAACAGCTGAGATATGGAAGCATGGCATTCTTGGCGCCCTGCTCGACACTACTCACTGCTTCATCGAGGCCAACATTGACAACGAAGTGGTATAATGACAACGGAAGCAGCAACAGCTAAGATCGAGAAACAGCAACAGCAACAACAGCAGAGCACAACGAGGGTCATGGGCCTTGCCCTTCAGGTCCACATCTGGGCCAGGCAGCGGAAAAAACTGCGGTGCCACCAGAGGAGCCTGGCATGCACTGACATACACAGCTTTCAAGCGAGCTTTGCCACTGCAGCTGGTCACTTGGTGTGTCAGTTTGCGTGCTGTTTGTCCCTCTTTGGCAGGAGCGCGTCGAATTGTGAGACAGCATCCTGCAGGACAAGCCGAGCCTAGCCGAGCCGAGTCGCCTAGCCCGACCGAGCAAAGCTCAGAGAAATCGGGCTGCGCGAGCAGCCCGGTGGCGGCGCCTGCCTGGCCTCGCAGCTCCAGGTGGAACGCGACACTGTGTCTTCAGCCGGTAGCAGACACAGATAATGTTATTGCGGTAATGGGGATCTCTTGTACAGTTTGATTCTGGGCAGACAATGCCTAGCACATGCAAAGCCCAGCACTGCGCAGCATTGCTTAAACAATCTTAAACATGCATGATGGGACTCACTGGAATCAAAAGCAGGGGAGGGCGAAGGCTTCACACGGGTTGCGGAGTTCAAAAGACTTGGGACCGGGGCGGTAGATGTATGAGCAGGGTGGAGGATAGGCTGCGAAGCAAGGAGGCATCTATAAATTGCTATACTGGGCGCAGAGCGCCTGCGAAAGTCCTTTGACGCGGTAAGCTATGGGAGGAACGGCGCACATATGTCTTAGGTCTGTTCGGTTCGATCCATGTGGCTGTATGTGGCGCAAACTGGGAATTGCATGTGATCATGTGATCGAAGTACTGGAGGAAATAGGTGTAATATACATATATATATATACATATATATATATCATGCACCAGTTACCCAGATGTGTGTTGTTGCGGTTCTTTGGCTCATCGGACCACCCCGCCGACTTGCTTTTCTTGTTTTACCACTCCTACATGTGGGGTGCCTGGTCTATACATGAGCCTGCGTGTTACCATGGGCTTCACACCCGCAGGTTGCCTCGACGCTGGGCAGGCCCAGGCCGAGGCGAGCATCAAAGTTAACTGAGAATGCCAATCACAAATGTTCAGCTTTTGACACCTCACCCCTGAAAGCGAAAGGGAGAGGGGGACTAGTGGGAAGAAGGAGGCCCACCCCCGCTGCTTAATTGATACAGATCTTGGACGGTTTCCGTGCTCACACACAAGGCAGGCAAGGCAATTGTCCGGAGTCTTGTGTCAAGCACTCAGCATCACTCAGCAAAAAATCTCAGACACAGACTTCTGCAAGCCCGGCCGAGACGACCCCAAGACTCACAGATCACCCATTCCGAGTGCAGAGATGGTCAGAGTTAGAACTTAGGCTAGTGCGTCGCTTAGGGTTTGAACTGAGTTTGAACTGAAAACATCAAGCCAAAACACTGCTTTATTCTCCCACCAAGAAGACAGAGGATAAACAAGGATGCTCGCGAGCTCCTTGAAACACGCAACCGGGACACGTCTTCAGTGAGTGCCATTCCCGTGAAGTAGTAAGTCCCCGAGGACGGAATTAAGCTTGCTAGCCCTTCAATACTCAGGAAAGACTTTGTCACATGTGCCTTGCGGGGGAAATCAATGCGACCCCGGGAATGCGCATCTCTCGGAGAGCCTGCCACAGACACGTGAGGTTGCGATTAGAGGGGAAAAAGCTAAAGCTTGCGCGAAGAATATGGCTGGCAGTTTGTGCTTTTATCGGCCGCATGGGCAAGCATCGAAAGCAGCACTGCCCAGTATGGGTTGCCCACGTGTAAGGTGTGTCGTCTCTATAGGGGGAAACTTGATGAGTCAATGCTTGTGAGACATGTCAACCCGTTCAGTGCCGATGCTTCCTGACTGCTAAAACAAGAAGGCCTGCAGCGCCACGGCTCCCCGCTTGCAGCTGGGCTGAGCATGGTCCAGGTGCACCTTGATCGGGCCGGCAAACACAACTTCTCATGAGATGTTTTGAAGGGGATGGCCACAAAGGAATCCCCTGAATAGGGGACTGTGAAGGAATATTGGGGACCATTGTTTCTCATGAAGTCTTTCAGTATTTGACCCTTTGAATGGGGGGTCTCCCTTGATCAAATAGTTATTCGCGTTGAGAGTCCCCCCATGATCTGGTTGCGACTAATTGTAGCCTTGGGTTGGTGGTTTGGGCAAGATGTCGAAAAGCCCTTCCCGGCGACCTGTCAAGCCAAGCAGAGCGCAGCATTTGTGCTTATGTTGCCATACCTGCAGACTCGAAGACTATACCATCAGCTGGGCCGTGCACTGTCATGTCTGCGGATGCCTGTCTAAACACAGCAAGGACAAGGACTGTAGAAGGGCTGTCGTTTCAAGAGCCAGCCTGATCGAGGTCTGACTTGCATTGTGGCACCTCCTGGAAGTTGGCCTGCGCAGCAAGCTAAGACATCTGCCTGATATCTCGGATTCACCAAAGCAACTCCCGCTCATATTTCAGCTCATTCAAGGCCGGAGCGCCAATAAACATGACTGGCACGGAAGTCCTCTGCAGCAGCAGTCGCTCGCTGGCAGTTTCCTTCTTCATGCGCCACTTGAACCTGCCCCGGACTGCGACCAACCGCTACAGTAGAGCCCAAGCCTATCCCACAACCGCCGATGCTTGCTTTCGATCGCTTTGTTCTGACCGCTCGAGTGCGCGTTGAGCCTTGTGAAAAGCCTCTTTCAGCGTGGTGGCAGCAGACTCTGCCGCAGATGCCTGCATGAGACATGAAAATAATTGGTGCTGCTGCGAATCCCCGTTGGACACCGCGTTATGGGGCGCAGAATGCGGAAACCGGAAAACCAGCCTTCGCGTGAAGGTCGTCCAGCAGCCTTGAAAACGTGCTGGCATCACATGAGCTACTTGCATACTGTCGCACTCTCGTACAAGATCTATTCTCTTGCAGGCCACGGCACTTGTCAAATGTAATCTTCTCTTTTTCGTACTTGTCAAAAAGCGGGTTGATGTGCGAGTTGACCCGTCCATTCTCTCGGTGCCACTTCGTGCCAAGGAAGGTGAGGAGTCCTGCAGACAGATGCCAAGCACAGAGGGTCTCGCAAGATGTCCTTGTCTTGCCCATTCATGCAGCCTCAGCGGTCCTCTCTCACTTTCCTCCGCATCACCGGACATTTTCTTTTGGCTTTCCTTGTCACCGAAGGTTTACGGTCTTTGGAGCCCTTACTTGCCACCTTGGAAAGCCTCGTTCCACCGATGCCCAGGAATTCGATCAAGGCTCTGGAAGGTGGAGAGTTCCCGGCAGGCATAGGCAAGCTTCTTGATTCTCTGTTTTCCCTTTGAGGCCTGCCCGGGTCAGAGTGTCGGAATGAGCCACGCAGCTTCAGACGCAGCTTTGAGACACAGCGAAGCCACTTACCCGCCATGAGCCCCGGCCTTCTGTTCCAGCTAGCCTAAGATCTGCAGAGAAAGCTGGAAGCTTTTCTTGGCTTAACGTTGGGCTTCCTTCTGTTGCTAAGGTTGGCGGCTGTTTCCTGGCTGTTTATTTCTACATGTCTGCCTTTTCCCAGGCTCTAAATGTTGCAACATGCAAAACTTGTTTCTGCTCATTGCAGCAAATTACAACATTTCTGCCTATTCACTACTTTGCAGCATGTCCTAGAAGAAAATCGGGACATGCAAAGGAAGCGACTACAAACGATGCGCCACAAAAAGACACAACTCAAGATCATCCCCAGAGTGTCTCGACAGCCAAGAGGCTTGTCGAACAAGTCCTCATTCGCTTCCTCAGCAGTTCGGACCGCACGAAAGACTGTAAGATCAAGGGCACTTGGGATTCCTAACATAAACTATAGAAAAGTGGCGGAAGGATCTCCGTCATTGACAGGAAGCGGCGGTGGGCTCTCAATACCTTCCTGGCGAATGCTGTCAAAGAAGAATGGGCCTGTTGGGTAGGAGGAATCAGCGGAAACTGCAAGTCCTTCACCAACTCTGCATGGATCTCTTCTCGCTGCTTCCTGCAAGGTGGATCGCAAAAGGCCCGAAATCATTCAAGAAGATGCTGCGCTAAGACTTTAAGAAGAACATGATATGTTGCCGCTTCAACGACAAGAGCCCTATGGGCATGCAGAGTCAGAGCCAATCAGGGCGTGCCCAACTCACGTCAAGCGGCTTAAAAGTCAAGAAGAAGCTGGTGCTGTGCTCTGCGACCAAGCCAGCACACAGGGGGGCCATTGCTCTGCAGCAACTCCTACTTCATGCGACTGCTGGGCTCTGCAATTGCCATCAGTTGCTGATGTTGCTTTCTTACGTGCTGCTGTGGGACGGGGTGTTGGGATCAACATCTTGGGTTGCCCTGTTGCAGGGCAAAGCCGCATAGACTGTGGCCCATGATCTCTGTGTCATGTCGGCGAACTCGCCACAGGCTGCCACGTCTACATCATGCGAAGTGCGGCATGCTAAGCAGCAACAACGAACCGAAGCAGCGAGCCCAATTTCAATGATACTTCTGTCTATATGCCATGCCTCCAAATTTCTCAAGCAAGTCAGCTGCACAGCGTTGGGTGGCGCGTCCTCAGGCAAGCACAGCCTCAGGTGAGCACCAGGATGCACGAACATCTCCACATATCTCCACGCCACGGGCACCACGTGCCGGGATGTGCGCAACTTGCGGGGCAAACTGCGGATACCGCACCATCCGTGGCAAATACTGTGCCTCTCCGGACTACCATCACAAAGCTAGCTTGACAACTAGCCTTTTTTTATTCTTTAAAGGAGCGGAGAGGGGGAGGGTAGGAGAGGGAGCGTGGGGAGGGGGCTGGGGTTAGAGACGACCGCGGAAGTTGACGAGACTGAACACGGCCCGATGAATGCCTTTGAACGTAAAACAAGGGGAAAATGTTTGGCAAGGATGATTGTTGGACTTAGCCAGGTTGGCACATTGCCAAGCACATGCGTGCTTCGATTCAACATCCGTGTAAGTATCAAGCCGCAGTCCAGAGAACGCACGCAGACCTTGCAACTTCAAATCCAGCCCAATACACAAAACAGTGTTGTGCAGCCAAGTAGCTGTGTGCACATGGCAAAGCCCATGATGCAAACAAAGGCTCTACATACATATACAAATATATGTATATTGTTACATATGTGTGCGTGTGTCGCTGATATGGGTGCCATCGCCCTTGATCTGCGATGCAAACAAGACTAGTGACTATAGAGAGCAAAAGGAGCCGTGTGCAGTGCCGGACACTGCGCTGCTTCGTCTAGCTTCAGCCACGCTCTGATGAGCAGCGTGCCGGGCAGTTCGGAAAATTGAATACGGACGTCGCTTGCTGGAACCATCAGACTGGCGATTAGTTGATCGAAAAAGGCCCAGGAACACACTCAGGCACTTTTCGGCCTTCTTTTTTTGACTCGCCACCATCACATGCTCCAAGCCAGCCTCTCACTTCGTCAACCTCCGCTTGGAACCTGGCAGGCAGAGGAGCCAGATGGTGCAGGAGGCCACCAAGCAATGCCCAACACGCGAAAAAAATGCCCAACATTGACCCAACGCTGCAGTTTCAATGTCGCAAGCACTGCCTGGGGTGCAGCCAGCGCCAGGTCATGGACACCCGTGGGCACGAAACCTTGGGCACCTGAAAGGGAAAATCTCTCGGAGACCATGGAAGACTACTCTAATAGACTCTAGTGTACTCCATCCCGACATAACCAGTTGGCTCATGATTTTCCACCTCGTGGCCGTACAAGAAGCGCGCTTCGCGCTCCATGCAAAGCACCGTGCCGACTCTCTCCAGCACCTGCTGAGGTCTGTCCCCGCCAAATGTGGTTGGTGAGGTGATTGGCAGACAACGCACACAAGCATCCCGAGATTATGTTCAATGCAAAAAATGCGTAGGTGGGCGGGCCCCCTGCGCAGTGAAGCTGTGCAGAATGCCCACATTTGTTTCAGGAGTCACTTCTGTGAACGATTTGTCAACCTGGCTGCAGTACATTGTACCTCGTGCGTGAGAAGGGAAGTCCTTTTTTCTTTGGGGGGGATGGGGGGGGTGGGTGATGCAGAGGGCCCTGTATTGAAACAGCGCCGGGGGAAGTTTAGAAGCCCTGTACATTGTGTAATGACCATACTGCCAGATCATTCATACTACGAGTACCGCTCGAGTCACTGGAAACCCCATGAAGAGATTTTAAGACTGGAGTGACTTCGGAGCCTCTCAGCATGGGACGGGTTCAGGTGGTGAATCGAACTTTATGGTAGTTCCAGAAAGCAGGGCAGAGGCGACAGTTGCCCCAAACGGCCTGGTACTGCCGTACTGCCGCTTCACCGTTTTCGCCTGAACTGAACACTTGGCACTCGGCTGCAGCTTTGCTCCGACATGACATGCAAGAATGCCGGAAGATGGGGCGACCACACCCATCTCGTCGCCGAACCATGCTAGGCTTTTCTCGGAGCTGAGGGCGGTCCCATCCCATCTTCTAACAGCGCAAGTTTTAACTTGCAGCATAAAGCCCTACAGAATCAGGTCGCAAAGCGCCCGGCACCTCAATTCTGGTTTCCAGGAATCTTGGCACCAAAGGCTGCATTTAAAAAGTTAGCTGAACCAGGAAGTCATAGAACCAAAGGGAATCCCAGGCTGGCTGTGCAGAGGACCTGGCACTGATCGTGAACAGCCACACATGCAATTGGGCTCAGCCGGAAACCTGAATCAACAGCCACCTCCCAGCACAACCTGGGAAACCGGTTTGATCCCGCGCGCCTTCTTGCCTTCGTTCAAACTTCGTCGGGGTGGACTTTGAGGAATTTGGAGGGCCGGTAGTACTCAGTTGCAAGCGTCCATGTCAAAGATGGACCATTTTCATACACCAGATGAGTGCTGCTGAGAAGCACCCAGCCAGCCTCCAGCCGCCGCAGTGTAGTTTGTGAGACCACACGTCGAGTGGACCCAGCCAACTGGGAGCAGCATCATTTCCTTGATCGTTTTTGCTTCGGGTTCCGGTCACTCCAGAGCTTGCCCAGAATTGGAGCACGAATGCTTCGATGCAGCCGTGCAACGCCAGGCCCCAGTACGCATGACTGCGTCCCTGGCCTCGAGAAGCATCGGCATCAGTCACTACCAAACGCTTACTCAAGGGCTGAGATACAAAATCTGGACATTGTTGCGCAACGAGCTGACCGATTGCTGTCCAGGCTTTGTGACTTTGTGCTTTTCTCGCTGTGCGAGAGCTCACAGGGGGAACGCAGAGGTCTTGCGCCGATCTTGCACTTCGCCGATGTACCAAGCAGAATCGACAGAGTGGCTCAAGTCAGACTGTGAACAATTTGAACTTATGAAGCTTTTGCATGTTTCTAGTCTTGCGGGCTTTCAGGTCGTCAGGCTTGGAACTGGCCACGCCGATTGCTCAATCAAGCAGATAGTGGAAATCAAGCCTTGCGAGCTCTGGCACTCGCCATTGTGCCAGGTTGCATTTCTTTAGGGACCCCTCAAGAACACAAAACATCATCAAGAACATCATCTCACAGCCAAGCGTCGGAGGCTCCACCTGCTGTCCGAGTGCAAGAATTCAACTCTCAAGGTGATTTCTCCTGGCTCACTTTGCTCTCCTGCCTGCTTTAGCATGGCGCAGCCGTTCGGATGCGCGAATACAGTGCCATCGGGGAGTACCGGCGAACCACCCCAGCCCTGATGGCTGCAACAAGAAAGAGATGAAGGCACGGTTTCAGCAATGGGGGGGGTGGCGGGGAGGCTGTGGGCACAGCCTGTGCCACCAAGGCTTAATACCAGATGCAAAACATGTCACAACTGATTCGGGCAGCGTCTTGACTCCACCTTGTCTTAGGATAATGCAAAGCAGTTAAGGCCGGAAATCTCCAACCAAGGTGCCATTGAGCCATCGTCAGTGTCCGCCTCTGGCGCTGTCCTCGCATGCTCTCAGTGCAACGCCCCCCCCACCCCCTCTGACCGTCCCTGCATCACCACTGGCTTCAAACTACGGCAGAGAAGGTTCCCTTTGTAGTGCGGGGGCAGGAGCCACCACATTTTGTAGCCTAAGGGACAGGATTTCAGAATGCCATGGTCTCGATTTTCTCGCGTCCCCTGCGTGAAAATAGGGCTCGGGCCCTGGACTTGAACCTGCCAGACTGGATCGTGGCAATGGAAGCCGTGGGAGCTGCCTGCCAAGTCTGCATCACCCAGACTTGAGAACCACCTGAAACCCTATGATACCCTATAATTACACCCTAACGTAAGACTGGATGTGACATGATGTGACTTGCTCAGTAGGATCATAAGCCTATGGAGTCGATGGCCACGATGGCTTCGCACACCTCCGGTCCCCACGCAAAGTCCGGGCTTGGAGCAAACTGACCTGGAAGCCGCCAGAAACAAAAGGCCGATTCTACTTGCAGTGCCTACTTGCTAGCAGCAGGAACTTCTCTTCTAGCAGTCAGGCAGATCTAGGCAGATGCAAGCAGTGGCCTGGTCCATCGTGCAACACAGATTCTAGATCAGAAACGCAGCTGGACTCAAATTGGCCCACTGCATGGCGATAAGCTACGCTTTGGAACTGGCCTCTGATTGCATCCATGGTGTTCTTGAGGTCGCTCTTTTTGTCGCAGCCATCTTCACTTCCGAAAAGGAAGATATTCCTCGAGCCTAAGCGCACCAATGCGAAAACTGGGTTACCCAGGAAACGCCGCAAAGCTCCAGACATGCTTTTGCATTCTTGCTTGCTTGCATGGACGCCCCTGAAGAAGATAGCTAGCTGCACCGTGCCACTGTCACAAGCAGTATTGGCTTGGAATGCAGGTACACAGAATGGCGTCTCGTTCTGCTTCCCCTCATCTCTCGTAATATCACTATGAACCATTGGAGTCATAGAGAGCTCGGCCGTTGCCGTTACCGTGCTAGAAAGAAATTCAGAGCCTAGGATGCATTGCACGCGAGCACCCGCCCATCTGCATCCACCCCCTTCGCCCATACCCGTGCACACACACACAACACAGCTCCAGCACCGACACGTCTGTCTGCCTTGTCAAGCCAAGCTGCTGTCATTGTGGCTCACGTAGTCTCGGAAGGTCGTGCGGCTGTGTGTTGAGTAAACCCAATCCTGATCTGCAAAACTCGCAACCAAGTCGTATACCCGCATCACTTTGTTCACTGGCACCTCAGCCATTGCTGTAGCAGGTTTCCTTCCTTCCTTGCTTTCCTTGCTTCCTTCCTTCCTTCCTCTCGTTCCTTCCGAATCCATCCCTGAATGCACCATCCCAGTGCGCCACGAGCCCGTTACTAGCAGAAAGTGCATGCTGGCTTCTGGATAGTCGAAGGACTGCCTCCCAGGTGCAGAGATGCTCGCCGCACACAAGTGATCAACATCAAGGCCTCTGCCATGGCAGATCGCCCAGGTAATTCGCCAGCTCATCCTGCGGTGATCTTTCGATGCGACACGATGCTCCGACGGCACAGAGAGGCATCCTCGTTCTCGAATTCTGCTCTGGGGTGGCACTTTCTTTAAAGAGGGCTTGGCCACATGAGGGAGACATTCAGTTCTTTAACTTCCTTGGACTGAAGCTTCATGCAGCGCTGCGCCACGCCATCTACGTCACAAGTGCAGTCCTTGCCCCAGTGCGTGGCGGCCCTCCAGCCAAGCTGCTTGGGAACGTGCCCCTGCAAATGTTGGGAGCTGTGCTCCCTTCTTCAGGCTCAGTGACTGAAGCAATCAACTCACCTGCCTTGACCAACACCGGCTGATTGTCGTTGAGTATTCCTGCAAATGCGTGGCGGAATGCCTGCGCGTCACGCAGGGCCAGTTTGGATCTTCTTCGGCTGCAGGAAACATTCGACAACCATAGTGAATGGTTGAAAGCTCACTCACGTCCCTGCCTTGAAGGCTTTGTCAAACTTTGCGGGCGGGGTTTCCTCTGCAGGATTGCAGCCGCTGCACGAAGAAGGCTCTGGAGTAGCCAAAACCATCTCAGAGCTGTCCACACAGACCATGAAGCGAGCAGGCTCTCTGCTCTCTCTGCACCGCCAGGCCTCCTTCAGCTGCTCAAGCTCTTCATGCCACCGGCTGTTCACCTCTCATGTTGTGGGCAAGGATTGAAGCAAATTGAAGCAGACACGAGCAGCCTCGTCAAGTGTCATGACGTGGATGGATGGACAGCGCTCCGCCAGAGAATCATCCTTGACTTTCCTGAGCCCAGCTGGGTGGGAGCCACACGCGCAAAGGAATCGCAAAGGTTATAACAAAGAACTTCTGTTCTGACAAGTTGCTCAAAGAACTCCGCTGCGTCTGTGCGGTAGTCGGTACCATCCAAAATCTGCGGGTAACGACCAGCTGCATGTTTCCGTTTGTCACTTGGCTTAGGACCAGCAAGAAACCCAGCTGTGCATCGTGACAGAAACGATTCCCGCAGGCATCATGCACGCCGACTGCTACCTTGTTGTGGAGCTTGCTGTGCTGACGGCGAAGCTTCCGCTTTGTAGCTTTCGACAGTCGTGCCTGAAGCCAGGTCGCTTGCAGAGTGATCAACTTTCGAGGGGCCACTTTCTCCAACATCGAGCCATTCACAAACACAATTGCAACTGCTTGAATGCATGACCCAGTGCAAGGTGCCTGAGTCAGCTTGCTTGCGGGGCGCGCTTGCAGCAGCGATGCATCTTCGCCAGATGCACCTCTCAGATGCCAGACTGCTAGACTCTGCTCTGCTACGTCTGCTCTGCACACTGTTCTTTTGACAAGTGCCATGGCTCATACCTGCTTCGCATATGCGTGTAAAAGAGTTGCCTGCTGAGGACCTGCATACCTTTTGGGAACAGCGCTGTTCTCGAGCTTGGACCTGCGCACGAGGCCAGAGAACGCTTTTCCTCTTATTCCGCAGGGCGTGGGGTCTTTTCACTATGGGCCATGGTCTTGAAACGTTGCGCTGTGACACTTTGATTGCGTCTTTAGAGTCTAAGTACATCCATCCCAACTCCGCACCTGAAACGCCTGTACGGCCAACAGCACGGCACAGACTCGGAGCGCCTGACTGAACTCTGTCGCAGCAAGCAAACTACAAACATCATGCGCTACATTGCTTGAACACCACGTGCATATGTAAAAGTAACGGACCTTTCCAGTCCCGGGTGAGCATGCATTCTATAAAATTCATAGCAAGTAGCTAGTCATCATAAAGCAATAATCGAAACTGCGAATCACAGTCGCAATGGCAATCGTGGTGCGATTAAATGCTTGCCAGAGGACCAAATGCCCAACGAAACTGGCTCAAGTCAGATTCGTTACTGAGGCGGCTGCTGGCATGCGTCCTGTCTTCATGGACTGGTTCGGTGGCGTG